GAAACAAACTTTACGTGCTTGATAACTGTCCCACCCCGCAGACATCTACACACCAATACCGATTTATATTCATAGCAACAAGTGCTATGTAGCTCCACATAGGGGACACAGGAAGTGACATATAGCACCTTCATGCGGGTAGCAAATTCACAGCCGCACCGGCAGAGCTCCAGAATATGCAACTCGGCCGGCTCACACCCGGACGCGCTACAAGTGCGAGGGCCTGCCCAACGCTGCTTGCAGCTTTAATTTTGTCTTACTTTTTTATTCTATTTTCTGTATGTTTTTTTTGAAATCCACGTTATCCTTTGTATCACTTAATACTAGGGGGTTACGAGATTCTATAAAAAGGAAATCATCTTTCTTGCTTTGTAAAAATGAAAAATCACAGTGCTATCTTCTTCAAGAAACTCACTCTTAACAACACAGATGAAAAGTTCTGGTCAAATCAGTGGGGAGACAAAATAGTCTTTAGCCATGGCACAAATAGGTCAGCAGGTGTCGCCATACTCTTAAATAATGTTCCTGGGGAGGTGGTAACTACCAAGAAGGATTCTTATGGTCACTGGATAATTTGTCTGAAGTCGATGATCACTTTCTGATATTGGGAAACATATATGGGTATAATAACAATAACCAAAATAAAAATGTATTAATTAATTTCTGAAATGACAATTGCTGTTAAAGATCTAGGCCAAAGATATAAAACTGAAGACTTCATATTTGGAGGAGATTTTAATATGGTGATTGATGAGTGGCTTGACAGAAATCCTTCAAGATATCAGGGGCACCATTACAACCCTATTTTATTTGAGTTTTGTAATATGTTTCAACTAAGAGATGTATGGCACACTCTTAACCCTGATAGCCAAACCTTTACTTGGTTCAAACCAGATGGTTCGGTTAAATCTAGATTAGATTTCTGGCTTCTGTCAGATACTGGGTCTAACCAATTCCACAATCTCCACTGCACCTTTAACAGATCACTCTTTGATTAAACTTATTCTTACTCCTACAAATTCACGTCAAAAGAATAAAGGGTATTGGAAGTTCAATTCGAGCCTTCTTAAATATGAACCATTCTGTCAAGAAATTATATCAGTAATCAGTGATATAAATAAAGACTGTAATTTGACAAATTATAGGGAGAAATGGGAATTCTTAAAATACAAGGCACGTCAAATTTCCATATCAAACAGCAAAAAATTAAGCAGAGCTAGTAAAAAAAGGGAAATGGAAATTGTAAAGGAAATCAACACAATTTGTAATAAACCTATATTAAATGTAGATGACAAACAAAAACTAATCCTTCTGCAGTCTTCACTGGACAGCATTTACATTAATAAGGCCAAAGGAGCATATATCAGGTCAAGACCGAAGTGGATAGAGGAGGGTGAAAGGAGCTCAGCCTATTTCTGTAGATTGGAGAGAAAGAGACAAGAACGAAATACTATAAAAACTCTGTTAATTGATAACCAAGAATGTACATAACCTAATAAGATTTCTAAGGAAATCTTTCAGTTTTACAGTAAATTGTACTCTTCCTCTTATTCATGTACAGCTGCTGATGCTTTCTTCGAGCCTACTAAAGAATGGATCCCTAAAGTGGACGAGTATTTTAAAAATGTATGTGATGCTGGAATCAGAATGGATGAAGTAGAAAATGCCTTGAAATGTTTATCCTTAGACAAGTCTCCAGGTTCAGATGGTCTAACAAGTAACTTCTATAGACACTTCTGGGAACATCTGAAAGACCTTTGTTTCAACATGTTAAAAGAAGTTTCTGAAACTCTAACTCTACCAACTACAATGAAGCAAGGAATCATCACCCTCATACCCAAACCTGGTAAAGACCCCAAGCTAATTGACAATCTTAGGCCCATAACCTTACTTAACAATGACTATAAAATCTTAACTCATATCTACGCAAACAGACTAAAAACTGGTATCACTCAAATCATTTCATACACACAATCGGGGTTCATAAAAGGACGATCAATTCACAATTACATACGACTTGTACTTGACTTACTTGATTACAATAACTTAATTGAAGATGATGGTTTTATCCTTTTTCTTGACTTTTTCAAAGCGTTTGATATGATTGAACACCAATTTATGTTTCGTACTCTAGAACAATTTGGTTTTGGTGAAAATGTTCAAAATATAGTGAAATTACTATATAAAGATACTAATAGTACTGTGTTGTTACCACAAGGTGTATCTCCAAGGTTTTCTGTTGACAAAGGCATTAAACAAGGCTGCCTCATCTCCCCTTTGCTTTCATCGCTGCAGCAGAAATGCTTTCCATTCTGGTTAAACATTCAGATTTCGAAAAATTGACAGTGCTGGGCAAACAACTAACTATCAGCCAACTGGCTGATGACACGACTATATTTATGAAAGACAGTGACCAAATTCCTAAGGTTCTTCATACAGTTGATTACTTCTCAAGAGCATCTGGCTTAAAATTAAACCTTAATAAATGTGATGTTTTTCCGATTCACAATTCCACCCTTACATCAGTTCCTAATATCCCTGTAAAATCAGCTGTTAAATACCTAGGGATACACATTACTAAGGATAAGGACTTGCTCGATAATCTTAATATTTGGAATAATCTGGATAAATGCAAATCTTATTTAAACTCCTGGTCTCTAGATATCTCTATTATTGGCAGAATTTTTCTTACAAAAATGGAGTGCATTTATCGATTCATCTACCCAGCCTACTCCTTATCGCTTCCTAAAAATGCAATAAAAGCCATAGACCAAGCTATTTTCAATTATATCTGGAAAAGGAAAACCCACTATATTAAGAAAGGCACTATAGTTAAAGAATATGAAGAAGGTGGACTTAAGGCTATTGATACTGAGTGCATTAACGGTACTATTAAAACAAACTGGTTAAGGTCATTTTTAATTCACGAAAAACAACTTTGGTTTCATATTCCCAGTAAATTTTTTATGAAGGTAGGAGGCATTGATTTCCTTCTTCGATGTGACTTTGATCTAAAAAAAACTCCCTGTCAATTTATCCTCAACAAGTTTTACTGTAGTGGAGAATGATGTACAAACATAATTTTACTCCTCACAACACCCCTATTTGGAATTGCAGGTATGTGTTACTTAAAAATAAATCCATATTTTTCCCACTTTGGCTAGAAAAAGGAATATGGTCTGTGATGGACTTATTGGACAGTACAGGTAACATTCTGTCATTTGAGGACTTTGGTTCCAAATTTAAGCTTTTCGACAGAGGTCAGTATGCCAAGGTTTTCAAGGCAATTCCTCAAGCTGTGTGTCGGTATATAATTTATCTCAAAATACTGTGAAACCTAATCTCTCTTTGCTTTTGGTGAATGATCACAATTTCATAAATATAAAATTACCAAACTTCATCATCAGGCAAACATTTGTTAGAGAATTATATTCACCTTCTTTCCACAGAAATTCCATTTTTAAAATTTTCTCTAAAAAAGAGGCTAACTGCTTTTGCTAATGCTTTCCGGGAAGATGTGCATTATTGGTTGTTCCCTAAAGTTTTAAATTTTTCTAGTCTAACAAAGAAAAATGTTATATTTGGTAAAATTTTGAAAGACCCCTTACATGACCTGGCTATAAATTCACTTATCATTCTTGGAAAGTTTTTTATACATAAAAACAAATTCAGCTTTGAGCTGTGTCTTTACTTTTCATTTCTTAAACATATTAAGAAAAAGAATGCTACTAAGCTCTCTAAGTTAGTTGATGACCTTAAGCATACAGAAAATCCCTAGCTTTACTCCAACACTTTGCTACTTTACAGCAATCAGTCTGTGAGCGGGCCAGTGTGTTACAGCAACTAACTTCCTGTTGTTCTTGGAAAATCAGCATGCGCCTCACACATTAGCTTTACATTAGCACTAGCCCCCACCCCCTCTCCTGCATTCCCCTGAAGAGCCTTCACAGTTTAAAAAGCACTCTGCTCTAAGGTGATAGATCCAGACAGTCTCCCTCTGACTCGGACCAGCCCACCACAACCCACCTGGAGATATACTACCACCTGAGCCATGTCACACTAGTCAACAAAGATTTGATTTTTTAAATGAACTTAAATGAACTATGATTATTTGTAGAACGATACATAAAACAGAACTACTTGAATGTTTTATCATAAATAATTAGAAAACTATATTTATATAATTGTATAACATTTTAATTGTTATTTACACTGGGTCTATGGTGAGGTGGATGAAATACATCTTTGCATTAGTCCACTACATCACTATCACAAGAACGTACATTCTCAGAATCTAGCATATAACTGAGTCAACCTATAAATAACTGCAAAAGCATCGGCACAAACAGAGTGTTAATAAGCAGCTGGTATAACCGCTGTTCATCTGCATTGTATTACACTGTACAGGTATTGGCATTTTTAATTTTCCAGTCTTTCTACAGTGACTACATGTAGAAGTGTAATATTCAAAATTCAAACTGGGCTCAGTGGGATCTGGTCATTCTCTAACTACATGCATTAGTTATGGGAAGTGAGTTCACTGCTCGCTGGGTCCGTGTTAAAACAATCAAGAGGGGGAAAAGGAGCAGGCGACCCAGCGGGACCCAGCCAGGTAACCAGACGTGAATATTGAGGGAGGGAGACGTGAGGGAAGCGACGGCCCACTCAACAGAGCTGACCACCACAGCACAGCTCTCTCTCTCTCTCTCTCTCTCTATTCTAGTCTTTTTCTTTGTTCCACTGCACCACTGGCCCACAGGGAAGCCTCTAGGAACTCGTGATGGCCACATTAGAGTCATACCATCAACATCTGTGCTTTTCCATTCAACCCTCTTAACTGTAACCATCAAAAGTTCCAATAATGCCATCATTGTAATTCTTTTTTCACTGAAAGAGTCATCGATTACTTAACGGCATTATATGACACTGCTGTGTGAACGTCAACCATGTGATGTATTCTACTGTGACAGAAGAATTAGAAAAGGGAGTGGAGGCTGTACCCTGACTGTGGGCTTCAAAGGTCATCTTAAAACCGCAGGCCTCATTACTGGCATCAGAGACAAAGTGGATAAAGAGGTGGCTGTCAGTAGTCTGAAGGAGGGATGGCATACTCGAACCACAGAGACGTTCCCCGAGCAGTGGAGATGAAGCATCCGGACCATTCCTGAGCTGTGGAGACAGCAGTGAATGAATATGAACCGTTTCATTAACTGTGGATCAAAACCTTTGACACAGAGAAGCAAATACAGCTTTATTTTACAGAGTAGCTGTATGCAATACAAAATATTACTGAATTTTATAACCGAAACATTTTCACCTTTCGTTCTCAGGGCCAGGTTTGCATGAGTAAAAACGTGTGCAAACTTGATATCACCAGCAAATTAAGATGTAAGCTGATCTACTAATGGTGTGCCCACAGAATGACGTCTTCCAAAAATGCAAGATATTAACAGTTGTTCATTTACTACTTTAGTCTTAATGAATATACAATTTGGGGCGTTTCAATTTTATTGTGCAAAGTAATGGGAGGGTAACATGCAAATACATTTATTTACTACACGCATTGTGATCTAACAAGACTAAAAGCAATGTCATGTGAGTGCAACAGCATTTTTATTTAATACAATTGAAAGGAAGGTGCAAACCGCCAAGTGTTGCGCAGAGATGGCTGCTGTTATCATTGTGAGGAGGAGACACAGTCGTAATGAAAGAAGACGTAGGGAAATTAAAAACACCTCCACTGTGTTTGCACCTGTTGTCATCTACACAATAATTCACCCATAACATGTACTACAATTACACATGCAATATTTTAGAATGCACATGCAATTTAGTACTCTTTATTTAGGATGTTAGTAAATCTGGCCCTCAGTGTGTTTACATGCACTGAAATAACATGGTTACTGTAAAATCCGTGTCTGCATGCAGCAGCCGAAACGCACCAAACTAAATGGGCAAATGACACCTGAGTTAACATGTGACTCTGACAATCACATGACCCCACCTCAACACATAATTTAGCTCAATGACCTTCATGTGATGTCAACGTGAGGCCCAAAGAGTATGGAGGACCGATCCTGACACATTCAGAAATAAATACAGAAATAAATAAATGCTCAATAAATAAATAAAAACAAAAAAATAAAGTAAATAAATAAATGTAGGTAGTAATTAAATTATACAAGGAGACATAAATGTATATATCTATTTTAATTACCTTATTTATTGTCCGTTATAATCTTCAACTTCATTTATTAATTATTTCTTTTTTAAATGTATTTATTTATGTGTGTGTTTTAATACTATTGTCTGTTTTATTCTTCCTTTGTATTTATTTACCTTATTTATTTTCACCCATGGTATTTATTTCTGCCTGTCCTTTTTACATTTCTGTATGCATTTCTGCCTCATTATGCAAATGAGGAGGGGCTGTGTCTCAAGGGGTCATCTTCTCTGCTATTGGTGGACCAGTCAGACAGGAGCGCTCTAGGCCTTCTCTGCCTGCAGACATCAACGAGCTGCTCCTCACACAGTCAGATGGCTTCCTTCAGTGCGCTGAGGTGTTTAGTAACTCTGTTTGAAGACAATACTACCAGCAATGTCTTCCTTCTCTTTTCATGTGGTCACTCCGACAGACAGTGCTTTCAGTTTGCTGCATGCATGGACACAGAACTGCGGTATAGGGAGAAGCACACGGTCAGCTGGCTGCAGCTAAATCTGGAGTGCACTCGTATTCAATTCTGTATGGTAAATTCAGTTTTAACGGAGCAGAGCGAGCTGACAGGCAGAGTTAGAGACTTTTTCTGTCCGTTTCTCTCTTTACAAAGACGCATGTTGCAGTCAGAGTCTTCTCTGAAGAGGACAATGAAGTCTCAGTAGTACACGATGCGAGCACCACATACAAAATCATTTATCAAATTACACAACAGATATACAGTATGAAAATAAGATTGATTGGATTATACTCACAGGAAGTATAAAACCTGTTACATACGTCTATTAAAAGTAAAATAACACAAAAATGTCAGGGAAATTACTTTACTTAGATTTAAGTACTGCAGTTGTACATTTGAAATACCTTCCTACCTTTCTGATAGGAAGCCTTCTTGAGGTGGTATAAAACATTTCTTCTTATATTCTGATTTGAGTTGTGGACAACTATGACCACATGAATTAAAAAAATTCAACATTTCACTGCCCAAGTCAGCTATAACACAAGTCTTGTTCATCAGACTACATGCTGTACAGTATTTGTGGACAGATTTTGTCCCAGGATTTATTATGCATTTCTTCTTCTTCGTTGCATGATTTAGAATAATAAGGTGAGAAATGGGTCTGTTCTGAGTTCATCCTGCACTGCAGCAGCTAATAAAGTCCATTTAATCCCAAAAACGCTTTTCTTTTAGGCAGGCTGGAGCAGAAAACAACTCAACTTTCTCAAGTTGTACAGTAATGTTACATGTGTATGAAGGTGGATCAAACAAGCTAATCTTAAATGTCAAAGTAGAGAGGAGCCTAGTAGGCCTATTTATTTTCATTCATTACACAATATGAATAAGCTATGCAGACAGTTGTAAAGAAAGAACATCTTCTTCTGTTCTCTACTTGTTATAGTTACACAGTATTAGGGGTGTGGGCTGTATTAAAAGTATCCACTGTTCTCCCATGCTCTAACACACAGTAACGATGAAATGCGTGCTGTTCTCACATTCTTCCTCTGTGTGTACACATAAACAAGGCAGGGAAATATAAAAGGAATTTATTTTATTGTTTGGGGATTGTTTTCTTTGTTGCTCGCCTTCTTCTTCTTTTCCTCTGAAGAATAGGGTTATGTTCTCCGCATGCCTCCTCCTGTGTTTTCTGTGTAAGACACAGAAGTACAGTAACTAACGTTAGCCTTCATTAAATCATTTCGACTGGTGAAGTGCAGTAAAGTTAACTTTAAATTGACTTCACCACCACACATAAAACACGGCTTAATAGCAATCACATTTAACAGAAGCATAAAATTTTTCTTAATGGTAACTGTTAAGATTAGTTTATTTGTTAGTCACCACCACTAGCTTAAGAGCTTTAGCCTATATGATGTTAGCACTACATAAATTAGCCTAGCGGCTAACGGACTTTTACTCTCCTCATAGCTTAACAGATTACATGTATTATATTATTATAGCGTTTTTGTTGAAACAGAAGCTGATAACAGCAGAGCAACGAGCTGCTCCGTGGGGGCATTTACCGTAAATACTCGAATACGAGTGCACTCCAGATTTAGCTGCGGCTAACTGATGTGGCTCTCAGAAACAACAGCTCACTTTTCTGCTAATTGAAAACTCTGTAGGTCAGAGTGTCCACGTGAAAAGAGAAGGAAGACATGGCTGGTAGTATTGTCTTCAAACAGAGTTGCTAAACACCTCAGCGCACTGAAGGAAGCCATCTGACTGTGTGAGGAGCAATATCGTTGATGTCTGCAGGCAGAGAAGGCCTAGAGCTCTCCTGTCTGACTGGTCCACCAATAGGAGAGAAGTTCACCCCTTGAGACACAGCCCCTCCTCATTTGCATAAGGAGGCAGAAATGCATACAGAAATGTAAACAGGACAGGCAGAAATAAATACCATGGGTGAAAATAAATAAGGTAAAAAAATACAAAGGAAGAATAAAACAGACAAAAATATTAAAACACATACATAAATAAATACATTTAAATAAATGAAGTTGAAGATTATAACAGATATTTATTAATTACTTATTTTTTTACAGTAACAGCCCCATCATCTGCAAATAAAGACTGCCCATCCCTCTTCCAATATCTCTAAATATATCATTTATTATTATATTAAATAAGACTGGACCTATGACACTTCCTTGAGGGGTACCATTTTCTATTTTAACACATTTTGATCTACATCAAACATACACTTGAACTTGTATTGTTCTATTCATTAAAAAATCTTTAATCCAATTAAACATTCTACCTCTAATTCCTAGATCATAAATTTTAATCATCAGTCCTTCCTTCCATAAGCAATCATAAGCTTTCTCAATATCTAAAAATACACTTACCACTACTTCTTTTTTATTAAATGCCTTCTTGATATCTTGATCTAAAACTGCTACTGACTCCATTGTTGATCTTCCCTTTCTAAAACCATTTTGAAATTCAGTAAAAAGTCCTTTACTTTCTAAAAAGTAAACTAATCTATTTGTTATCATTCTTTCCATGATTTTTCAAAGCACTGATGTTAATGCAATAGGCCGATATGAGCTTGGGTCACTTGCATTTTTGCCTGGTTTCAAGATAGGGATTATAACTGCATGTTTCCATTCTACTGGCAAGCAACCCTCTCCCCACACAGTATTAATCAGAGAAAGAACTTCCTCAAGTACTAGTCATCCAGATGTTTAAATAATTCATATGATAAGCCATCTCTCCCGGGGGTAGTGTCTGCAGCAGAATTAATAGCATCCCTCAATTCTTTCATGGAGAAATACAAGCTGGTTGGATTTTCATTATCAGAATTCTGGTTCAGCTTCCACTTATTAGCTGCCAAAAGATGAGTCCTTTTTACACTGCTCTCAATTCCTAAATTACCAGAACTGTGCACTGCTTGAAAAGCTTCAACAAACATGTCTGCTTTGTCTTGGTTGGTTATTGCTTCCACCCCACCTTTCTGTAAAACCGGAATTGATTTCCTCTTATACAGACCTGACATTCTATGCACAGCTGACCACAAGTGTCCTACAGGAGTTTCAGGGCCCAGTGTTTCACAAAATCTTCCCCAGCTATTTTTCTTTGCATTCTTAATTACTCTTCTTGCTACTGCCCTTAATCACTTATATTCCACTGCAAAATCCACCATTGGATACTTTCTTAATTTTCTATACGCCTGAGCAAATTTATATTTTGGAATTATCGCTTCTTCTTCTTTTTTTAATCATCTTCCAAACCTACATAAAATTGGATAGTGGTCACTGCCTATAGTATATCTGTCCATAATATCCCATTCTCTAATTCTGGATAATCTTGAGGAGGCAACTGATAAATCGATGCAACTGCTGGTATTCCTACCAATGTGGAACCTAGTTGGCCTTCCATTATTTATCACTACCAGATCATACTTGTCCAGAAAGTCCTCTACTATCTCGCCATTATAATTCTTACTATCACTTCCCCATAATGGGTTATGGGCATTAAAATCCCCTACCAATATAACAGATCCCCTCACATGCTCCATAATCTCATCAAATTCAGACATTACCATTGTTTACAAGGATTATACAGATTTATAACAGTTATTGGACTATGGTTACTCCAAACTTCTACTGCCAGAACCTCCAGACTGGAACTCATATCAAGCCTTCTATACTGGAGACCAACTTCCTCACCTCCTTGGCGATATCCTATTGTTTTTTATCTTTACAACAAACTCTCAGCAACCCATTTCACAGTATTATAGCTAGAGCTCCCCTACCAATCTGACTATCCAAGGCAGTAGTAACTCTTAGTGGGTTTAATACTCTAAATCCACCACCTCCCTGCTTCTGATCCTTGACTCGAAATAGCACCGCAAACTCTTCAGAACTCATTTTCATAATTTTTTTTCTCTCCAACTGCTTCAGATAAATCTGGCCTTTCACTCGATGCTTCTCTCTTCTGATTTCCTTTACTAACTACCTTCCATCCACCTCCCTCATCCCCACCACCCCTTCCCGTAGCCATAGGCTACGCTACTATACCACTTCTGCTTCTACTAATAACAACCACCACCAGGAGATGTAGATAATCCAGATAATTTGAATGAGAACCACCACTGATCGCCCACCGCCGCAACTCGTCAGAGATCGAGCCCAAGCAACCACCAAGCCACCCTTCTCGCCTGCAAGGAGCAGCGCCAGAACACCGTTCCAGACCTATACAGGCTGTCGGTCAGTGTCCCCGCACACCTCCCCACAGACGTCAAGTAGCCTAACGGCTGCCAAAGCAGTCCGTAAAACAAGTTGCCTCTCAATCGAACCTCCTTGATTCTCCTTCCACCCCTCTCTGCTGTTTCAACTTTCCACTGACCCCATGGACTAGGCGACGTGGGTAAGTTTCTTCCTGGCTACTCAACTAGCTAATTGTGCGATGACTTCCCCCATTTGCAAATTTCATACAGGTGTCTTATTTAACATCACACAGCTATTAATGTCTAAACCATTGGCATCAAAAGTGAGAACACCCCTAAGAGAAAATGTCCAAATTAGGTCCAAAGTGTCTATATTTTGTGTGGCCAGCATTATTTTTCAGCACTGCCTTAACCCTCTAGGGCATGGAGTTCACCAGATCTTCACAGGTTGCCACTGGAGTCCTCTTCCACTCCTCCATGATGACATCACAGAGCTGGTGGATGTTAGATACCTTGCGGACCTCCACCTTCCGTTTGATGATGCCCCACGGATGCTCAATAGGGTTTAGGTCTGGAGACGTGCTTGGCCAGTCCATCACCTTTACCCTCAGCTACTTTAGCAAGGCACTGGCCCTGTGGCCCAGTCTCCGCAGGGAGGGGATCATGCTCTGCTTCAGTATGTCACAGTACATGTTGGCATTCATGGTTCCCTCAGTGAACTGTAGCTCCCCAGTGCCGGCAGAACTCATGCAGCCCCAGACAATGACACTTCCACTACCATGCTTGACTGCAGGCAAGACACACTTGTCTTTGTACTCCTCACCTGGTTGCCACCACACACGCTTGACACCATCTGAACCAAATAAGTTTATCTTGGTCTCATCAGACCACAGGACATGGTTCCAGTAATCTATGTCTTTCGCCTGCTTGTCTTCAGCAAACTGTTTGCGGGCTTTCTTGTGTATCATCTTTAGAAGAGGCTTCCTTCTGGGACGACAGCTATGCAGACCAATTTGTGGTGGCGTATGGTCTGAGCACTGACAGGCTGACTCCCCACCCCTTCAGCCTCTGCAGCAATGCTGGCAGCACTCATTCGTCTATTTCCCAAAGACAACCTCTGGATATGACACTGAGCACGTGCACTCAACTTCTTTGGTCGACCATGGCGAGGCCTGTTCTGAGTGGAACCTGTCCTGTTGAACCGCTGTATGGTCTTGTCCACCGTGCTGCAGCTCAGTTTCAGGGTCTTGGCAATCTTCTTATAGTCTAGGCCATCTTTATGTAGAGCAACCTTTCTTTTTTTCAGATCCTCAGAGAGTTCTTTGCCATGAGGTGCCATGTTGAACTTTCAGTGACCAGTATGAGGGAGTGTGAGAGCAAACACCAAATTTAACACACCTGCTCCCCATTCACACCTGAGACCTTGTAACACTAACGAGTCACATGACACCGGGGAGGGAAAAGGGCTAATAGGGCCCAATTTTGACATTTTCACATAGAGGTGTACTCACTTTTGTTATCAGCGGTTTAGACATTAATGGCTGTGTGATGTGTTATTTTGAGTGGACAGCAATTTTACACTGTAAGCTGTACACTCACTACTTTACATTGTAACAAAGTGTCATTTCTTCAGTGTTGTCACATGAAAAGATATAATCAAATATTTACAATAATGTGAGGGGTGTACTCACTTTTGTGAGATACTGTAACTTATAAATTTCTTCGATGAAAGTTGTCCTGAGTGAACTGGAATTACGTTTCTTCAAAACAGACTCACACAGAGAAGTGTGTTATGGGTAACCATAAGTTGCAGAGGCTGATGTGCACATCTCCAAAATCTTAACTATGCGTCATGCGCACCTGCGAGTTAAGCAAGTTTACTGCTTGAACTCCTGCTGGGAGATGGGTTAAAAACAAACGTACTACATACAAGTATAAAAGACACCGGCACACAAAAGTATCCACGTAACCCCCCATGCACGTTTGCCTATGGGCAGCCAAGCGTCAGAATCCTCATAGATGTCCGTACACAGAGGCTGTACACAGGAACACTTTCAATATCACACTTATGAATCTGGTTTTGAACTCATAGTATACATATTTTCTATCCACATGTTATTTACCTCCAGGTAGTCTCCAGAGCTGCATCGAGATCCATAGCCTTGAATCTGGAAGTGGCTCTGGAAGGTGACAGAAACCCTGAAGCCAGGCGTCACCATCACATGCCAGTCACAGCTTAGACCAGGCAGGTAGTTCTGGGGGTAGCGGGGACTGCTCAGCACACCCCTGTCGACATGCAAGAGGCCACCACAGCCTGAAAAGATGGTTATTATTATTAATATGATTGTAATTGTGGTAGAACAGTAGCAGTGGCAGAGTGTGACAGGAAAAGAAAGGGGTGTCATGGGAGAAATGATAGATGTTACATGCTGAATTAGCAAACTCTTTCTTCAGGTAAATGAGCGTGAAGCTGTGTCTGTAGTCACTTCTTGTTTAGCACATGTATAGTGAACTGTATTTACTGCACGTCCATGGTAATTACACTACTTTCTGTTATCAATCCCACAATATAATGTGAGGAAATCACAACTGTGTGACTCTAAAGCTCCATCCCTCCGCTTCAGCCAATCCCGTAAGCGTATAGATTCGAGGGTGTGATATAATGTGATCTACCTGCAGGTCAACCTCAGTATGGAGCTAGCCTGGCTGGAAGTTTTCGAAATCTAATCTCACTAATTGACAGTATGTCTTGTTTGTTAAGCCCCACACAAACCAAAGAGTAAAAACGACAAGTTTGATTTTTACAGGACGTTGTGTGTGGAACTACTTCCTGGCCATGCCATTGACTGGATTCTCGGCTGGTTGCCTTGCATCCTAACAGTCATGACGAAACTCCCTCCAGGAGTTTTGTCATGACTGTTAGGCTAGACTGTTATTTGTAACTGGTATTTGTGAATCCATCTGACCCAGTGGATTTCAGGTGTAAGAAAGGGAATCTGTGAGCAGATGATTGCAGGTAGAGTAGAAAGAGAGCGACATGTTTAATTATGGCTTTGTGGAGCTTTTTCATTCATCGCAGCTACATCTGGCAGGGGAACAGCTGCTCTAAAGTGTAAAGTCGCATCGATTCTGATCTGATTGTCCAGACTGAGGTCGCATTTTAAAAAATCCGATCTGTATCGGATTTGGACCACATATGAAAGTGGCCCAAATCCAAACTGGAAAAAATCAGATTCCACGTGACTTGGGCTGTTCACATAGTTATTAAAAGATCAGATCTGAGTCACATATGAACAAAAAAATCAGATTTGGGTCACTTTGGCATGCAGTCTGAATGCAGCCTAAAGTTAACAGGTGTATGGTTTTATCAGTTTGCTTCAGGTGTACGACCTCTGGAGTAGGAGGCGTTAAAGCCTCGGCCACTGATGCTGCTGTCTGAGGAGAAGTGGATAAACATGGAATTTCTTGTTGAGTGGAGAGAACCTGGAGGATCTCGACCACACACACTAGCCAGCACAGGGGAAAGACTGGTCACACCTGGGAACACACACACACACACAGGTGAAATCAGAAGAACAAACAGGTCTTTTATCATATCTCTACAGAAAAGGCATGTCCCCTGTAATCCATCACAACAAATACCTGCCTCTTTACTTCTGTTACACCTAAACAGTTGTTTTTATTTTCTTTCCTTTTTATGTTTTAATCTAGCAACAAAACATACACAAAAACATAGACATCCACTAGACACTGAATCCACAGTAGCTACAATTTCAGATATGTTACTTATGTTTTGAAACTCGGATTCGTGGTTTGGAAATCCAACCGCTGGTGTAAAGCTGACTTTACTGCAGACTTCACGTCGCTCTAATAACCATGCAACCAGATTCAGTCATTATACAGAGTCAGCGTGGAGTGTCATGGCTTACCGTCTCTTATGACAAGGCTGTCAAAATAGCAGTTGGGGTAGTCCTCCATGTCCAGAGACAAGAGGTTCAACTCTACAGTCGAGTCTGGAGAACGTATCAACCAGGTACACTCCTGGTTAGGAGGGTAGTTTTCAGGCCAGCCAGGAGAATAGAGGAAGCCAGGAGTCTCTTCTGTCATTAGAACTCCCCCACATGCACCTGACACACACATTTACATTTATTTATTTAGCTGACGCTTTTATCCAAAGCAACTTACAATTGCTATACATGTCAGAGGTCCAAAGCGACTTACAATTGCTATACATGTCAGAGGTCGCAATTATGGGTTAAGTGTCTTGCTCAGGGACACAATGGTGGATATCTCACAGTGGGAATTGAACCCAGGTCTCTCACACCAAAGGCAAGCATCTTATCTATGCGCCATCACCACCCCAATTCACACACAATTCTAATATATTTTGGTAATATATATATAATATAATAATAATAATCTTTATTTGTAGAGCACTTTTCAAAAACAAGTTACAAAGTGCTTTAACAAGTGTAAAGAATAATACAAAAAAAAAAAAGATAAGAGCATGAAAATTTAATATAAAATTAGTAAGATACAATAAAATAAAAGGGATAAAATAAAGTCAAATAAGATCGGGAAAAGCTCTCCTATAAAAGTATGTTTTAAGAAGGGACTTAAAAGAGTTCACTGACTCATCCGACCTGATTTCCTCGGGCAGGCTGTTCCAGAGCCATATAATATATCAATAATCATAATATATCAATCTGACATTTCTTTGTTGGAAACAAACTGTAGCCTACAAACACTTAAATTAGTGCTTATTGCCATTACCACTTTGAATACACTTTTACAGATGAAGGTTTTAGGAAGGTTCCTGGCATTACAAATATCCATGATATATATATACACAATAAATTCAGATTTTTGCAGCAATCACATGCCCCTTGAATAAACTTTTTGTCTACTAGGATCAGAATCAGTTATTTTAACTCCACATTAGTGGTCCAGTTGTAACGTGCACAGTTTAGTGTGTACACATGCTGAATAACCAAGGCCAAGTACTAGGCCTGTATTGGTAATGTAGTAATGTAATAAGTTGGCTAAAGTTCAGCTAAGGCAATATGTCATGGCCATACAGGCTAATGTACAGAACTTAATGGAGACACTACAGGTGAACACAATAAAATTTGATAACTAATAACTTCATCACAATGGGTAGTAGGCATAACAAACACCATCTATATGTGTATTTTGGAGGTTTTCTTTCCATTTGCGTAAAAGAAGACATGGAAGCAAAATACACCAAAATCTCAATATTGACCACTACATAAAAATAAAAAAAGAGTCCTGCTTTAAACAGTAATAATAAGTATACAGTCTATTAGTTTGTTGTATGCTGATAGATCTGTCTCTCTGTCCTGGCCTTATTTCAGGTGTCCCTGTGTGACATATTTTAATAATATTTCCTGGGGTGAAATTCCCCAGGTGGCGTTGTTGGCAATTTAAATACAGAATCACACCCATGTCTTGTTACACAAGCATTCCAGTATCCATGTGAGTCATAGGCTTTCTTGTAGTCAATCCAGGCGGTGCACAGATTGGTCTGCCTGGTCTTACAGTCTCGAGTGACTGCTCTATCAACCAGTAGCTGGTGCTTTGCTCCCCTGGTATTACTACCCATCCCCTTCTGGGCTCTGTCCATGTATTGAGCCATGTGCCTACTCATCTTAGCTTCCATGTTGTGCAGAGGCAGGTTATTGGCCGGTAGTTGGATGGGATTGTTCCCTTCTGGGGATCCTTCATGATCAGGACTGTCCATCCTTGGGTTAACCATTCTGGGTGGGTCCCATCCATCAGCAGTTGGTTCATTTGTGCTGCCAGGCGTTCATGGAGCGCAGTTAGTTTCTTCAGCCAGTAGGTGTGGATCATGTCAGGGCCTGGTGCTGTCCAGCTCTTCATACCTGCCACTCTTTCTTGGATGTCTGCCGCTGTAATGGTTACTGGATCTGGTTCAGGGAGATTGCTGTGATCTGTTCTTAGATTCACTAGCCACTGAGCATTGGTGTTGTGGGATGCCTCTTTCTCCCATATGTTCTTCCTGTACTGTTCATTCTCAGCCCTGGATAGATCTGATCTTGTGTTATTATCCTGCAACTGAGAGTACACTTTGGATGGTTTGGTGGAAAACATCCGATTTATTCTCCAGGCTTCTGCTTCTCCATTGTATCTCTTTAGGCGGGTAGCCAGAGCGGTAAGTCTTTGTTTGGCAGTCTCCAGAGCCTCAGGTATCGACAGCTTTCCTTGCACCTTTCTGTAGCTCTGAGAGCTGACTAACCTCTCTCCGTGTTGCCTTGATCTTGGCTTGTGGTGTGTTGTGCATCTTATAGCCAAGCATCTCTACGATCGCTGTGGCGTACATCAGCTCATTGGTTTCGGTTATGGCTTTAGTATAGTATATAGTGCTGCATTCACATCTTCTAGCAGACTTTCCAGAGGGTACCTTGTCACTTGGGGGTCCAGCTTCAATGGTAGGTCAGTTGTCCTTATGTTACAGACAGCCCTCCCTCAAATGTGAAATTAAGTCCATGTCACCATCAGTTACTTTGTATGTGTGTGTGCGTGTGCGCGCGCGTGTGCGGTAAGTGTAAAATAGAAATAATAACAATGTATTTGATCTATACTTTATTGTATTCGGGCAATTCAGTATAATATTGCTTGTCTGTTTAAAACTGAAGGTTTTCTCGCTTGTGAAACAAAATTATTTTAATAATGAATTTTTATGTCCCTCTCCTTGGTGCAGTCATTTATTCTAAATGTATACTTGAAACTAGTAGCATAGAAGAGCTGTTGCCTGCTCTTGTAATAAACCTAGTGAATGCTAAAGAAGAAATCTGAAGAGAATGAAATAATTGCGGGAGTGTGATGGAATTAAAATAAATTGGTAAGGAAGTCAGAGTTGTGTTAACATTTAACGTTTTGTTGTAAAAAAAAAAAATAATAATAATAATTGTGAGAAGTGCCCTTTTTTTCCCACTTGAGCCCCTGCCCCTCAAAATATCTGTGCACGTCTGTCATTGCCATCCTCCCTGTCATTTTCCTCTACTTCTCTTTTTGAATGTGCAGTAGTATTCAGTAATAATGATGTCTCAAAGACAAAGAGACTTTTTTGTCTCACCTGGTGTGATAGTGGATGGTCCTGAGTCCTGGACAGCCGTCCATTCTACGAGGAAGCCTCGGCCTCCCACCACTAAATCCGACTGGAACTGCAGGGTGACAGTGCTTGCGGAGCTTCTTAGGGGAGGGGGCAGGGACAGACCACAGAATGACCCAATAGGGTAGTAATGAACACTGGGGCCATCGAATATCTGTAGAGAAACAAGGATTGAGGGCAGAATGGATGAACTGGATTATCCGTTTTTTTACCTGTGACAAGGAGCCTAAATGTAATACAGAGCAAGGATAAGATGTATATTTTATTTTACCTGGCACCACCCCATCCCTGGTAACACTGATTAATGGTCAGGAGTCAGTTACAATAGTTTACCAACTTGATCTGTATATATATATCCTTTTTTGTTTGAGAAGGCTGGCTAAGGCCTGTTTTATAGATTCTGTCTCTTTTGGCATGCTTCTCTCACTGTCAAATACAAAAATGTTCCATAGGGTGGGAATTATCTGAAGCAAACGGAAAAATCTGATTTGTATAGAAAGTAGATTCTTTAGTCTATTTGGTGGACAGCTCCCCTCACCTTCATCCAGAGTTTCAGATCCTCTGGTTCGCTTTCGACTCCCATTAGGCAAAACTACCAGATTTAAAAACTCTTCCATACACTCTGCCATCTGTCAACTAAACTTTGTGAGGACTGCACAACCAATTGCCCTTTGAGGACAAATAAAGTGAAGGTGAGAGATCCACCACTGCTGACGAATCTATGTAGAACTAGGTCTCAGCATCAGCAACAACATCAGAGGCAAAACACAGTTGAATGCAGTGGGCAGAGGACTGGTGCCTTTGGGATGTTGGATCTGCACCCTCCCTTCAGAGAAACAAATGCATATTTCTAGATAGACTGGAAGCACACCAGGCTAGGGTAGTTGTGTTCCTGTGCTTGAGGAGTACATCATGAGCTTTTGCGTCACAGAATTGTTTGATCCACAATATGTGGGGACATGTTAAAGCATTACTGTGCCATAATTACTGAGTAAAAACATGAATCAGTGACTTCTAAGTTTTAAAAAAAGTGGGTGGGTTGACTGATGTTTCATCATTTCTAATGTTGTGTATCTCATGAACTGAAAACATTTGATTTGTATCTTGATGTACAATCAATGATCTGATGCCCCTGGGCCCAAAGCAGCCAATGGATCAATATGACTCGGTTGATTACTGTTGCAATGTAGAAACACCACAATGGATTTCAATACACTTAGACACACTAGTGCAAACAGTCTGACTGTAATTATAACATGTTAAATCAAGCATACAATGTGATTTCACAGGACACACAATCATACTTTGAGCTGGTCGTAGTAACAGCCATCCAGGTCCTCTATGTCCATGTCCAAGAAGCGGATCTGGATGTATCTGTCTCCCTCCACAGTTATGGTCCAGCGGTAGTGGGCATTGTTGGGGTATGTTCTGGGATACAGTGGGGATGCTATCTGACCAAACTCCCCCACCATATCATTACCATATACTGGGAAACAGTGAGGAAGTCGAAGTTAGATTTCTCATTCACTTACACTTTCATTTTTGTTGTGTTTTTCTCTTAATTAGTCAGACATTTTTTTTTTTAAACCCGTCCTGCCCAGCAGCCTGGTATAGAGTATGATGAGCTGGATACCATATTGTGCCAGACAGATTTTACTTTTAACACGAGAATATTAATATACTCCTTTGTCTGTTTTATTATTTATTTAATTATGTATTGATTTGTCACTGGGCCGGAAAGGGGGGCAGACATGGGGATGGGGGGGCACAAACAGACACACACACACAGAGAACAAACAATAAAAATAATAATAATAGTAAAAGACAACCAGCCGAACAGCAGTAATAAACAGCTGACATAGTATGACAACTAAGAGAAAAATTAAAACAAGAAACAGTCACGCACAATAACTAAGCAACACAGCACAGCCATAAGAGCTGGAATAATAACAATTAATTTAAATAAGTAACAAAGAAAAACATCAGGAATAATTCTACCAGGGACAACCTAAATTTGTTTGTGTCTATGTGTGAGACTGTGTGTGTCTGTGTGCGTGTGGGTGAATGTGTCTGTATGTGTATGTGTGTGTGTGTGTGTGTGTGTACATGTGTGTGCGCATAAGCCTGTTAAAGAATTAGTCAGACTTAACACAATTCAGCAAATGAATAAACAGCCGTCCACACCTTACATACACTGAGACAATTACATCAGTAAGATATTTGTAAGAATAATGACAACGAGAAGGGGCTAGTGCAAGTTAAGAAGATGCAGTAGAGCATGTGCTGGTGGTTTTGTATGGTGCTGAGTTAAATTTCCTTCTCACTGACCACCAGAGGAGGTGTGTGATACTCGGATATCCATCACACACATGTGCAGGAAGTCGAGACTTCATACCAACAAAGTTACGTGCAGCAGTGAAAGAACCAGTAACAATACCACAGTGCACTGAAAAACTCACTTAGGTAAAAGTAAATGTACTTTAAGTACCAAAAGTAAGAGCACTCATTATACATAATGGCCCATTAAGAATAACAATGTTAATGGGTTAGAATTACTGATACAGCTGGTAAAGGGGGGCTAATTTTAAATCATTTAGATCCCGCTGGGGGATCAATGAAGGCCAAATTATGAATCAGTTTGGATGCTGCCTGATATGGCCGAGACCAACTGCTGACCATTAACCCCAATATTGTTTCCCTCACAGTATTTGTAGATGGATGCTCACTGTTCACACCCATAGAATAGACAAATCAATGACCTGCTTACCAAGAGCTATAATATACTGGCTCGGATGGAACGTATTGGGCACTCTGAGTGACGTCCCGCTCCAAGTCTTTGGAGACCAGAAACCTTGGCAGCTCTGCACTCCCCTGCTAACCCTAACCACAAAACGAGAATGGTTTACAAGCATCAGTTTGACGAATACCTATTTTTTTGTGTCACCATAGTTGGTTTCTTGATTTTGCCTTCAAGGAACAGGCTTACCAGTTCCAGGTGCCAGCGAGTGCAATTTAGTGTTATTGAAGGTCTTTCTCTTCCTATAGAGGATAGAGGACACTTTCAGCCTAATATTCAGAGAGGCAGAAGGCCAACAATCCAGCCTGTTCTTCCAGTTGCTGGGTAATTTGACAGCAGCAAAGGCAGTCATTCCACGGGGCTCCTTTCTTTGTGCTACTTGGAGATCTGACTAAATGGACTGTATCTTGACCCCAGGTGGATTCAATGTGCCAAATGCCATGACGGGCAAGACTGGCTTACTTATGCAGCTGCGTTCCCTTGGGCTCAGGTCCTTCCCGCAAAGAAGTAGTGATCACAGCTGCCTCCCTCTCTGGGTAGGAGCCCTCAGCAGTGCATAAATGTGCTGGAGCAGCGTGCAGCAAACCTTGATCTCAGAAATATTTCTGTAAGTAAAACATGTCCTTGTTCAGTCAGACAACACTTAGACATCCCAGTTCCCAGTTATCCTGCTCCAAGGCCTTGCAGCAGTGCATGCTGGATCTTAATTTGTCAGACATATGGAGATTTCATAATCCAGTGGCTAAAGAGTATACTTTTTTTTCCCCCAATAGACATAAGTCATAATCAAGCAATTAAATAAATTTTTTTACTACCAGTTACTAAACAAAAAGCACCCCGTTGGAGGTTTAATACCACTTGAATATTAAATGACGATTTTTGCTCTCAATTTAAATCCAAATTGAGTGAATTTATTTCTCTCAATCTGTCACATCATTTGCCTCCTTTCAAAATCGCTCTCGTCAGCAAAGAATTGTTGAGTTGGAGAAGCAGCTGGCATCCTTGGAAAGAGCACAACAAAACTCCTTTTCTTCTTTACGAACAGGTCAGCTTAGTTTGGTGAAAAGTGAGCTCAACTCACTATTTAGAGTAAAAGCTGAGTTCCTAATTCAAAAATCCAGAGAATGTCATTATTTTAATGGTAGCAGGCCCTCACATCAGCTAGCCCTTCGGCTTTGTTCTAATGAACGGCGGGCTTGCATTTTTTGCAATACAATCTCCAGGTGGAAATATAGTAACTACTTCAACAGAAATTAATGCAGCCTTTGTTTGTTTTTATTAAAATATCTATAAGTCTGATATGATATTTAATAAAGAGAGATACATGTTACTGATGTAACATATAAGGAAACTGTCTGAAACAAGCAGTTGAATTAGGAGAAAATATTTCCTTAAAAGAACTATGGGACGCAGTACAACAAATGAAGTTGGGAAAATCTCCTGGATCAGACGGTATTCCCACTGAGACTTATATCACTTTTTGGTCTGAATTAGGTCCTATGCTTTTGGAAATGATAAATACATCTATTAGAAGAGGATATTTTCTAAAGCAAACAAATACAGCATTAATATCCCTGCTTCTCAAAAAATACAAAGATCCAATATCATGTGCTAGTTACCAGCCTATATCTTTAATTAATGTTGATATGAAGATTTATGCTAAAGTTTTAACGCGCCGTTTAAATAAACATCTTGGGAATGTAGCATGACTACATTTAATCTAATAAATTTATGAGAATACCAAATTATGAATTTTAATATTCAGAAAATATTAATTCACGAAGCTTCTCGTTTCACGGGGCACCAACGGATATTCCGTTCGCCCAGGGTCTCAGGACTCCCTGAGTATGGCTAATAATTAGACAATTATTCACTAGTGATCAGTTAGTTAACAATCGCTCAATTATCTTAAATCAGTCAGTCAATCTCATATCGAAATTAATAATAATTAATAATAAATTCTCTTGGCAGGGACTTGGAGATAGGCAATACACACACAATTCCCTGATTACAGTGAAGTTTATTAACTAACTAAGGTGATATAAAAATGCAGTTAAATACATCAAAGAATAAACAATGGCTAAACAATGAGAAGGGGTTCTATTGTGGGGAGCATTTGTCTCATACGGGCAGCTAATGAACGCGAGCTATGAGTTTTAAGAGTTAAAGATAATCTATTATCAACTATGGGACATCACTGACCACAGAATGCAGGGTTTTGGTCTTACTGCGTGTCGCTTCTCCCAGCCGGGAGCTGGTCAACGGCCTCACACTGGCTGAGATCCGTGCGTTCTTGGTTAGGACAGCTTAAAGCTGTCGGTTAGTCGCTTTCTCTGCCAGGGAATTGCTCTGGAGGTCCATCTTTGTCGGCTTACTGAAGAAACTCGCAGTGGGGCCTTTCAACCCTGGCTCGGGTCAAAGGTTTGGTCGTCCTTTGTTACTGCTGGCGGGACCACGTGGTGGGGGTCCGACCTGTGTGAGATTAGCTTGATGAATCAAGCTTAAAAAGAAAAGAACTTGGTCGTTCTTCAATTAAACTAGTATAACTTAACGGACTGATAACTTTTAACAAAACAAAACCAAAGATAATAAAACGCAAGTAAGCTGAGGTCGTGGCACTTCGCGTGCGTGGCCTGAAACGAACAAGGCTTTGCTGCGCCGGGTCGAATCTTAGGGCGTGGCCCGGAGAGGGGAAGGCTGGGCGCATGCCGAAGCGCAGTTGGAGAGCCAGGAACAAACAGAGGACAAGAGCATGAACAAGCGCGTGTATCTCTGTTTTGTCTGTTGGGACGTGGTTCCCAGAGGGCAGTCCTTTGTTCCCCGGAGGGAGGGCTTGTTTCCGGTTTCCGAGAGACCGTTTTTCTTTAGACATTAAAAATCGAAAATTTATTTGCACGTATTGTAATCAAATATCTTCCACAATCAAACCTTAGTTGTCAAAAGTTGCCATGGTTACGTGTGGGGGGGGCAGCTTAGGGTTTCTTGCCCTCTCTTAAGAAGAGTTTTGATAGGCTGTTCATGAGATAGACTTGAATGAGATTACCTTTGGGCCTTATTAGATCACATGGGGCTTGGTGAACAATTTATTAAGTATATTAAAGTTTTGTACGCAAACCCATGAGCAATGGTGTTATCAGGCAATGTTTGCTCTTCACATTTCACAATTTCCAGAGGTTCTCGCCAAGGATGCCCTCTGTCTCCTTTATTATTTATTTTATCCCTTGAACCTCTTGTTCAAAAAGTACGTCAATCTACAAATATTTTACCTATCATAATAAATTCTACCATTCACCATGTATCAATTTATGCAGATGATGTGCTACTCTTTATTAGTAAACTCTCACAGTCATTCCCTTATATCCTGAAGTTATTTTCAGACTTCAGTAGTATCTCAGGATACAAAATAAACTGGCAGAAATCTGCTCTCCTTCCCCTAAGTAGCTCTGGTGATGATTTAACTCAAATTAACATCCCAATTGTAAACCAATTTAAATATTTAGGAATTGACATTTTTCCAACTTTAGAATCTACAGTCAATAATAATTATATAAAAGTTCTGGAAAAAATCCAAAAAGATTTAGGGAAGTGGACGTCAAGGCCTATATCTTTTGATGCTAGGATTTCTGTTATAAAAATGATAGTGTTACCGCAAGTAAATTTTCTTAGCTCTATGTTGCCTATAAGTCCACAGATTGAGTATTGGGATACTTTACATAGTCTAATCACCGGGTTTATTTGGAATAACAAAAGACCAAAGATTAAACTCACAACTCTTCAGAGAGAGAAATCAGCTGGAGGTTGGGGAGTTCCAAATTTCAAAGTGTATCATTGGTGTTTTGTATTGCGTACTATAAAATCTTGGTTAGACCCCACAAAATCTGTTTGTTGGCGCTCTCTGGAAGAGAAATTAGTTTATCCGCATAGATTACAAGATCTAATTTATGCAGAAGTCCCATAAAAACAAGCCAAAATGCGTTTTGGGCCTATTATTTCTAATCTTTTACTAATTTGGAAGTTTGCGACCAACAACACTTACTATAAAAAAAAGTGGCATCATCATACACCAGTATTTCATAACCATAATTTACTGCTGGGCGGTCGGACAGTGGCCTACCCAATGTGGACGAACAACGGAATTTATTTACTTGGACAGTTATTCAATATTAATGGTCTCCATACATTTCACGATTTGAAGGAAAGCTATAATTTACCTGGAGTTTCCTTTTTTTTATATTTGCAGCTTCGTTCTGCCTTAAAGGCATAGTATAGGTATAATAATAATGCAAAGTTCCTATAAACCAATTGCAATTCAAACAATCTGGCAAAATGATTATAGCTTCATTTCCCCTACAATAGCTTGGGAAAATATTTGAAATAATATTAACCAAGCTTCTAAAAATCCTAATCACCGATCCATCCCGTATTATGCTTGTTAAATGATAACTCTCAGGTGCTAATGTTTGTGCATGAAAAAAGAATTTGGCTTTCTGGCCTAACTGCTGCAAAGAAAATGCTGGTAATACGGTGGAAACCACCACATACTCTTTCACTACACCATTGGTGGAACTTGCTGTTAGATATTCATACTTTAGAGCTCTCTGTGGCACGGTCTCACGGTGCTAAAGGAAAGACCATAAGGTCCTGGTCAGAAGCTCTTCAAGTTACTGAATTTCTTGCCGGGGGGGGGCACAGTAGATCACTCAGTAGGGAGGGTAGGGGGGGATTAGTTAAAGTACAGATTGTGTTAGTTTTGTTTATATTGTCTGTGTGTGTATGTGTGTGGTTGGGTGTGCGTGTGTAGGTGAGTGAGTGAGGGAATGAGGGTGTGTACATTGTATTTCTGTACATGTATATGCCTTTCTTTTATATTTTTTTTCCCTTTTCTTCAAATCAACCAACTTCAACGATCAGAACAGTCCTGTCAGGAGGATCTTTGAGCATCTTTGTCAACCAAGAGGAAAAAGCTGACAAGTTCACGTTCTCTTGAGAAGTTTAATTTCCCGAAAACTAAAGCCTGAAGCTGTGAAACTACACATGTAGGAGGAGTTATCAGTGGTTACAATGCCCAGGCTCCTTCATCACTTTATCGCTTGTAACACCACAGTAAAAGGTGTCATGTGATTGATATCCAGGTATACATACCGTCTCTTGCCTCATCCAGAATAGATAGGACTGCAGGTATATTCATAACTCTCATTTTGGTGTGTGCTGCATGTAACCTTTGAACAGGACTGGCTAGGTAGTGATATAGTTCAGTGTACTGTTTGCAGTTACAGTTTTGATGCACCATGTTATTGTTCGGTACAACAATTCTATTTCTCAGCTCAACCTAAAGTAGCAAAAAAACTTATGCCAATGTCATACTTCTTATTGGAGAAACTATACCTGCCTAAATAGTGAAACCAGTGATATTCATTTTATATAAACATGACAATGTTAGGTGTTTAATTTTCTTTACACACAGACACTCACAGTGTGAGAAGGTGGCTCTGAATCCTGCTCCGCTATTCAATGCGTCGGAGACAAACTTAACCCACAAGATGTGGCCAATCACGGAGGTATAGTTTGAGGGGAGCGAGTTTCCACAGAAACGACCAACCAGCGGCCCAGTGGAGTTACCCTCTCGGATTTCCACGTAGTCATTTTGACAGCCAGAATCTCCCTGCAGGTGAAAGATACTGAACAAAACACAACCCTGTTACTGATATTCAGTGATGAAGTATCCGCTAAATGCCAAACATCAGTTTAGAAACATAGATTAACTATAGCACAAAAACAACTATGAAACATTTAACTATCAAGTGCTCAAACAGGGAATGTGCAATGGTCATCTTGCTGACAACCTTCACTATCAGCTTACTTTGTTTTTATTATCTCTGTTTAGGTTTAAAAAGCCACCTGGCTTCCAAAATAACACATATCACATATCATCACACCATCAATATCCTTCACATGAGTTATCTGAAGAAAACTGAGATGCTGGCTCAGGTGGCTCCTTATGTAAGTAGCAGCAGCCAATAGCCAATACCAGTATCAATATGTATGTGTATGGAGAATATCTGTAAACAATGTACTGGCTGATTTTCATTTGTTACAATAAACACATATTACCATATGTGTATCTCTGTGATAAGCTAATACTTATACTAATAATATAATACGGTGTGGCCATTGTGTCACTCGAGCTCTACAGATGTCGGTATAGTAACCCTAACCTTAATGACACAAACCTTTTCTAACTCCAACCAACTTTGTCCTGAACACAAACACAACCATTTCAGCATCAATTCTGAACTTATCTATCTTTTATATCTGCTGTTTCCTGGCTGAGACATTATTTTTGCAAATAACAACTTATTGCACTCTTATTCTAATTATTATTATTTATTGCCCACTAGCCTTCCTCATAAGAGGATGTCATCGTACATTTCACTGTAAATACTGGATAAGCATGTGACAAATAAAAGCTCTGAAACCTTTTGCAAAGACTGATTGATCTATCTGTGATTTTAAAAAAAACTCAAATTCACTTAATAAAGGCCTCCAAGCTTCAGGTGGGATGGAGAATGCTCAGATTAGTTGATTAACATAAAATTAATAACAAAAATGCATAGCCAGCAATATTGATAAATCATATTTTTTTAGATATTTATTAGACATAAATGCCACACTTTCTCACTTCAGCTACTCAATATTGAGGATTTGGCAGCTTTTGTTTTGTTTCATTAGAAACTGAATATATCTTTGAGTTTGAACTGCTGGGCGAGTCATCTGAAGACATCACCTTCAGATCTGGAAACAATAAAGAAAATCAATAATTGCGGATCCTCTACCAAGGTTTCCACCGGCTCACTGTTTTTGCTTAGCCATGATGGACCTCTTTCTTTCTTCTCTCTGCTGTAAGTGAGAATGGCTGGCAGTGAAAGACCCCTGAATGCATCGTGTAGTTCTGTGTCATTTAACTGGGCACACATCGGATGCACCACACAGAAGTAGTAGCCAGTGTACAGTAGCTGGACTGTCAGTCCGGCGAGGGAATATGATAAAACTGCTGCTTTTCAGGAGTTAGTGTTCTGCAGGTATGTAGGATTTTACACTGAAAACAACAGGTGTTCTGACACACATCATACACTGAGACAGCAGAGAAAGGGGTACATGATCACTTCTTATGAACTTCAGTCATGTAATGACAACTGAGCAGGTTCATTTTCTGAAGAACGTTGTGGGACACTGTCGAAAGCTCCAGAAGAAACTACTACGTGAAGTTTAAGTTTAGAATATTTCACCACAGATATGTGCTCCCAAGGTCATGAACTCAAACTGACTAACATAAATGAAAGCTGGAGACGGTTCCCTGGTGAGCTTCTGATGGTCCACACACACTCCACATTAGGCGGATAAGCATCTGGATAGTTAGGACTGTTAAACGCACCACTCTCCATCACCAGATCTCCTCCACAACCTAAGCAAAACAGGTGAGAAAGGTGAGTTCCTGTCAGTGTGTGTGCATGAGAAAAGAATTATTCTGCATTTGCAGTGGTCCAGCTAGAACTGTGAGAAAACGTCCCAGTATGACTTACTGGAGGTGGATGCCGAGTAGGTGGCTCTGAACCCTTTCCTGGAGACGGAGTGGTCGGAGATGAAGTTGACCACCAAAGAGTTACTGAAGGATGTTGCTGGGTGAGGCATTTCCAAGCCACAGTAACGCCCTGACAAAATATTATATTACATTTTAATTCACAACTCTCTCTCTCGTTGTCTCTCTCTGTCTCTCTTTCAGACACAAAGTTAGCTACCTATGGCAGGTGCCTGGTAGTTGTCTCCATCCAGGATCCTCACAGCATCATGGGAACAGTTGGAGTCGATCATCTCTAACTCAAAGTCAGTGAAGGACAGGCTCACATGGATGACTGGCCACAGAAAGACAAGTCAAATGTGAAAAGGACACCATGTATACAATAATAAGGGTTTCTAGTCTGAGGGACTAACACACAACTCACATGGTTCCTGTGCTCTAATGATCCAACTACAGTTCTGATTGGGTGGGTATGGTCGTGGGTACCATGGCGATGCAATGGCCCCACCAACATTGTCTGTTATGATGGTTGCACCACAAGCTGTTGAAAACCAACAAACAAACAAAATAACAATGTTAGCGTCTTCCACCCCTCGGCCACCAGAATATACAGTTTGAGCCGGTCGATCTACAGTACCTACAGTGTGGCATGGAGCATGACTTCGCTAGTGCAACAGATGAAGACTTACAGAATGATTGCATCAAGCAATGCGTTATTGTAAAGCTGTGTAAACCTGACTGCTTGTGTCCAGTCTCTAAAATGACGCTGGTGGTGAGTACGTTGTTATATAAATGGACTGATTAATACTGCTGATTTCTCACAATGCAGTAACAAAGTATAAAGAGTGCAGTTATTTGAAAGTCAAGTTCAAATTAAAGTTTATCAGAACACAAGTCACAATATGCCGATCTCTGCCAGTCTGCTTTTATGATCTGATTGAGCCTCTTTAATTATATAACCTGCAATCTGCCCCACAGGGACGGCTCATGTGTTTTCATTTCAACATTGCAATATCTTCAGTCTTGGAAAGTGGAATGCTCTTATAGTCATTCCACCTCGTCTGAGATCGGTAATGCGCTTTGTGCAGCCTCATGTTCACAGTACAGCAGTCGGTTGTGGTGTGAAATTTCACCCATGTTAAAGGAGACCCACCCTCAGAGAAGCGAGCGCTGAAGCCACGGTGGCTGCGACTGGAGTCGGACCTAAAGCGAACATAGATGGTGTTCTGGGTGGAGGTGATGGAGGGAGGAAGACTGGTGCCACACACATGTGCAAGCAGAGGAGAAGATCTGGTTGGACCATCATAGATCTACGAAGGGACAGACAATTTGGTTTCAGCCAAATGTTAAGCACAAGCACTGCAGCATAATTGGTCACTGGTTAATGGACTAAATTTATATAGAGCTTTCTAGCTTAAGGGACAAATCGCTGTACACCTTGCCTCTCCTCCACCCATTGACACACACACACTCACACACTGAAGACAGTGTAACTACCATGCCCTGACCTGCCCTTCAGGAGCCGAGGATAAAACCAAAAACTCTGCAGTTAGTGGACGACACAGCCCAAACTAAGGCAACGACTTACTTTCTGTAATTACAGCTTAGTCATGCAGGGGCTTTAAAACAGCTTCTGCTAATTGCCACCACACTGTCCATACTGTAACTTCCACAGAAATCAGAGCCTCGGGATGATTCCATCCAGGTTTTGCAGGAAGTAGTGGTAGTACAGTAAGTCACTTGCTATGTAAATGTATTTCATTCACTGGACAGGCTGAATCTGTTCCCCAGAATTGAACCTCCATCACTGATTTAGGCTGTAACTAACCCACATGCAACCACTTGCATTTATGAACCTCTTAGAAAATACATATAACGTGGTGCCTGGAGCTCTAGTAGGTCAGCGACAACACAAAAGTGCCTTGGCACAACGCTCTTGAACTACAAATTCACTGTTCCTAAATCAGTCCCTCACAGCCACATAGTCCCAGGAGCAGTTGCTATGGTATTCAATGTCCAGGTTGGAAAAGTTGAAGAAGACACGGTGGTTGGGATCCACACTGATGACCCAGGAACAGTCCGCATTGTTGGGATAGCTGCTGGGATACAAAGGAGAATGGATCTCCCCTGATGGAGCTGTGACTGGGCCTCCACATCCTGCAGGGAGACAGGGGACAGTTGATAAAAGTTCACTCACAGGGCTGCCGGGTTACATGAAGTCTGTGTCCCAATCTATCTTTCTAGTAATCTGAGACACATGTTTCTCCTGTGTTTCATACCGATAACTGAAACCTTAGAGTATGATATACATTTACTGTACAGATTTTGTTTCTTGGGTACTGGCCACCACGCACTAAACTAAATGGAGGTTCTATGTGATCACGGCCCTGTTTGACTTTTAGAGTTTTTAAACAGATCTAAGTTTGAAATATAGGAACAAATCAAATTAAATTATCAATATTATATTTAAACACAAACACAATATTAAAAGGAGGGCAATGCCTCCTTTACCTAGAACCAGAATGCCTTTCCTAGGTTTACCTCCTGACTGTAAATGAATATTCTTCCAGATTAGTGATGACTAATCAGATTTTGTTTTGTATCCTATGTTCAACACTTAACAAACACTAGGGCCCATAAGCATCGTTAGGCCTGGGCCTTCGATCCCCGGATGTTTTTTTAAAAGATCTCAAAAAGACTTTTTTTAAATGAAAAATAAGAATAATATAAAAATAGCCCTGGATCTATTTATCTATTATTCCAATGATGCATTAAAGCCCATTAAAATAATCTCATATAATTGGGTCCTTGATCAAGCTGCAGGTCGAGCGTTACTCTGCATGCCTGCATTTAGAGTCAGTGTCCCCCTCGCTCAGAGACACTCTGCTCTGTTAGGAATGGGCTTTGGTTTTGGGTTCTGTGTTTCTATAAGCTTTATTTCATCTTGTCATGTTTAGGGTTTTGTGTTTCGGGGGCTAGGTTTAGTCTTTTGTTCTTTCGCATGTTTAAGTTTTGCCGGGATGTACACACTCCTGTGCATGCTTAATTGTGATATGTAATACAGTCTCTTCACAACGAATTTGTTGAAAAAAAAGAAGAAGAAAATTATAGCAGCAAGAGATGATTGAATACACAACCCTCCGAACGGGACTCCTGTGCACTACCAACTGAGCTAATTGCACACACAGTAAATGGGCATGCACTCGGTGGTCCACCCACCTCCCTGAACTTCAGCCCAGCTTGCATTGAAACCTCGTCCACTGACGTAGGCGTCTGACTTGAAGCGCACCGTGAGCAGGTTGCCGGTGCTGGAGACATGCATTGGGCTGGACGTGGTGCTGCAGAGCTTGGCCAGCTGAGGGGCCAACAGATTTGGGCCTCCATACACCTGAGGGGATATCAAAAGTAATGGTCAACATGCCAACTGTAATGCTCACAGTTTCAAAAAGAAGCCATTTTATTCTGAATATTGACCAGTTCCACTACTGATTCATTTACTGAGCTATACCACCAGGGCTTGACTTTTTTGCTCACTAGTCATTGTGGCTAGTGGTTTTCCAAAGTTACTAGCCACACAGCATTTTCAGTAGAACCACAAATTATTTTTGTCTAAGAAGAAGTCCACAATTAAAACAGGATTTTTGTGCACTTTTGGATTACTTGTCTTGTTTGACTGGATTTATGTTTATCATCATGAATCTCTGGTAGCTTTGAGTAACTGGAGATAGGCCTGCTTCCACCTGAAATGAGAACACAGGTCTTTATTTTCCAGATTATTCCTATGCAAACGCATCATCTGCTTTCCTATGGCATGAGTACTTAGGCTATAATAAAACATAGAATTAACTCTGGAAAGGTAGCCTAGTTGTGATATGACGATATGATGTGATATGAGGGCAGCTCTGCTAGTAGTTTATGTTATTTTCTTTTTTAAACACCACCATGTCCCTTAATCATGAAGATATCTGTAATTTTATGCATGTAACGGCTCTTTTCTCCTTTTCTCTTTCTCTTGTTCTCCTGTGCATTTTTATTACGCACACTCACACACTGACTGACCGCTGTGTTGATGTGTATATGCGTGCGACCAGTCGCATGTGATGAATGAGTGAATGAATGAATCATACCACGCATCAGGTTAAAACAAGAAGGGAGGCTGACAGTCTACAGGTCTGAGGGACTGTGGTTGCCCTGTGACAGATTCAATTTTAAAGGCCTATTCTCGTTTGACAAAAGTCTGGATGTCATATGTGGCGTACCTCGAGCGGAGTGATGCACAATGTTGTGTGGATTCTCCTGTTATAAAAAAGCTTGCTATCGCTGCCGCTGGTCAAGTTGATAATTAACAACAGGCTAGAACAGCCCTCAGTCTGACGGCCAGTCCGCTAGTTTAATCTCCACAGCGTCAACTTGTTTACAGTGTCGTCAGTCAAGGCAATAGGCTTCACGAATGGACCAATGAGCAAACAATGAGCAAACACTATGTGCAGGTAGTACTCATTGGAGTTGTAGTGTCGTAGTGTCAAATTGCAATTCGTTTGTTATTTCAAATGCATTTTTCAACACACCAAAGTGACTAGTGGCAGTGACTTGCACTAGATGTTATGTGGCGGGTGTTAATGTCAATCCCTGCATACTACATTTATTAGCCAATATGTCAACACAACAGTCTTCACATAACAAATAGCTGTTATGGGTTATGGATAGCCCCTACTGGACAGTCCTTGAAGCAAATTTGCTCTACTCTGCCTCTGACTGGCTCAGCCTGATGGTGATGTTTCTAACGTGGCCTTCACTGAAAGAACAAGAGGTTTCTGCTGACAAATTAGCTCCAAATTGTTAATTTCTTCTAAATGCAGTCCATCTGTTCAAAGCATAGGCAGCATAGCTTGATATTGTTAACCAGTCCAGTCAAAGTGTAGCCACTGAGATGCAGCCTCTTTGGTGGATGAAAGAGATGTGAACGCAGCTAGCAGTCCAATCACAGTGTAACCCTGCTGTAAGTTAATGCCACACCTTGAATAGAATAAACACAATGTTTGAAATAGTAGCCATGACTCAACAAAAAACAATGGACAGACTGCCACTGATTCATCAGACCTCGCTAATATTCAATAATAATAATAATAGTCAAATTAACCAGACAGTTACTGGTGGTTATAAACATACAAACTATTAATTCATGAATTAATGAGGTGCTACTGTAAACAGATGGACTGCATTTAGAGGAAATATTATAGCCCTGTTCTTTTAGTGAGGGCTACGTGAAAAACATCATCATCAGGCTGAGACAATCAGAAGCAGAGTAGGGCGGCTCATGCCTTCGCCATAGTAGGATTCACAAATTTGTGTCCCGAAAGAAAAGCTCAGGGAAGTGGCACATTGTGTCACCAACTACTTCTCTGATTTTCTTTCCAAACACTATACTGTGGACATTCTGTATGTACAGTATGTGAATCTCTGGCTACAGAAATGACCTGTTTCTCGTACCTAGAGCAACAGTATTTTATGAACTATGCATGGTACACTAGCACTAGAGAGAAAGAGTGGAAGCCAGCAGAGAGACGGGTCCATATCTTACTTCCAGCACATCATAGTTGCAGTCTTGGTGGAACTCCACATCAAACTCATGGATAGTGAAGGTGACGCTGCTGCGAGCTGATGTGGTGATGTACCAGATACACTCCCTGTTTTCTGGATACCTGTTGGGATAGTCTGGACTGTTGAAGGAGCCACTGGGTCCAGAGAGCTCCCCACCACAACCTGCAGGGACACACACAAAGCCAGAGCGCACAAAAGAGTCTGATCTAACCAAGTAAACCAGACAATATGTTAATAAAGTGATGATCCAGGCTCAAAAAATGACTGCTGTGCATTTCAAAGCAACAAGGAGGTCAATCAATCACAGGGTGTCCCACGCTGACATGAACCAGAATTGACATCTCAGTTCATCTGATATTAGAGCATGTGAAACTATTGGATGATTTCGTCCGCACTTTAAGCGCTCAGCTTTGGTACCAGTGCATGGCAAGGAGCATAGCACTGCTCTGGATTCCTGAAGCTACAAAGTATTTCCTCGCCTTTGCCTGTTCGGTATTTTGGTGATTCAACATGTGCCCAGTGGGAGAAGAGCTGCAGAAGAGGGTGTACTGAAATCTCGGTGCCAAGAATGACAAGACCCGGCACACCTGGTTCTGTAGCACTGGAACACAATATTATATATATATATATATATATATATATATATATATAATAGTGCTGGGCAACGATCAAAATATTTTATCGCGATTAATCGCATGATTTTCTTGCACGTGTCTTATCAGGGAGCAGCAGAAACAGTCTGTTCAGTAGGGTTGGGACGATGTCTACAAAACTACATTGAAACATCGGGATGGACGATGGCATGGGGGGGGGGACTAGTGGGGTCGGTGCGTGTGTTCACTCGCACAGACTTCAGCAACATTGAACACAGGGTGTGATAGGCTGCGTCATTAACAAGCAAGCGGCTCACCTGCTGCCATGATAACAGATCGCGGGTGGAAAAATATGGAAAAAAGACGACAGTGTAGTCTGCCGAAGCCTCCCTCCACTGCTTGTTTGGGTGGGTGATTTGCAGGCTGATCAACATCCCGCCCCTCCTGTGACCCATGGTTTGACTGTATGTGTACTAAGTTAACGTTCGATAAAATAATTGTCCGCGTTAATTAATAAGCGCTAATAATGCGTTAACGTGCCCAGCCCTTATATATATATGTAGTGAACAACGGTGTGGATTTGTGCATTTTATATTGAATAAACTTGGAACTACTCTAAATTCCTTTCTCCTCCCCAGAGAAGAAGGGGAGGGGTCAAAGTTGCTTTCTCTAAGTGCTAGCCCCACCATAAAACTGGCATCTTTTTGATTCCGAAGCTGATAACGCGGGGCCTGACTGTTAAACTGACAAAGGGACACGAACCAGCCATCGGCATTTCCCTAAATAGCCTATCAAAACTGGCCCACCACACATGTTTCCGTGTCAACTGACCTTATTCTTTGTTTTATTACCACATCAAAGGGATACTCCTTGTCTCACCTAGGTGTGACACAATCCAGGACAGCCGAACTTTGAATGGCTAAGGACTGCAGTCTCCAAAGACTCAAAGCATTTAATTAAGTTTAATTAAATCTTTAGTTACCTGATTACGTTTGCCTCTATTTGAGTAGTTATGTTAACTGTTGTTGCTATCCGTTGTTGATATTAGTGCTGAAAAGAAGTTACTTATGCAGTGTTTTTATTTTCAGCAAGACACTCCTTCATCTAATGTGATCCAAGCTTTCCTCATGTAACCTGAGCTCCCCCAAGTGGACGAAATAAGTATTACATGCCCTCGTTGGAAATGCCGTTAAATGTATAAATATCCTGACCAATAATGTGACAATTGTTTCCTGTTACCAAATGCTTTAGGACAGTACAACCGTTCAACCATTGAGGTTCGATTGTGGAAGATATTTGATTATAATATGCGCAAATAGATTTCTTTTTAGACATTAAGTTTAGAAAGGCAGTCCCTCGGGAAACCTGAGACGCCTCCTGGGGAACCACGCCACAGGCAACAAAAGAGTGACATGCGTTTCTCTTCGCTTCTTGCTCTCTCCGCTGCTCTGCTCGAGCTCCCTGGACGCTTCGGCACACGTGTGGCGTGCCTCGCCAGGCAACGCCCAGACTCGGCCAGCGAGACCGGCCTTTTGTTCACCTGAAGCTACACACCTGAAGTGCCGAGACATCGATCTGCCCTTCAGTTTGTTTTATTTTCTTTATTTCTTTTGTTTGTTAAAGTTATGAGTCCGTTAAGTTACACTGGACTAATTCAGGAACGACCAAGTTCCATTTTTAGCCTTCTTCGTCAAGCCAACTTCACTGAGGTCAGACCAAGCCACATGGGCTCGCCAGCTACAACGAAGGAAACCTGAAAACAGCCGAATTGCCAGACGGAGGAGGCGTTTTCAATCAGACACGGAAAACCCCGGAGAATCCCTAGCAAAAGCCAGGATCGGCAGCTAGCGTGGGACCCGTGCAACAGGCCAAAAGCAGGATGTCGACAAGCAGTAAGACTTAACACACGTTCTGTGATCAGATGTCCATTTTAACTCCTAAAATCATAGCATTAGTTTACTTTCATTAGTTCTTCTATGCCGTATGAGTCAAATGCTTCCCACAATCGAACCTCCAGGCTCATTGTTCAGCAAATGTTTATGTTCCCTGTATCCAACCGTCTTTTTATCACCTTAGTTAGAGAATAAATTCACTGTCATATAATCAAGAGCTGTGTGTGTTGCCTATTTCTAGTCCCTGCCAAGAGAATTGACCCATTAGATATGAGACTGACTGACTGATTTAAGATAATTGAGCGATTATTAACTAACTGATCACTAGTAATAATTGTATAATTATTAAAACTACCTAGAGGTCCGGAGACTCTAGGACTATAACGACTCCGGTGGTGGCCTTAACGAGGAACACTAACTTTATGAATCTTAAAAATTCATAATTGGGTATCAATTCTCATAAATTTATTTAAAAAACTATAACATTTAGGTCTGCTACATATATATATATATATATATATATATATATATATATATATATAAATATAATATTATAATCTCTGAAAATATCCAAGCTAATTTTTTTTTTTGTTCACTTTACTTTCATTCTTTAACCAGTTGACATAAAATCACACAGAAAAAATATTACAATTATGGTATCATGAGTTTACCAGCATCTACATTTACTCTGGTGACTCTTGTTACAGCCACCTAAAATCCCATTGACTCACAACAACAGAGCCCTTATTCTTCAAACTGACAACTGGAGTATCTAAATTTATCACCAAATCATGTCTTATGTGCTCCTTGCATATTTTGAATTGTAAACTTTTAGCGAGTACTATGTGTAGTCATCCTGTTGATCTGGCTTGGCCCACAACAACAAACAAAATTCCCCTCTTACCATTCTGGTACCACATCATCTGCCAGCCAGACATGGACACAGAGGAGTCGGATCCGAACACCACGGTGAGGGCTGAGCTTGTGGTGCTGCTGGCTGGTGGGGGTGAGTATCCACAGAACGTACCAATCAAAGTGGCTTGTGCATTAGGGCCATTATAGAGCTAGGACAGTAATATTTGGAGAAAGTGGTATGAGTGGGGAGTTTAATACATAGTCACAAAAATATATCTGTACAGTATGAGTTGACAAAAATAACAACAATATAATGCTACAAAACCATAAGCAGAAAAAAAAAGCAATTGTAAGTCGCTTTGGAAGCGTCAGCTAAATGAATAAATATATGTAATGAATCTAAAATATATGAAAGTTTCATTTTTTCAAATAAATTACAGGGAAAAAAATGAGATGCACCTGTATATTATAGCAACATGATGTAGTATTTGTATCTTAACAGCTTCAAAATCGGTTTGATGGTACGCTGACGTGTAACCATGGTGAAGGACATCACTATCATTGCTGCTCTGGCCCGTGGAAGCTTTGTCTGGCACTATGCAGGATTTCTATTGCGAGAACAGCATAATGCTTTACAGCACCATAACACTTCAACGAAACTCTTCAGCAAGCTAGCTGTGCCAGAGCAAGTGGGCAACATAACCGAGCTCAGCAGCATCTATGGATGTAACGTTAGCTAATGGCAAAGACGAAGAGACTGAAGAGGACACTGATGGAGGAAGCTAAGAAGATAAAAAGAGTGACCGAGTAAGAGACTGCCGGACATTGGCGAGAGCATGGTGAAATAAAAGACTGCAGAACAGACGGCGAGCCGGCCTTTTTCCTGTTGGACTAGTCAGTATTATTGCTGTGTCTTGTGTTGTCACTCTTGCTTGATGTTTGGCTGTCAGCAAAGTTGACGACATCATAAGTAATAATGTTCAGCTGTCCTTATCTACGACAGAGGTGAATTACACAAAAAAACACATCTTACATAATGTTGCTTTAAGTGAGTATCTTCCCATTGTCTGTTTGTCTTTGCACAGTGTTGAGCGTCTCTGCCTGTTTCCCTTCTCTGCCTGCATGCTGTATTACTGTGGATTATTGCTTTTCTTTAGATTACTTGTTCCTTTAAGTTCTGCATATCCCCTCAGAGATATGCAACATATATAAGACTTTTCACAGCTGTCAGACATATAGCTTACCATTTTAAAGCACCTTGCAACTGGAATCTTCCCCTCTCTTTGAGATTTATCACCACTTTTCGCTGCTTTAGGTCATCTTTATTTTTATATCTTAATACACCATGTTTATGCTACATATGTCAGCAAGTGTTTCTACTTTGTTTGGTTCATGTGCTGCATATAGACTAGTGAACATCTATCCTATTTAGTCCTGTTATGATGGGCCTTTATTTCTATATGTGGTGGACTGTATCATGTTGTTAGTGGCCCTTGTTGTATAGTGAATGATCTTGCTTTCTTTTCTTTATTTGTATATATTGCTCTATTGTACATTGGCTAATTGATGTAAGGTCATTGTAACTTCTGAATGTTTTGTTGCAACACTTGACAGTTTGGGTTTGGGTTGAAGCAGCTGAGTGAGCAAACTGATATGATGACCATCACCGTGACACCGAGCAAAGTTGAGCGTCCACCCAGCTACGACTGTCTTCTGTGGTTGCGCTTTGAGGTGGTATATTTTGTTACTGTCTGTGCTTTAGGCATCAGGTGTGCTCAATAAAGTTTTTTAATGACTGTAGTGTTGATGTCCTGACAGTAACACTGATGACATCAAACCAATCATCTGCAGCTGCCTCAGCTGTTAGATTGACAGACCTGCTTTTTATTTCAGCTAAAAACCATTGCTTACTCTACTCCATATGTTGGGCCTCACGTCATGAGAACAAAGGGAGGCCTAAAGACAACGAGAGAAAGGCCTACCTGGAACAGGAAAAGCCTGACCATGCAGCCCTTCTGAAACAAAAGGCCTGGAGAACAAAGGAAAAAGCCCTCAAGCCCGGTAAATTACTTATAAAAAACCAAACAAATGGTTTCTATTGGCCGAGTCCTCACAGAAGTGGAGGAAACCCCTGAGGTGCGGTCATTTTGTCCCTGCAGACATAAAAAGAGGACAGCAGCTCCCCTTCCCAGCTGAAATGATATGATATGATATGGTCGTGGGTCCATTTTTTTCAGTTGATACGGTGGAATTGTGTGTATCTGAGTACCTTGACGTAGTCACGGTCACAGTTGGCCTCCACCTGGAAGGCAATAAAGGTGTAGTTGATGGTGTTTCCACTGCTGGCCTGGATGGTCCAGCTGCACTGGGAGTTGTGTGGGTAGTTGTTGGGAAAGTTCAGTGACTCCACCACTCCTCTGTGTTGGCCTGAGATCGGCACACTCTGGCATTCTGAAACGAACAACCAACAAATAAAAAACTAATCTCAGCCCTGATCTGAATGAAATATCTTGGACTCTGCAGAGTTCAGCATGTTCTAAAATCTGTGGGGTCATATGTTGTCAACATGAGAAAATAGGGACCATGGCTAAATAATGGCTTCATTTTGGTTTTGTTTGGTTTATTGACAACATTGCAATGCTCTCGTGTTGAATTAATTGGAAATAACATGTCGGTCTTCTGACTCTTTTGAATTTCCACTCTACTGAAGTTTAATATGAATAACAATCTGTGCTTTTATTTCTTTACATTCTTTATTCATGCTGTAATTCTGCTATCTCTCATTATGTAAATATTATTTTAATTAGATATTATATGTAAACATTATGGAAGTGAGTTCCAATAAGATAATAGCCATGATGAAAATGAAACAAAAGTAGAGAGAATAAGAAGAAGGTGTGTGCTACTGCGTGTGTTCGACTCAAGATGTCTTTTCAGAATATGCTTTTGTGCTTATACTCAAGCAGTTATGTTGATGACTACTTTTACTTCTACTTGGGTGGTATTTTCAAGCAACAGTACTTTTACTTGATCCTTATTTGGCAACACAAACATTTATGTTCTAAAGCTGCCAAAATATAACACAACTCTGCATGTGCAGACTCTTTGCAGCATCCTGCCAGCCTGTGTGTGTGTGTGTTTGTTTCCGTACTGGAGGTGTATGATGCGAGGAAGCCTCCGGCGCTGATGCTGCTGTCAGTGCGTAGTTTGATGTAGAGCTGATTGCTGGAAGACCTGATGGTGCTGGGTGGCTGACTGCCACACAACTTGGCCAGCTGTGGAGCACTGCTGCTGTTACCGTCATGTACCTGAACACACACAGTCACATTGTGAAATAACAGAAACAAAATATGTGACAAGTACACAAATGACTGGTCTGTTGCAGACAATACTGATATGTCCCTATTTGTCATAATAATAACGTACTATTAACTTATAACTGGTGTCTAGTTTGGTGTGAAGAGATATGACTTGGTATAGCAAGTTTTAAACTGATAAATGTATTATTCAAAGACAAAATAATGAATAAACAATAAAGAGAATGTACAAATCCAAATATTGCTGCAACTGCAAGTTATAAACACCTGGGTGTTTAAACAGGAATGACAAGACAAAGAACAGCAGTGAGCTAAATAGGACGATGTAATCAAAACGTGGGGATTTTACTTAAAGCTATACCAACCTGTCAAAGGAAGGTGCTCTCACTATACAAGGTGACACGTTAAGAGCCATTTCAAATGCAAAAAACGTTGGTGACTCTGGTGGCACCTCAGTAAATGTATACTCATATATAAAAAATAACAACCCATAATCTATTTTTCTTGGCACGTTACAGTCACCAACTGTTGATCAGTGGAATAGTGTGAAAACCAAAGGACTGTATCATCACCCTGCACAGAGGCATGTGCATGTGGATCCTAACTTCATGTGGACCTACTCTTACAAACTTTGTATTTATACACCTCCAACTCTTCAAACATGTGTTACCACTTTTCCATGAGTCTCCCAAAGCTCTCTTACAGTTTTTTTCGATTGCTAAACGACAGTGAGCACAACTGGAGCTACATGTGCAAAACTCTAACTACAGTCTGCACAGCAGCAGTTCATGTGGACCAAACTCTAGTTCGTTTTTCATTGCTTGAACACAGTTTTCAAAACTCTACACACATATCCCATGACCTTAACCACAACCTGCACAACACTGTGGATTTACAGCACTTTGTTCAAATGCTAACACACTGCTGTCAAAACTGTGAACCACACATTCAAAACACAATAGATTTCAGCCTTGTGCCTTTCAAACACTGCTGATTGCAATTTCAGCTGAAAGGCCAAGCAGGTGTCTTGTTTTGGACTTGTTAGTGAACACACACACACATATACATATATATATAGAGGTAGAGCTCAGAAAGACTAATTTTGGAAATGGAACAAGGAAGATGGGTTCGTGGAGGGAGACAAAGAAGACAAAGAGCTGTTATTTCAGATGAAATAAGGGCTACACTTATAGACCATGTCGTGAACCATGGTCTCTCATTGAGAGAGGCAGGGTTGAGGGTGCAACCCAATCTGGAAAGATCCACAGTGGCATCTGTAATGCAAATTTTCCATCATACAAACAGGTGAGAGTGACATCCTTACAGTAATTGAAAACATTATAGGAATTTATTTTGTATTGCAATTATAGAATATTTACACAGATATATATTACAGTAAGTTTGACTGTAAAATATATTTTTATAACAGGACCCAAAGGCTGCCCCCAACAGGGGGAAGAGGAAAAATATTTTCAGATGCGCAGGAAAATGCTATTGTTGACATGGTTGTTGTCAACAATGCAATAAAACTGCAGGAGATTCAAGATAGAGTGCTGGCTGATAATGATATATTTGAAAATGTTAATTCTGTCAGCACAACAACTATTGCTCGAGTCCTACAGAAACACCAAGTTACAATGAAACAATTATACACTGTACCGTTCGAGAGAAACCAATATACCAATATGTCCCGGTAAGACGTCTGAGGTTACATACACAGCTATAAAAAATATTTACAGTAAAAATAACACTAGCATTACTACAGTAAAACTGTGCACTTACTGTTTTTCAGAGAGTAATGGAGGTGGAAGCACTGGAAACGCCACATTCATTTGTATTTAGCGATGAAGCTGGATTTAACCTTGCCAAAACACTGCGCAGAGGAAGGAATGTTATAGGTCAAAGGGCCACTGTGGAGGTTCCAGGCCAAAGGGGGGGAAATATCACCATGTGTGCTGCAATGGCCAATGATGGTTTGCTTCTCAACACACCACTCATTGGCTCATACAACACAGAAAGGCTTATAGCTTTCCTAGAACAGCTCTATGCTCAGCTAGTGCCAGCAGAACAGGGGGAGCCAGTAAGAAACCCCCAAGTTTGCGATAACGTTGCTTTTCACCACTCGCAGCAGTCACAGATTGGTTTGCAGCACATCGCAGATTTATGGTTTTGTACCTGCCTGCATATTCACCCTTCCTCAACCCAATAGAGTTGAGGAAGGGCCTGGAGGTGGAAAGTGTTTGATCACCACCCACATGACCAAATGTCTCTTTTGGAAGCCATGCATGCTGGATGTGAGGACACAAGTCCAGAGGACTGCCAGGGATGGATGAGAGACCATGGTTCACGACATGGTCTATAAGTGTAGCCCTTATTTCATCTGAAATAACAGCTCTTTGTCTTCTTTGTCTCCCTCCACGAACCCATCTTCCTTGTTCCATTTCCAAAATTAGTCTTTCTGAGCTCTACCTCTATATATATATATATTTGAAAGGCACAAGGCTGAAATCTATTGTGTTTTGAATGTGTGGTTCACAGTTTTGACAGCAGTGTGTTAGCATTTGAACAAAGTGCTGTAAATCCACAGTGTTGTGCAAGTTGTGGTTAAGGTCATGGGATATGTGTGTAGAGTTTTGAAAACTGTGTTCAAGCAATGAAAAACGAACTAGAGTTTGGTCCACATGAACTGCTGCTGTGCAGACTGTAGTTAGAGTTTTGCACATGTAGCTCCAGTTGTGCTCACTGTCGTTTAGCAATCGAAAAAAACTGTAATGCCAATGTTTTTTCTACCTCAATGTTCAGTGGGTACTCAAGTATCCAGCCCGTAAACTAATCATCTTAAAACTCATGCATAGTGCACCCACATGCTGCAAGGTACAGTACTTACAGCCAGGTAATCATACGAGCAGGTGGAGCTGGACTCCAGGTGGAAATTAGAGAAAGAGAGGAGAAGCTGGCTTCCCTGGCTGGTCCTGATGTTCCAGTAGCACTCAGCATTAGGGTGGTAGGGCAGTGGGTAATTAGGGGAAGAGAACTCCCCAGATGCAGTTGTCAACATCCCTCCACAGCCTTGGAAAAAGAATGAAATCAAATTCTCAGGTACGTGTGTGTGTGTGTGTGTGTGTGTGTGTGTGTGTGTGTGTGTGTGTGTGTGTGTGTGTGTGATGCAAAGGAATGAGGCCTTTTAGGCATTTGGGTAGGCATTATATCAGAATTGGTAGATGACTATTTTAAGATTTGTCCACACTTCTGGGTAAGAAAGAGACATTAGTTTGAAAGCTAAGGTGCGCTGCGATTTAATGTAAGAGCAACGCACAACACAAGAGAAGCCTCTTGTCAAAAACAACATGGTCAAAAATGTGCAATTAATTCAGTTGGGCTTCAGTAAAGCAAGTATTGTAGAAATTTTTGGTAGCTCAGTCAAGCTGCACAGGATATAGAAAACAGATGAATAGAATTTACTGGTAACGTCTATATAATATAGCCAGTGTTGGGTTAATATTATTACTTTTCCCAGTAACTAGTAGTGTAACGGATTACTTTTCTAAAGCAGTAATATTATTACAATTACTAATCCATGTAACACTGCGTTTCTGAAAGCACCATCCTTGATGTGCATGCACGACTGCTCTGCAGGTCAGCGGCACCAGACTCTGTTGTTCATGTCCGCTGATAGCCAAAAGCTACAGGAAGAATGGAGAACGAGGGACAGAGGCGTTCTTTCCACAGCTGTAAGTAGCTTCTGCCATTATTGTGTCACAGTCTAAGATGTAAATAACATTGCCGTCTAGTGTAAACTCAGCAAAAACCGCAAACAATTCTACATCTGATTTATTGAAGCATCTGCTAAAGCAGCACAGCAACGTGAAACTTGCAGAAAGAAACTCCAGCAGCTACTGCCACTGATGCTTGGACTCGTCAGGAGAGTGGCGTTAACGTAACGTTTTGTAACTGCTCTTATAAATAGGCTACATGTGCAGAAAAATAGTAGTTCAAAAGTCAGGATTTACTTGCTTTATTTTTTTATTTCAGCCCGTGGCGTAAAGAAACATTATATTTCGTAAAAACCATACTCCTTGCTGCTGTTGAATCTGATATTAGTTAAAAAGTCGGGAGAGACTGCTTTGTTCGGAGGTGAAAGGGGTGGTAGTGAAAGAAGTGTTTATAATTTGGATAATTATCAACGCTGACTGCCACATATTGATTTTCTATTTTTTTACTAGGCGTATTTAAAATCGTATTTGATTGAGGAGCTGTATTGGGGAGCATATACGCGTGCACCACCTCTCGCTCACTCGCTCCCTCTTTCTCTCTCTCATGAACACTGTTGGACAAATCTGTCCAAAGTTATAATATAGCTGGGTTGTAAATATTAGTCTCCCCCCCCCAACTGGGAAACACTGGAAACCACAGAAAAGTACTTTAGTAACATAACAAGTTACTTTTATCACCCAGTAATAAGTAAAGTAATATATTACTTTTTTAAGGAGTAATAACTTACTTGCCCAACACTGAATGTAGCAAATGATGAGCAGGGACAATGCACAAGACATGCGCTGTACCAGATTTAGCTAAAGGCTCAGTTTCATCTGAAGTCCACTAGTGATGAGCAGGTTCCAGAGATAAAACATCAAAAAGCAATGCTATGAAGCACTCACCAGTCTGTGTGCCGTCCCAGTGGGCAGTGAATCCAAGGTGCGTGATGGTGGCATCAGAGTGGAATCTAACCCAAAGACAATTGCTTTGGGACACCAGGACTGGAGGCCTCTGATCGGCACAGAACTTACCAATCAGGGGAGATGTCTCATAGCCACCATCCCTGCAAGAGGCGGTTGAAAAATGTCAGTGGCATACCGCTTGGGTGTCTAGTAGTGTAGTTGTAAAGAAAGACATCATATAACCCCGACTTCCTGCTTCACATCCAACTGGGACCTTTGTTGCATCAATCTGCATTTTTCTCTTTCTAGAAGAGGAAATGTGCTGTTGTCTTTGCAAGTGGACATCCCATCAGGGGGGAAAACTGTTTATTCTGTAGCTAACCTAATTGCTCTCAATACTATCTAAATAAAATGGCTCAGATGTGTCTATATGTATATGCACATAGACACATCTGAGCTCTGATCTCTGAGAAGGAAAGAATGAAAAAGGTTCCTCTTCTTAAACCTTACATCTTGTTTTACCTGATCTCCACAAAGTCTAAGTTGCAAGTAGGAGGGGAGCCATCCAGTTCAAAGTTGGTGAAGTTCAGCATAATCTGCATGTTGACCTGCACAGTGATCTTGAAGATACAGTCTCTATTGTTGGGGTAGTAGTCAGGGTAGTTGGGTGAACTGAAAGACCCTGTAGGGGAGGTGAAGGTTTCACCACAATCTGATGAGAGAGAAAGGTTTAAGTAAAACCTTATAATCTGTTTTTATTTTGTCTTTAATTAAAACACACACACACACACACACACACATATATATATATATATATATATATTAGTGCTGGGCAACGATTACATTTTTTAATCGCGATTACAGTTTTTTTCAGTCGATAACAAGCGCTTACCCATACTTCAGATACTTTTTCTAAACTCTTAACACAGACTCACACCTACAAAACACAATTGGCCAAATGGATAATTTTCTTCTCAAAAACACATTTTGTTAAATATATACTAACTCTTCATTTCAAAATATAACACATTTTTCTCTGCACACACTATCTTTACCAAAACACTGGAAATCTGACTCAAAATGAAATTATTCTGTCAAAGAATGACACTTGTTTTCACTTCACAAAGTACATGCAGTCAATCAAAGTACACCAGGTTTCAAAATACTGGCTATTGTTGACATTACAAAAACTACATAGACTTTTATGTTTCAGTTTTACAGGTATTTGCATGCAAAACATGCAATCCACCGTTTTTACACTATATTTCTTGGTTGGTAACTGTATGTCCACAGTAATGTTCACATTCAAAAGCATTCCAGTAAAAAGCAAATCCGTTTTTTTTTTTCCTTTTTTCCTACAGTAGAAACACGGTATGATAGAACAGAAAAAGTTTTACAGTATTTCTTACAGTGAACAAAATATTCGAGAAACACACAAGACCATTCTGAACAAAAAAACAACAGCAAAAAGTCCAGATAAAAATTGGGGGAACTAAAAAAAAAAAGCACAACATTGCTGTATCTAATCTCTGCGATCTTCAGGGTTAGGCCACATGTTTTCGTCAACATCACATCTGATATTATCCAAGGCGATGCACCTGGGATAAAACCGCTTGGTATGTCGGATCCACCCTTGACAATCCTGAACTGTGATGTCCCTGCAGCCAGCATCCATGGCTTCAAGGAGGGACATCTGGTCATGTGGCTGATGGTCATAAACCTTCCACCTCCATGCTGAAAAGGAGGAAAGGTGAATAGGGTGGAAGGAAGAGACTTACCAGTCTTGGGTGAACTTCAAACCATGTTGTTATTGCTTGCGCATGATGGAAAGCCACATTGTCCCAGGTAATCACAAAGGTCCTCATGTTTTCACCCTCCCGATCCTGCTCTGGAACCAGGCGCTGGTGGAGATCATTGAGAAAGGCAAGGATGCGCTCAGTATTATAGGGTCCAACCTGACATCTGTGAAGGAGTAATCCTGCATTTGCAATTGCTGCACACATGGTAATGTTTGCCCCTCTCTGTCCTGGCACATCAACTGTGGCCCTTTTTCCAATTACATTTCGTCCACGTCGACGCCTTTTGGCCAGATTGAATCCTGCCTCATCTATGTAAATGAATTCATGAGGGGCCTGGTTGGCCTCCAATTCCAAAACTCTCTGAAACAAAGTATGTAAATCATGTCATTACTGTAATCCATACTGTACTGTAACCTATTACTGTGTAGGTTACCTACTTGCAAAGTGCAAAGCTTATAGAACTGGACATTGAATTGAATATACACTATAGCTGGACATATTGTCGTCGTAGCTCCTTGACTCTCTCACTGTTCCTCTCAAAGGGTACAGTGTAGAGCTGCTTCATCCGCACTCTGTGTTTGGACAATGTCCGCGTAATGGTTGTGAGGCTGATGCTATCGATGTTATCAAACATCTCATGGTCCTCCACAATTCTAGTCTGAATTTCACGCAGTTTTATTGCATTGTTTGCAACAACTATTTCTACAATGGCAAGCTCTTGATCATTATTGAGGAGCTTTCCTCTTCCCCCAGAGGGTGGAAGACGTTGCATTCTTTAGAGGGACAAAAAAATTAAACATATGCATTACTGTATGACCTTATTGACATGTCAAGTGAGAATAGAAACAATCCATGTAAAATGCAATACTTACCTGTTGGTTTGTTGAAAGATGCGTATAATGGAAGCAACCGTTGACCGCCTCAAATTGGGCTGCACTCTTTCACCAGCCTCTTAGTGAAAGACCGTGGTTGATTACATGGTCAATGATAGTGGCACGAATTTCATCACTGACTACTGTTCTTGGAGCCCTTGGAATGCCACCACCACGCATTCTTACACCACTTCCTTGCCCTCTCCTTGGGCCTGCTCCTCTCACTGCTCCTGCTCCTCTCCCTGGTCCTGCTCCTCTCCCTGGTCCTGCTCCTCTCACTGCTCCTGCATCTCTCCCTGGTCCTGCTCCTCTCCCTGGTCCTGCTCCTCTCACTGCTCCTGCATCTCTCCCTGGTCCTGCTCCTCTCCCTGGTCCTGCTCCTCTCCCTGGTCCTGCTCCTCTCACTGCTCCTGCATCTCTCCCTGGTCCTGCTCCTCTCACTGCTCCTGCTCCTCTCCCTGCTCCTGCTCCTCTCACTGCTCCTGCATCTCTCCTTGCTCCTGCACCTCTCACTGGGCCTGCTCTTCTCCCTGGGCCCCTTGCTCTTACTCTTCCTCCAGACATTACAGTGTTTGTCTTTTTCTGTTTCTGTTTCCAAACACATCACTCCTCAAAGTCCTCCTTTTATATGTGTGTCAATGTAATAGAAGAAAAAAACCCTGCCACTAAGCCAGACTGGAATCAGCTGTGGTTGGCCCAATTTACCCAACATAAATCAGCTGTGTGTCAATTATTTAAATGTTTGTTTATTATCAGCCAAGATATATTGTTTTCGAACTGATATCATTGCAGAAACAGAGGTTTTTATACTGTATCTAAGGTTTGGAATATTGTTTTTGCTATTGTAGGATGGTGTGTGTTAACATTCGTAAATACTACAAAAATAATCCATAATTTTGTTGGGAGGTATAGCTTGTCTGTTAAGAAAATTTAAGCATTGTGGAAATGTGTTCACTGACTGCGTATTGTGTGAAAACGACATGAAATGTGTGAATGGTATGGCCACAAAAGACCGATGCTGTGCTAACTGTGTTTAGAGTTTTGAAAATGTGACAACTGATTGGACAAACGCTTGTTAGCGACTGAAAAAAACTGTAATCGCATGACTTTCTTGCGATTAATCGCGATTAATTGCATTGTTACACGCAAAATTGAATTGAATTCTACACAGTAGCAATAAAATATTTCTTGGAAATCTCAACTTAAACATTAATGTAATCAAATCAAATATTAAACCAAAGCTATTTGCCACTGTCAGGGAATTACCTTTTATCTAGCTTGTTAAAACAAGTTACCATCAGAGTCCAGTTTTCTTGGGATTTTTTCTGAGTAGGTATCAGCAGAAACATTTTTCTTTTATCAGGGAGCAGCAGAAACAGTCTATGTTCAGTAGTAGTGGTCGAGCACAAGGTGTACTGGTTGCGTTCCCGTGAAACTGTCGCGGTCGTGCTTGCCTCACATACACGCCCGCCTGCTGCGGAAGTTGAATTATCTGGAACTTTTTGTACGCAAAGCGCAGCACAAATCATTGGTAGAGAGACTGATCCTCGCTGTTTGTGAGTTTCCAGAATCTAAAAAGTTATCATAACATCAACACGCCCCTGGACCAACTGGTAGGCTACTACTACCTACAAAGCGCTTTCTGCCTGATCGGAGCCTGATTCTTCATCAGTACGCCCCTCGGCCCCTCGCTCACGGGACGCCCCATCACGGTAGAGTCTATTATGATTGGCTATCATCTCACTCAAGCCAAACCCCTTTTTCCGTTGGTCGATTCGTTCTGCACATGCGCGTACTGTGTAATGTGTAATGTGTAAAGCTTGTAGTTGACCGACGTCAACGATTCAAAACAGAACTTTGTTAGCAATACAAGGAGTCATAGCACTAGCATAAAGACTTAGCTGAAATTAAGAGTCACTTGATTCATTTGTTCTTATTTCTACAAGCTTCACATTCAACAATTCAAACATACTATTGACATGAAGAAATATAGCCATAAATGTCACGCTGTCATGAAAGTGGGGAAACATTTAAACTCCTATCTTCAGTAATACAAATTGGTAGGCTATGCACGTTTCCACACCAGTGAAAGATTCATTTTAAAGCCTACCAGTATTATATGTTATCAAAGTAAGCATTTACAAATAAAACGAAAAATAATCATGATAACATGATTGTATTAAGTTTGATATTTTGTAACTTCTATTGATCCCTTTCATTAAAAGCGGAACACCTAACATCCTCTGCACAGGTTTTCATTGGACTTTTTCTAATATGAATGAAAACACACAAATCTTTACTAAATTAATATTTTATCAATGAAAATAGTGCACTTTTTCACTTTCAGTGAGACACAACACACTTGATTTTTATAGCACCTTAAAAATCATGTTAAAGTGCTTAACAAAATCTAAATGAAAAAAAAAAGTGCCATCAAAGAGCTCCATCATATAAAAGTACAGTGAATAAAAAAGAATACCCACAATACAATAAAATGTGCAATAAAGACATTAACATCTAAAACTTACTTCATGTTGCTTACTTACTATGACTGAATTAATATTAACATGATGTCTTCAGAGCAGGGCTGTTATCAAACATGAAATTTGGTACAGTTCTAAGCGTGTATAATGACGTCATAGCTTTCGTCTTTCATGGAAAAAACACTGACCTTCCATGCCATTACACAAACAGTTCCGATTTTCTTTTAAACACTCATAATGCTATATTGTATACCTTGTAAGTGTCAATAAGACTGAAGTGTATACCAAAAACAAAAATCTACCTGGTATGATACATGCACGCCCTTCAGCAAAAACTCTGCAGAACTTTTCATTGCCCATGTCTTTAGATTGCACAGTGAACATCAGAAGTTGATTGGATTAATTGTCTAGGAGATGGTCTAAATAACTGGGTTAAGTGCATGGGGCAGACTCAGAGTCTCTTTATGAAGTCTGGAGAATCCAGTGCAGATTTCATTTTGTTGTCTTTGTCTTGCAGCTTTTGCTTGGTTTCTTCATCAAGGTGTCTCATCAAGTCCCAGCCAAGAATGTCCATCATGTTGCCAACAGGCAACAATAAGAATGTTTCTGGTGGAACTGAATTGCCAAAGAGACCTGATTAATTCACACCTATACTGTTGCTTACATTAAATGTCGGCCTTAAGTTGGTTAAACTTCCTGATTTTTGTATTACTTTGAATTGCTTGCCTAATATTTATTAGGAACAATTTGAGAAAGAAACTACAACTAATGCATGACAACTGAAGGTAATGAAGAGGGAGTGGACGGCGCCTGGAATTCAGATGTGACCCAGGAACATTTCATCATAGTTTATAAGGCAGCACAGTGACCATACAGACTGCAATGTTTGTATAGTCAAGACACTGCAGTTAACAGATTCCAGTCTGTAGTGTAGTTCAGACGCTTGACTGATGAACAGAGAGCTGCAGGGTAACATCCTTCAAATATCAGACAGTTTTTTTTATTAAATATCATAATGACACTTATTAGCACATTACCTCTCTCTTGCTGGTCCACATGTAACCATCCCTCTCTGATGTGAATGCATCACACTTTAAAAATAAATGGGTTTCCATAATGACTGGTTTTAGGGGGAGTGCAGCAACCCGCTCAGCACCACTACTTCCCATGTCCATGCCTCTACACAAGTAGTTTATTTAAAAGTGGGTTAATTATTAAATTAAAATCAGTTGGGGGCCATTACAATTGAAATGGGTGAAACATAGCTAAGGACAAGCAATGTGTACATTACAAATAAATGTCTTGATCTCACCTCTTGTCATACTGTCTACCCTGTTGATACAACCTTTTGGCTCTGTCCAGGGAAATACAGTTGACGGCAGCAAGCGAATGAAGGGTGGCCTGTGAAATGAGTTATTCAAATTTATAAAAATTAAAAAAGGGGAATGCAGTACAAAAGAAACGTACACCAATAAGGCCAACTAAAAGGATACAATTAGATGTCTAGCATTGACGAACATACACAAAATGATACTTCCATAAGAAAAAAATACCTCGTGTAGCAGGGCATCCAAAATATATTTCACCCTGTCTTTTATGGCTCTGCATGGAGGAGTGGAATCCAACAACTCTGATAAGGTGGTGTTGGACACAGTGAAGCGTATACCATGGTCTGTCGTGAGCTATTGCTTAATCGAACCATACGCAGGCCAAGCCATCCGCATCATGCCACAAAGCTGTATCTGTCCCCCTGACAACTGCCTACAAGCAAAAATGTATATTATAGAGACTACATCATCTATCTTTATGTACTGATAGAGGTAGATGATTTTTTAAAAAGTGAGTCAGACAAAAAGGCTGTAAAGGCCCTCAACAAGGAAGGACACAGTTTTAACAACCTCTGTTTTATAAAAAAAAAAAAAGTCTGGTTATCAACACCACAAATATGTTCATCTACAAATAGTGTGCACAAGGTACTTGCAATGTGACTTATTAGCATGTCTTGTTAACATTCTGTGGCAATGTCACTGTAATTACTAGTGTTGAATGCAGTGTTATGTTATGATTAAATAACATTTACTTTTGAAAATGTTTGGTTAGACTGACATCATTAGACTGTACTAACTCCCAACCCTAACCCTATACTGTATAGAGGACAGCCAAAGCAAAAACAAAATATAATTAATCTTTTTTTGTAATGTTCAGAAAATGTATATGCATACCCAGACTCTATGTTGTGGTGGCTGAGGCTGAAGTTTCTTCTACAGACAAAGAAACTGAAATGTCTCGATGGTTTGTAATGCAAATTTTTGGATTTTTGAGTTTAGTGCAAGGCTTTACTTGTCTTAGGTCTAACAAAAAAAAAACACTTCTTTTAATGTTCAGCTATGGCAAACACTTTTAAAAAGCCAATAGGACATGCTTATAGTACACACATCACACAAACATCTTAATTCAAGACTCTCAAATTGACAATTAACCCCACAAGTTTTCAATGGTTTTCCAATGCAATAACCATGCAACATAGTACTTTATCCATACAAAGTTCACTGTCCAGCTGGTGCACCATAAATGTATCTTCCACTTCTTGTACATATTGACCTTTGGTCAACAGAGCAGTTGCTTGCAAGGTCCAATGTGAATATTTCCTTCAATGATTTTAAAAAGAAAAATGAAGTCAATAGTTACGTGATGAAGACATGGCTTCCACACAACTTCATGTAACAGATATTAAGGGAAATTTATGTTTGTTAGTTTCCCTCTGGGGTTGGAGTTTTCAAGCAACATTACACACCACCACTTGCGCACTTCTGGCATGTCGTTCTAAACAGGGGGCGTAAAGAAAGGTTTTTAATGTTGTAATTAATCTGGTTTATGCACGACACTATCAACATGTACAGTATTTGATTGTATGAATTATCAAAAGGAAGGCTTTAATTACTACTGGAAAAATAGTGATGCACTGTAAGTTTAAAAACGATGACCCACACCCAGCCCATTTTTCTCTAAATGTGCAACAGTGTAAGAATATTAACATGCAAGTTGAAACTTACCTCGGTAAAATCAAAGGGGGCAACCAGGACTAGATACAGTGCATACTATAGAAAAAACCACTTCATGGTTACTTTTGAGTCTTGCATACAATACAAATTATAGATATGTAAAAATATGTTCTAATAGTAAATTTCTAATATGAATTGAATTGGTCATATACCATCAACATGAAGATTCCACAGTCATGGGCATTCTTCTGCCTCAAGAGCCACTAATCCACAATGAAGCAAATTACAAAAAAACACTGGACATGACATTATCTGGCTTCAAGTTAAAAAAGGCAATTATGATACTTACAATGTCAAAGCCAGAGAATGTTTTCCAGGGACCATATGACAAATGTCGTGCAATTTTCCTATGGCATGGGAACAAGTAGTCAAGATTGTGCACCTAATGAAGTGCAGATTTTGAAAAACACAGGACATATAGTTGCACCCTCATACAAGTGACTGTATTCCCTTCACATCAACATTGTAAATATTAAGCATTTGTAAACCTAACGTAATAGCCTAGCTCAGCGTAGCTTCGGCAAAGTTAGTAGTAACATTATCAATCCTACAAAAACAGCTGCGCTTTACTATTTGTGCAGAATCATTTATTTAATAGTATATTCCCGTTACCTCTATCTCTCTCACACACAAGCACACAAACACACACACTGTGCTGAAAGACTAACGTTAGCTTACTGTCGTCACTTGTTTAACGTTACGTCTAACTACGAATGTAAAACAGCTGCAATAAATAACCTATTTTTCTTGTAATTACTTGTTTGTGCGATAACATCATTCGTTTAACTTTAACATTAGAGCAACTAACGTTACCGTTAGCGCCGTGATTACCTACCTGCAGCGCTATTGCCCGAACACCAACAACAACGTGTCTTTTCTTTTCTTTTTCTTTTTTCTTCTTCTTCTTCCTCCCGCCTTCAGAGAAGATCCGGTGCCCCATTGGAGAAGCTGGACCTCATTGACATATTGGCCCATTAAAGCCTCGCCCCTCTTCCCTCGCTCACGGCACGCCCCTCGCTCGTTCGCTCACGCCACACCCCCTGAGCTACAGTCCGCAGCGACCCCCAGGTTAAGAACCACTGATCTACAGGATAACAAGTGGATTTTTTACAACTCTCTGCTTACCTTTTTAGTCTTGTGCAATGTGTGTAACTTAAAGACTGAAAATAAGTACTAGGTTCATCTGTACCTCATTAAACATTTAAGAAAAGCTGTGTTTGATCAACCTTCATATACAGCATATGTGACATTATTACATAACAGTAGCCTATTACTTGAGACGGGTCCCTTAGCTGCAATGCAAGATTAACTGTAAATAATTTAATTCATTGCACATTATCAGCCCAGTGCCACCGCTCTTTATTCTGGATTTGTTGTTCCTAAATAAATGTTTTTTACAGCTGAATCAGATGACTGTGAGAATCATTCTTTTTTTTATCATTATTGCTAAAGTAGTTGCCTTTACATCCAAAGGTCTAAAGATCGGTTGATCTTAACTGTGGACATTCACAATGAACTTCAGGATGTAGCTGTTCACAAATACTGTACAGTATGTAGCCTAAGGAACAATCCTTGTGTTATAGCAGACTTAGACCATTGAACTGGTCACCTTAGCCATCATCGCAACAATTGCCCCCCCTGAGAAATTTGGCAGGAGCCGGCATTTTCACAGCAGCAGGTGAGCCGCTTGCTTGTTAATGACGCAGCCTATCAAACAACTCAAACAGCCGAAACCAACATCTGCACCCAGTGTTCAATGTTGCTTGCTGGTCTGTGCTTAAAATATCTACCCGCGACTTGTAACGTCATTTCAAGTTTTTAACCGAGTGAAATCTGTGCGAGTGAACACACGCACCGACCCCTTATTTGTTTAAAGTGTTTGCAAACCACATGTTATTACACTTTTGTGTATATAGCAGTACATTTAAATTAAAATTGCACAATACATTACTTAAGAATTCATTATTCAATTTTGCGCGTAACAATGCAATTAATCGTGATTAATCGCAAGAAAATCATGCGATTAATCGTGATTAAAAAATGTAATAGTTGCCCAGCACTAATATATATATATATGTATATAGTGTGTGTGTTTTTAATTAAGGACAAAATAAAAACAGATTATAAGGTTTATATATAAAGATGTATATAGATGGATACATATAAATACATATACATATGTAGCCCCAAAACAAAGGATGGATTACTTAATTATTACATAGAGCACATTGTAGAATGATGCCTATATCTCTTTTTCTGTGGTTTAAAGAAGTGTTTTAAAAATAAACATGCAATAAATTAAATGTAATGCAAAATTTATTATTTTCATCACGTTGTATTATTGTGACATTAGTGCTGAACATGACTTTACTGACAAGAACTGCTAAACATCTCATGCAGTGCTTTAAAGCTCTACTGTCAAAGCTCATTTAAAGGTGCAGTTAACATCTGCCTAAATATCCCTATACCCACTTCAAAATATTGTACACAAGACTTGGGATCATGGTAAATTGTCTGTATTGTTTATAGACCCTTTCTAGTTTTTCCCACCACTCATTGGTGGTGGGAAAAACTTTGGGGTTCAGTGTCTTGCCCAAGGACACTTTGACATGCCGGGAATCAAACCACCAACATTCCGGTTAGTGGACGACCGCAATTAATCAATTTTCATAGTTTCATAGTTTAATAGTTAAATTTTGTGTTGGAACCTGAGCTTGTGAGTTGTAGTCTTGTTGTTTATGTATCTATTGCGTACCTGTGGTGGCATTTAGGGAGACAAAGCTGGCAGAGAATCCCTCTGAGGATAAACCTGAGTCAGACACAAACAGCAGGGTCAGCATGCTGTCAGTACTGGTGATGGATGGAGGCACCGAACGCCCACAGTACCTGCACAAACAAAGCATCAAACTGTCTTTACACACCAATTATCTGCATAATTTCAAGAGATTATATTATATGTATACTGCTACATATGTATCATGTACCTGCCAATCTTGGTTCCGGTCTGCACAGTGCCGTTGTCGTACACCTCCAGGTAATCAAAGTTACAGTTCACATGGTACTCCAGGTTAAAGGATTCAAACGACAGCCGAACCAGGTTGCCTGGGGTAACACTGATGTACCAGGTACAGCTGGCCCCATGGGGGTAGTTGGTGGGGTGGCCAGGGCTTGTGATAGTGCCAGAAGGAATGGTCAGGGTATCCCCACAACCTGGTGCCAGAAAAATAGGACAATTGGTCAACTTTACAGATCTTTGGGAAACTTAGATGGACGTGTTAGAAGACACTCATTATCAAGAATATTGAACTAAATTCTGGAGTAATGTTAAGCATGTATGGTTTCTGAAAGGCTTCAGTTTAAAAGCACAAGTAAATTACCGTGTATTTTTGTAGATGATTAGCATTAATGGCAAGTAGAAAGCCCTGGGGAACGTCTGAGGAAATTACAGTGTATATGTATTGTGACAACCTGCAACTACCAGGTTGCACCACCCTGTAAACACCCACTCTTCATCAGACTCACAGATTCGCCCTGCGCTTGGGCCATCGCTGAATCTTTCCCTGGTAAAGCGGGTGTGGGTAAATGGACATGAGAGAGAGGATCAGCAGCAGAAAAGCAGCAGAGTTTGTAAGCAACGGAGCAACACGTTCTTTGTTAGATGAAGCAGTAAAACTGTAGTAGTTAATCCCTTGAAACCGTTCGAGTCATCAACAATTGCGTTCATTCACCGTCCCGGCCAAAACTACTCCACCTCTATACCACCGCTGAGTACAATAATCACTGCTGTCCAGTTCCTATTGTCTCCGGTTGTAAAGTCCAACAAAACCCCTTTCTTGCACTGGCCAGTTTTCTTAATTTTTTCTGTGCTACTTTGTGATGGACTGAATTTGTGTTGATATTTTGTGATGGACTGAATTTGTGTTGATATTTTGTGATGGAATGAATTTATGTGTGCTACTTTAGTTTAACTGGACTGAACTATGGCTTGCCGTGCATTTTGAGTTGATTGCAGTGTGTTATTTTGAGATTTGCTTTTCTTTTGGGTTTGATGAAATACAAAATACTTTTGTTGTGAGCTGAACTTTTGAGTGCTGGTTTGTCTTATCACACTGTTGTATATTTCAAAGATTTTACACGTGCATCCTTTGTGACATTTGTGCAAATAAACAAAGTAAACCAAAAAATCTTAAATGTCAGGAGAGAGACCTAACTGGCACCCCTGTAAAAAACTAAAACTGAAAAGACACACTGTCACATGTATGTTTCAGCCCATTTACTATTTATATTTTCTTATTATGGACTAGGAAGTTCCCAAAAGTACTGAATTTGCCGAAGTGATGATATTGCTAAATCCTTTCTCCAGAAAATTACATATAGAAAAGGATGGTATCAGACCTCCAGCTGTCACCACACATGGCTAACACAGACATTTAGTGCTGAAACCCAAATGAATTGTACATGAGTCTTATTTCTTATATCAAGCATCAACATGTCCTTATTGACACACCAGGGAAGGAGTTACAATAGAACACAAAACACATTTAAATAAGACTGTGGGAAACAATGCTAGAAGACCCCCTGAGTCAAAAGCAGCTGCATCTGGTGTTTGTGTGTTTGTGCATTGGAACAGCCATTTTCTCACTTTGGCTGGTTGAAATAAAACCAGCGTCTGCATAGAAGACGGTTGGCAATAGAGTATATTAGATTGAGGTAAAAGGTACATGTTAACATGTAACAAAGTAAAATAAGCTCATACATTCACTTACTAACTTTGCAAGCTTTTAACTGCATCTCACGCTCTTTTTACAGTGAATAGAGCTACAGGATTTCCACAGCACTTAGTTCTGTGTTTTTGTCAGACTCAAAGATGATCACTTGAGATGTTTCCTGTTCATTAGAATTTTTATGGAATGCTGCAGAAGGCATGTGCTTCTGATTGATGTTGCTCCTGCCACAGAAAGATGTAAAATGTTATCATGACAACAACCAGGCAAACCAAAATTTCCCTTTAAACAAACTAAAGCTGAAAAGGGTATTTTCAGTTTGGGACTTAGCAAGGTGGAAAAAATCAAACAAAGTAAAGTCAAACCACATCAAATACATAGTTACATAGAAAATATCTTTTTCTATCCTAGGAGGGCAGTCAGAGTTTGAAATCTTGGCTAATAATGATGATAATAATAATATTAGTCTCACCCTCCAAGGCAGAGCCATAGGCGACTTCAAAGCCGTGGTTCCTGACAGAGGAGTCAGTCTTGAAGTAGATGTACATAGATCTCTGAGTCGACTGAAGCTTGGGGGGGATCTCAACACCACAAAACGTCCCCAGCAGAGGAGAGCTGGACGTGGAGCCATCCCTGACCTGGAAGATGGAGGAGACATGCACCATTATAACTGATTTACCAGCCCCCTCTTCATTTATCAATCTATCCACCCATAATATATAACACACATGTAGAAACAGATTGTGTCTTTAATACTGCCCAAAAGCACCTATGGAAACTCAAAACGTGAGCTAAAAAAAGCTTTTAATATGTATTATCATGTTGTTTCACTGTACAGGGATAACAAGTGTCTGCAACTAAACAAACATACAACAAGACCAAACAATACACCGGTATATGAGTTAGATTTGAACATATACATTGGTGTATAGTTGTGGAAACTGGGTAGCAGGGTATATACAGTGCCCTCCAAAAGTATTGGAATGGTAAGGCAAATTCCTTTGTTTTTGTTGTTCACTGAAGACATTTGGGTTTAAGATCAAAAGATGAGTATGAGACAAGAGTTCAGAATTTCAGCTCTCATTTCGTGGTATTCACATCTAGATGTGTTAAACAACTCAGGACATACCACCCTTTGTGTGAACCCACCCATTTTTCAAGTGAGCAAAACTATTGGAACATGTGACTGACAGATGTTTGTTGTTGCCCAGGTGTTGCCTTTTAGTTTGATTGTCCAAACATTAAATAGCTCTGCATGACTAATCTAAGTTTTCATCCTTGGTTCTAACCTATAAAGACTGCATTTCCTGTTAAAGAGGATAAACCAACATGAGAGCTGTCTGTGGGAGAAAAGCCAGCCATTGTCAGGCTAAGAAAAGAAGGAAAATCGACCAGAGCCATTGGACAAACATTGGGCATAGTAAGCACAACAATTTGGAATGTCCTGGAAAATAACTGAAACTACTGGTGTACTGAGCAACAGATGTCGAACAGGTCGGCCAAGGAAAACAACAGTAGTTGATAACAGAAATATCGTGAGAGCTGTGGAAAAAAAAACCAAAACATCAGTAAGTGACATCACCAACGACCTCCACAGTGCAGGGGTGAAGGTATCACAATCCACTGTTCGAAGAAGACTCAGAGAGCAGAAATACAGAGGCCACACCACAAGACTCAAATTACTCATCAGCAGTAATAATCGGAAGGCCAGATTGAAATTTATTATAATTATATTTATTTATTAATATTTATTGATGATGTAACTGATGATGGTAGCAGCAGAATGAATTCAGAAGAATACAGAACATTTTGTCTGACAATTTACAGAGAAATGCATTGAAACTAATTGGGAGGAAGATTATCATGCAGCAGGACAATGAGCCAAAGCACACTGCCAACAAAACAAAGGACTTCATCAGGGGAAAAAGTGGAAGGTTTTAGACTGGCCAAGTCAATCACCTGACCTTAACCCAATAGAGCATGCATTTCACCTCCTTAAGAGGAGACTGAAGGGAGAAACACCCCAAAACAAACAAGAACTGAAAGAAGCTGCGGTAAAAGCCTGGAATAGCATCACAAATGAAGAATGCAACAGTTTGGTGATGTCGATGGGTCGCAGGCTTGAGGCAGTTATTGCAAGCAAGGGTTATGCCACCAAATATTAAATGTTATTTACTTTAAGATTAGTTGTTCCATTACTTTTGCTCACCTAAGAATGCTGTGGTCTAATACAAACGGTGATGTGTCCTGAGTTGTTTAACACATCTAGATGTGAATACCAGGAAATAAAAGCTCAAATTCTGAACTCTTGTCGCATACTCATCTTTTGATCTTAAACCCAAATGTTTTCAGTGAAAAACAAAAACAAAGGAATTTGCCTTACTGTTCCAATACTTTTGGAGGGGACTGTATATCTATATATAGATATAGGCCTTTTGTGTACATAGAGAAAGTGTTAGATCTTTGAGTTCAGCTCATGATGAATGGGGGCAAAAACAAAAGTGTTCGGTTTATAATTTTGTTCAATGTATATATATCCAAGTTTCCTTTTTTCTTTTATTCCTTTTTTCTTATGTTGGCCCTGCCCTGACCGGAGTATTTAAGAGCATGGTGGTTCCAGATTTTCCAGAAGGGAGCTTGAGCATTGTTCATGATTATTATTAATTAAATAATAATATTATTATTAATATCATCATGAGTAGTGGAGTAAGTATTCGCATGCTTTACTTGAGTAAAAGATGCAATACCACAGTGTATAATATAGGTTTTGCCATCAAATTTCTACTTAAGGTAATTTTAATATTTTTGTATAATCAATGGCTTACATGACCAGCTGAAAAGGAGTTGCTCATAGTGACAAACATCCACAGAAGAAGAAGAAGAAAAAGAAGAGGGTGGATGTGACTGTAATTCTAAATTGTATTTAAAAGTAAAAAATTGCAGAAAAGTAAAATTTGTTGTTGCTGGCAGACAGTTTGAATGTATTAATTGCTTTAGCATTTATTTACCTCAACAAAGTCAAAATGGCAGGAGCCTCCCTCAACGTCAAATGACAGGAAGTCAAGGGTGACCACATAGCCCTCTGGCTGGTTAACGACCCACTCACAGACCTTGTTGTGGGGATAGGCATTGGGGTGGAAGGGAGAGTGTAACTGCCCAGTCCCCGACAAAATACCTCCACAAGCTGGGGAGAGGGAGGGTTGAAGGTTGGTCAGTGGCTAAAAGCCATATCTTAGACTGTATGGATTAAAATCTTTGCCTGGATCTGTAATAATTCCTTCATCATAATTCACTGGTGCTTCACCCTTTTCTTCTCAGACATTACTATTGTGACTGATACAAACACTGAACACTGAATATTCTACTGAATAACCACTCTTGGTTCTGAGAATTTGGCCAGGTGCCACTATCCTTCTAAAAACAATTTTAACCCATATTCTTACACAAATTACACAAGGTCCCTGATCTGACCCCATAACCCTAACCCTGACCCCACTGTTAAACAAAACAGGCATAATTTCACTAATGAAGTATAATACATATACAAAACATACATGATATCATATTACGTGTGTTCAAATGTGTGGAATCTCACCAACGGTGTAGACAGCCCTGAAACCTGCCTGGCTGACTGAGCTGTCGGACCTGAAACGAACCCACAGGAAGTTGGAGGATGAGTGAATGGGAGCTGGCAGGGAGTTCCCACAGTACCTCCCTATCAGAGGATCAGTCTCCATTCTGCCATCATGGACCTGAAGAAGTAGATAAGAGACAGTATTCATTTGTCAATGAAAACTATGACAAAAAATACTGGTGGACATTGAGCAGGGCCAGCTGAGGGCAGACTCTGAGAATATCACCGCTGTGACGGAGTGGCCTACCCCCGCCTCAAGGAAACAGCAGCAATAGTTCCCGGGGTTTGCCGACTTCTACGCTGCTTCATACGGGACTACAGTAAGGTGAGCGCTCCCCTTACACACCTCATTTCACCTAGAACTCCCTTCCTCTATTAGGACAAGGCTGATCAAGCCTTTTGTAAGCATCTGTGTTCCTCTTCACCTGTTCTGTTTCACCCTGACTCCTCCTTACAGTTTGTGGTTGAGGTGGCTGCATCAGACTCAGGAGTACGAGCGGTACTATCTCAATGCTCACCCAGAGAGAAAAGCTACACTCTGCGCCTTCTTCTCCAGAAGCCTGTCCTCAGTAGAGAGAAACTACAATGTGGGAAACTGAGAGTTGTTAGAATTGGTGAAGTGGAGGTATTGGCTGGAGGGAGTAGAGCAGCTTTTTTTGGTTTGGACAGATCACAAAAATTTTGCTTACACTAAGCAGTTGAACTCACGCCGGGCTCGCAGGTTTTTGTTTCTCGGCAGGTTTAATTTCACTCCTTCATACTACCCAGTGTTACATAACACCAAACCTGATGCTCTTTCCAGTTCGACCCAGAGAAGTGTGAATCTGGTGAGCATCCTACCTTCATCCCCTGTGGTGGCTGCTGCGTAATGGGACATAGAGGCTGTGGCTCACTCATCCTTAACCAGGTACTGGTCCACCTAACTGTCTGTTTGTCCCTAACTCCATCAGATCCCAAGTACTTCAATGGATCCACTCATCTAAGTTCACTTGTCACCCTGGGTTTCATCAGATCTCCTCTTCATCCGGCAAAAGTTCTGGTGGCCCTCCATGTCTCCTGATACCCAAGCCTTCGTCTCTGCGTGCTCTGTCTGCGCCGACAGCAAGGCTGTGCACCAGCCCGTAGCGGTTCCATTATGCCCTCTTCCTATCCCCATCTGACCATGGTTGCACATAGCGGTGGACTTCTTTACAGGCCTTCCCCCCCTCAGAAGGTAACACAGTCATTTTGACAATTGTAGACATATTTTCCATGGCTGTTCATTTTCCCGCTGTCTAAACTGCTCTCTGCCACAGAGACTGCAGCCACAATTTCTTTCTTCTTTAGAATTATGGAAAAATGTTGGTCTTGATAAAATACTGAAGTCACTGTTGACCTGAAGCACGAGATGTGTTGCAGTCCATGTGTAGACTTTAATATTTAAACAAAGTTAACATCTTCTTTGACAGTAACCATGGGGTTTGGTGGCATAAACAGGTGGGACTGGAAAAATATTGCCAGTGAATGTATGGTTTAAAAAAGTATTTAACAAAGCAAATTAGTGGTGTCTATTGCTGCTGCCACTGCCAGGGACAAGGGCAGGCTGCAGCGTATCATTCGCTCTGCAGAGAAGGTGATTGGCTGCAAACTTCCTTCTCTTCTGGACCTGTACTCCTCGAGGACTCTGAGGTGAGCAGGAAAGATTGCAGCTGACTCCTCCCACCCCGGACACAAACTGTTTCAGACTCTCCCCTCTGGCAGGAGGCTGTGGTCCATCAGGACCAAAACCTCTCGCCACAAAAACAGTTTCTTCCCATCTGCAACTAGCCTCATTAACAAGTGATACAAATGATACAAATGTCTCTGCACATGTAAATACTGTTGTAAATACTGTTGTTGTGTCATCTCGTGTCGTGCACAGACCTGGCATGTTGCACATATTTGTTGTTGATTGTTGATCTTTGTTGTTGTATAGTTATATGTACACAATATTCTTTTCCGTTGAGTTACCTCTGCACGACACAGACCCAGAATAATGCACATGTATATATCTGCAACGTTGTTCTTCTATTCCATATTTCTATATTTCTATATTTATTTATGTCGACTGTATGTTTGTCTACGTGTAGCACCTTATCACCACAGCAAATTCCTCGTATGTGTAAAACACTACTTGGCAATAAAGCTCCTTCTGATTCTGATTCTTCTGATTCTATTTGTGTTTTGTAAGAGATGGGGTTGTAGTAATCATAAGTTATTAAAGCCCATTTTAGGACATACTGTATGTTTGTGAGTCCTACCTCCACATAGTCAAAAGAGCAGCTGTTGTGACTCTCCAGATTCATGTGAGTAAAGTTGAGGGCCACCTTCTCACCCACTGGTAACCTGATCAAATAGATGCACTGCCGGTCGTGGGCATAGTTGTTGGGCCAGTTGGGGGAGATGAAGATGCCCTCACTGTCGGTGAAGGTCCCACCACAACCAGGGTCACCTAAGGCACAACACACACCAGGGTGAGGAGATCTAATTCTACCTCTGCAGCTCATTACATAAAACAAGACACTTACACTGACAATTATGGGAGATCAACTTCCTGCTCTTCTGGGTTTCATTCCAAGAGCAAGGCACTGACACTTTAATTGAAGTATTTAAAGAAACAGGAAACTACTTCTAAACTAAATTCCATATCTACATGTAATGTACTTTGCAAGGCATTTGAAGTTACACAAAATTATAGGTAACAAATCCCAACAACAGAATGTCAAACCTTTTGTATCGAGTTATTCTTAAATTCACTCTGCACACAAATATCCATTCTCTTGGACTTGTTATGGTGAAAAACCTGCTAAATGTACATGTTTCCCATGTAATAGTTGTAGTGAACAACAGTGTGGATTTGTGCATTTTTCATGGAATAAATGTGGAGCTACCCTAAATTCCTTTCTCCTCCCCAGAGAAGATGGGGAGGGGTCAAAGTTGCTTTCTCTAAGTGCTATCCCGACCATAAAACTGGCACCATTTTGATTCCGAAGCTGATAACGCGGGGCCTGACTGTTAAACTGACAAAGGGACACGAGCCAGCCATTGGCATCTCCCTGAACAGCCTATCAAAACTTACCCCACCACACACGTTTCCGTGGAAACTGACCTTATTCTTTGTTTTATTACCACATCAAAAGGATACTCCTTGTCTCACCTAAGTGTGACATGTTCCAGACACTGAACTTTGGATGACAAAGGACTGCAGTCTCCAAAAGACTCAAAGCATCTAATTAAATTTAATTAAATCTTTAGTTACCTGAATATGTTTGCCTCTATTTGAGTAGTTATGTTAACTGTTGTTGCTATCTGTTGATATTAGTGCTGAAAAGAAGTTACTTGTGCAGTGTTTTTATTTTCAGCAAGACACTCCTTCATCTGATGTAATCAATGCTTGTTCATAATACTTTCTTACAAAATCCCTTTTTAAATGATGACAAAGGAATGTTTTACTATACTCTTAATCGCCAGCTTGAATTTAAGGATGAATCAACAATATTCCCCGGTTCCTAAGGAGAGACGATCTTTGATTTAATCCAAGCTTTCCTCATGTAACCTGAGCTCCCCCAAGTGGACGAAATAAGTATTACATGCCCTCGTCGGAAATGCGGTTAAATGTGTAAAAATACTGACCAATAATGTGACAATTGTTTCCTGTTACCAAATGCTAGAACAGTACAACCGTTCAACCATTTAGGTTCGATTGTGGAAAATATTTGATTATAATACGTGCAAATAGATTTCTTTTCTTTAAACATTAAGTTTAGAAAGGCAGTTCCTGGGGAAACCTGAGACGCCCCCTGGGGAACCACGCCCCAGGCAACAAAAGAGCGACACGCGACCTGCTCGCTAGACTCTTAGTCTCTTCCCTCTCTCGCTCTTCCACTCTGCCCTCTGGATGCTTCGGCACGCGCAGCGTGCCTCGCCAGGCCACACGCCCAGACTCGGCCAGCGAAACCAACAGGCCTTTGTTCGCCTGAAGCTACACACCTGAAGTGCCGAGACATCGATCTGCCATCAGTTTGTTTTATTTTCTTTATTTCTTTTGTTTGTTAAAGTTATGAGTTCCGTTAAGTTACACTGGACTAATTCAGGAACGACCAAGTTCCATTTTAAGCTTTTTCGTCGAGCCAACTTCACCGAGGTCAGACCAAGCCACGTGGTCTCGCCAGCTACAACCAAGGAAACCAGTAAACAGCCGAATTGCCAGACGGAGGAGGCGTTTTCAATCAGACACGGAGAACCCCGGAGAATCCCTAGCAAAAAGCCAGGATCGGCAGCTAGCGTGGGACCCGTGCAACAGGCCAAAAGCAGGCTGTCGACAAGCAGTAAGACTTAACACACGTTCTGTGATCAGATGTCCATTTTAACTCCTCAACTATAGCATTAGTTTACTTTCATTAGTTCTTCTATGCCGTATGAGTCGAATGCTTCCCACAATCGAACCTCCAGGCTCATTGTTCAGCAAATGTTTATGTTCCCTGTATCCAACCATCTTAGTTAGAGAATAAATTCACTGTAATATAATCAAGAGCTGTGTGTGTTGCCTATTTATAGTTCCTGCCAAGAGAATTTACCCTTTAGATATGAGACTGACTGACTGACTGATTTAAGATAATTGAGCGATTATTAACTAACTGATCACTAGTAATAATTGTATAATTATTCAAAACTACCTAGAGGTCCGGAGACTCTAGGATTATAACAACTCCGGTGGTGCCCTTTACGAGGAAATTCTGATTTTATGAATAATAATTCATAATTGGGTATCAATTCTCATAAATTTATTAAAATGCATAACTAATAAATTTAGGTCCACTACATAGTCTTTCAACTATTTAACACAGACATTGGGAAGTGTTCCTCTCTACGCTGGTCAAACTAATGCTTAGATGACTAATTAATTATTTGAACCATTTTCTCTGCTTGACAAAACATTGCTGAAATGTTTTAAAACCCAGTGTCTGCATAAAAATAATATGTGGGCAACAGCACTTGATGAAATTTCTTTAAGGAGATGATGGCAAGACCACTGGCTCAAAACCTATAGATGTACTGTTATGTTAAATGCTTCCCAAGTCAAGAATAATCTTCAAAGAAATGTCATGTCAGACAGTATAATGGATTACATTGTGACATGGTGTGTGCAGAGTATCTTACTTGGTGATGTTGTGTATGTAATGTGGAAGCCTCGGTCAGAGACACTAAAGTCAGAGTGGAAGTGGACCCATGCAGTTGGACCTGTGGTTTGCAGGGGGGCAGGTGATGCAGTACTACAGTACTTCCCCAGAACTGGGTCTTCAGGTAGAAGACCATCCCGGATCTACAACATTTGGCCACACAAGACAATCAATAGATGAACAATTACTAATATCATTAATATTAGTTATAAGGATGCTCTATATTATAGGGTTGTTGCACGGGGTGGTATCAGTAGTGGCAGACAGGCACAAGCCTGACAAAATAGCAAACATAAGAAACAACCGTGCCAGTGTCACAGCACTTTGGATTCAACATTAAACCAGCTCCCCTGTTTAGTTAACAAGGTAAGCAAATGTTGGGTTTGAGCAAGGGGATGTAGTTAAAAGATCAGAGTTTTAGCTGACACATCAAAACCATACCTTTAAACTCAAATGGGGTTTTATAGACCCAACAATCTGGTGGGGTAAGTTGACTTGCTGATTCTGTTTAGCTCTCTGTGATTGATTTACCTAATGAAAAACATACTGGGATATAGCAGTATTTCTCACTTCTAGGAAGTCATGGTTGCAGTCAGGGTGATTCTCCAGACCGAGAGTCCCGAATGCAAAGGTAATGAGCAAGCTGGGCTCCACTGTCACTGTCCAGTAGCAGTCCCGGTTAGGTGGGTAGTTTCCAGGGTAACCAGGTGAGTTAATATTGCCATAGGAGGCAGTAAGTTCACCTCCACAAACTGACATGAGAAGGACAGTGGTTAAAGCCAAAGAACTATTAATACTAATCATATTTTTTCGTACATTTGTCACTCATTCTTTACTATTAATTTATGAAGGTAAAGGTTGCAATGAACCAATGCTAATTATTGAATGACTGAAACAGAGTATCACATCTCTGTTGCTGCACTGAAATAATGAAGTAAAGTAGATGAAGATTCTTTTTAGAGAGAGGTGTAGGTTGTTTGTAGAGAGGTTAATTTTTTTCCTTTTTGGATTTGTTTTGTGTTGTGGCAACCCCCACCCCCAATTATTTGCATGAACCCATCTGTTAATCACTCAAATAAACTTGTATATGACTTCATTACCACTGTGTTTGATCAAACATGTCACTGTTCATCCCACATTTCCCATGTTATCACAATCCTGTTGACTGCCCCAGGTCTTGATCCTGCATTTCTACATTATCTTGTTCTTTAGTGGGGTTCTTCCCCCTCCACCTTCTTTGGCATCAATCAAACCAGAGAGAAACTGTCACTAACCAGCCAGACAGGCTTTATCGTTTGTGTCTTTGTCTGATGGTGGATGTTGTAGTCACACCTTTTAATTATTTGTTTGCATAAAACCAGAAAGCTGTTAACCACTCAACACAACTAGTTGTTACATGCCACTTGTTAGTATCCTTGATGGCACAGTTTCCGATGTTATAAATGCACACACTCTCCTGTTCCAATGGCGGGGTTCATAGGTTCAACTAAACCTACAACAGATGTGACACCCTTACCTGGGTCCTGAGACTGCCAAGCAACTGTGAAGCCACCACCACTGACAGAGTGGTCTGAGCGAAACCAGAAATACAGGGAATTGTGGGAGCTGTAGAGCTCCTGTGGGTTATTTTGGCCACAGTATTTTCCGATTATGTGAGCAGAGGCGCTGTCCCCATCATGGATCTGAAGGAAGTCAAAGTTGCAGTTGGTGCTACTCTCCAGATTAAAGAAGGGAAATGTAGTACGCAGAATCTAAAGAAAAGAACACACAGAATTCAATGGATTTCTATCAGTCTGCTACATTTGAAACATAATCACATCCACTAATGCTAACAATGCCCATTTCTCTCTTTCTCTTATAGCTCATTGTTTTGAGACGCGAGCACAAAGATCTGCTCTCTGAAGTTCAGTTGGTCTGAGCTCTCTCAGCAACCCCTTTCAACAGCAAGCTTTAATTAAATGACAACATGTACAATACCTGCCCAGCACACAAATACTAAAAGGCCAGGATCATCTGCTGACCAGAAACAAGACTGTAGTGGGTTGATGATGTTGCTCCCTGATTGCTCAATGAGAAAACATTCACTTGTTTAACATATCACTGGTTTCTGGGGCCATCATATATATTGTAATTGCACAAAATCAATTGCTTTTAGTACTGTGTTATTAGAAAAAGTAAAGTGATCCCAGCAATGCTTACATCATGAGCCAAGCAGACAACGTTCTATTTCACATAGGCTTCACCCTCTAAGGCTATCGCTATTGGGTTTACCCCTACGTGCACATGTGGGGCACTGAGAAAAGCTTGTCTACGCCCACCTACAGCATGGGCCTCTCCTACGTCTGCACCTTGTATATATACACAACGGTGAGACCTGGCCATCGGCTCCCATTTTTCGTCAGCACTGAGCTGTCTAAAGAGCAAGAATACTGTCTAAAGAGCAGAAGATTTTGAAGTGACGATGTCTTCTAGCAAGCTGATTGGATCAGGGCGAGACTCTGCTTCATCCGTACGGGTGTGCGGCATCTGCCACACGGGCTACATCATGCCAGGGGATCTCCAAGATCTCTTGAGCACACCGGCCGAGCACTCAGCTCGCACTCACCGTTCTGTGCCCTTCTTACCCCCGATGAGCACCGTTCAGGAGGAGGAGGTGTGGAGGCCCACCCACCCCCTGGACAAAGCCCTGGACCTGCTGTAACTGGAAGAACAGGACTCTGTTTCTGCTTCTTCTATTCACGGATCTCCCAGCGGCTCCCTGCTTTCCCTGCGCCAGCCCCCGGCGATTGCTGGCCGCAAGGTGTGCGACCCCAGCCTCGAGGTAGCGCTCTCTATCGGCCGCCACCTCCCTGCCATCCATCCTCGGCCTTGTCAGAGAGCTTCCCTCCATCATCCAGAGAGCTGCCGCCCACTGACACCTGGTTGTTCCTCCGGCCCAAGAGTTCTTTCCTCTGGACGAATTGGCCGGCGGTCTCGCTCTCAATCAGCCAGGTAAGCGGGATCCGGTCTGGCCTATTTTTCTCCCATCCGGCAGTACCAGAAGAGTGATGCCATGGACCCGAAGGTTCTGTGGGCTCCCTTCTCCACCTACGTCCCGATCACCAAGGTGGAGGGCTTCTCTGACTGGGGGTTCCCCCAAGTCCCCTGCTGGAGCCCAACCTCACCACATTTTACAGTGGACGGTTGCGGCTGGACGGTGCCCTCTCCTGGCTTCCCCTGGAGCACAGTAGGTGGCCTGTCTTGCAGATAAATCCCACCAATGCACTTTCCAGAATTCAGCCTCCACCAACAACACAACACTGATCGCTTGCTCCTTCACCAAGCGGGTGGCGAACTCCACCACCATGACAGAGGAGGAAAAGGAAGAGATCAGCAAAGGCGGCAACACGCAGCCTACGGAGTGCACCACTTCAGCTGTCACCACTGCCCGGTGTTTGGCAGGCCCAAATTCACTGAATCCTGTGGCTTCTGCAGTCTGCTATCCCTGAGGCCATCAATCTGGTTGAACCCAGACCAGCTTGGCGGACACCATGAGATTCACGGCCGAGGAGGCGGAGAGCATCAGGCAGCACGTTGGCTGGGCCCAGTCTTCCTCCCTTCCACCCCACTCACTGGCTTGCCGGCGGGACTACCGCCACTGGAAGAAGGACCGCCAGCGCTATGGTTGACCTGAGGAGTGACATTTTGGGGGGGAATTGTATGTTCCTTGTTCATGTTCTACAAGCACTTTCTCTGTTGAGAGAAAATATTTTGAACAAAATGTTTTTGAACACAAAGAGAGCCCTAATTAGCATGGTCCTCGGCCCGCTGCTGCCTCACTTGAGTCAGCGACTGCCGTTAAACACATTTCCCCCACACTGAATGGACCAGCTGCAGCTGGCTGGACAGCCTTCATGCAGCCAGGCTCCGATGTCACAAACAGTTCATTTTTCCTGTTTCCAACCCCCGCCTCCCTCCCCTCGCCAGGGCAGCGATGGGGTTATTAGCCCACAAGTGCAGCTATGCCACCTCCTGTGGACACCCCGGCATTTCCCCCCATTCCCCTCCCCTCTCTGGGAGTCGCACACAGGAGGGTGCTCCAACCCAACGGTGTGTGGAGGGCTGTCACGGCATTGCACGGCCAGCCCCACTGAGGCAGGTCTCAGCTCGTCCCCTTCGGTGGCCACGCCTCGCTGCCAGATTGACCGATCACACATGAGCACCACACAGAGAGGCCCTCCCTCCTGCCTGGCAACGTATCACGGTGGCCAAAATCCTTCTTCCTCCCGCTAGGAGCGGGACTCTCCTGACCGGTGGCTCACGCAGCCCCCCCCCCCATGGGTCGCAGATGGGTGTTCCCCACCCGCGACGGCAGCAGGGGCAGCAGAGTGGCTTCACTGCATGAGGACGAAGCTACTTCTCAACTCCTCAGTCCGGTGTGCGCGCTGTCCTGCTACGTGGTGCGCATGGCCGCCTGGCGCCGTTCGCAGCGCCTGTTTGTGCACTAAAGGGAACAGTCCAAGGGGCTTCCCCTCTCGGCGTAGCTCCTGTCTCACTATGTATGTGTATCTCCCCCAGATGGCATCAGGGTGCACTCCAGGCGTCTCCTCCTCTGTGGCGTTGCACAGTGGAATGTTGGTGGACGACGTCTGCGAGTGTGCGGTGCGCTTCCTCCCAGCCGGACGGTGGGGGGAGCAGCCACTGCTCATGCTGACCCTGCTCTGTGTTCAGCTGATGCGGACGCTGTCATGACCTCGTCTGCACCTGCACAGCTGCGGGGCCCCCCATCCAGTCCCCGACCTTACGCATGGGTCGCGTCTCTGCCCTCCCATTTTGCTGCATTGCCAATTGCGTGCACACCGACACCAATGCTGCGGGTTGCGGGGGATCGGGTGGCTTATTATGTTGGCTATGGGCAGGTGGGTCTGTGCTTGGTGGCACTGTATGGGCCAGTGAGGCGTTGACTCATCCTGCTTCGCCTCTAACCCAATTGCGTTATTGCTTTTTCTATACGAAATAGAATGATAGTTACGTATTGAGTATAGGCGCAGACCTCTAAGCTGTGGGCCTCACTGGACCTTGGTTCTCACTGCTGAAGAAAAGGCACTATGGGAGCCGATGGCCAGGTCTCACTACTGTATATAATACAAGGTGCGGACGTAGGCCCACGCTGTTTTCTCAGTGCCGCGCATGCGCGTGTAGGGGTAAACCCAATAGCGATAGCCTTTGAGGGCTGCGCCTATACTCATAGAATCTGGAGTTAAAATACGTAATTATTGTTTCTGGGCCTTGTTTTATGGTCCTATGACTGTACAGAATTAGGGAATTTAAAAATAATGTTTCCTTAGATATCAAGCAAAAGCAGAGATAGCGTGGGTGCATGGGTCGGCCGACTCAGGGCCACAGCTGGTAGGGGGCCCCCTATGTGGGCCAAGAAGTTTAGCTCAGTTGATGTGGACTCGGACAAACAACAATACTGCATGCAGCTCTGCTGTACTGGGAAAATTCAGCAGCTCTTATCAAATGATGGTTTCAATGGTAAACCACCACAGGAATGACAATTACCAACAAAAAAACTGTATATTCTAAGGAGACATGTTTTAATAAACATAAATCATAAAGTAACATTTGTATTTCAAACAAATGGCAAATTTATTAGCATATTTTAACAAAACTCCCTTCACTCTCATGCATCATGGGAATTCTGAGGGACACACGTAGGCAGCGTGTGCACAAGGGTTTATTTACAGCATCAAAGTCCCCTGGAAGCCTCTCAAGAATAATTTCAGCAGCAGAGCGTGTAGTCTGCCCCACGTTAATGACTTGTTTTTTTATATGTCCTTTTTGTGCTTCTACTACATTCTTCAAAGCTCTCTGTGGCTCGCTTTCGTTCCTCGTCTTAACGGGTGCATCTAGCAACTACCACAGGGAGCATTTCAGAATAAGAGTGTTTTGCCTGGCAGATTTTGCCAACACATTTAGATTTTGTTGATTTGGTGATTAGTGATTGCTTTTTGTGCTTTTATGATTATGTAGGCTACATAGTTAAATTGTTTCTTTTTTGTCTGATTCAACTGTGTTTATTGTTGATATACGATTGGAAGTCTGTACCGGGTATTTTATTTTGAAAATTGACCAAATTCTCTGCCATTTCTGTGTCTGACTTCCTGCCTAGTTAATTTGTTCTGTGCTCCTTGACGTTGGGACACTTCTGGGACGCACTGCAGCGCTTATGATGAGAACACAAACATTTAGTGCTGCTATCAGCTCTGGCAGCAGTGAAGCAGACGGACTCAGTGGACTTTTGGAGTGAGTCCGGGGTCATGTAAACTTGGTTGAAAGCCCCCCTCCAGTGTATATTGACATTTCTATGATACTTCATATTTCCTTACAATATTGATTACCCACATAGTTTGCCAAATATTTTTTGACAAATAGTTTATTTTTGTGCTCAAAGTTGCAAAAGTTGCTTAGTTGTTAAAACGGGGTTCTGACGTATGACTATAGTAATTCCATAAGTCATACGTCATTCTCAAAGCTTGCGCAGGCGTACTGTCATGCCTTGTTAAGTCAGAGCATCAAACCGATAAACATCGCTGTGAGCTAGTTAACCAATTTATCATGTAATTTACTTAGAACTTACAGTAGGCATGTCTCTCTGTGTCTGATATTTGGTTTGCCTTTCTAGTTTAGTTAGCTAAGTTAACTAAGTTGTAGTTAGCCAGGTGTAGTTAGCTAGCATAGTTATTGCAGAAAGTTAGCTAACAGAGGGTCTTCATTTTATTTTTTTGTTTCCTCCTCTTGGTTTAGTGTGCTGTTCATTTTCATTATGGCATTTGTGCGTGCGGTGTTGGAGTACAGATGACAGAAAACGCGTCGCACTTTCACCTGCCACCGTCTTATATACAGTCTGCAACATGCATCTGCCATTTTACCAGTGCATCGGCGGCGGAAATGGTATCAGAAGTCTTTACATACAGTTTAACAGAGTAATAGACCACCCAAACATTCGCGGTAAAGTAAGCGCACCATAAAACGTAGTGGGAGTTATCGTGTGCAGTGCGTGATAGGACCATCAACTGTATGATTGATAACAGCTGATACGCGCACATTAGCTTCTGTCATGGGTAAGTAATAGCTACTCCTGCCAGGCAGTGAAGTGTACTAAACTTTACAGTGTAGTGATGTTAACACAGCATTTCATTAGTGAACACTCCAGCCAGTCATGTCAATTACCATGACATGAATTATTGTCATGGTAATTTTTTATTACGTCCGACTATTAACCACACCCCCATTCTCTGTTTGAGAAAGAACATTAACCAAAAACGTCAGTTAAAACTGGCTGGAGGGGGGCTTTAAATGACTTGGTAGCAGGTGGGCCCCGTGATGAAGCTCCGCCCTCACTGTGTTGAGAGTCTAGCTCTGCCCCCGATATCAAACCAATCAATCAATCACACAGTTGTTCAATCGCGACAACCTATACAAGGTATTATGTTAGTTGAGAAGCTCAAAAAAGCCAACTGTACATTAGCTGCATAGAATGAAATTACAAAGTCAACGTAAACAAATGACAGGAAAAAAAGGGGAGACTGCAACTGACCTTGTTTGGGTCAATGCGGATCACCCAGGCACAGCTGACCTGGTGACTGTATTCCTCATGACCTGGGGTGTTGGGATAACTGAAGGAACCAGCAGGGCCACTCAGATAACCTCCACACTCTGGAACGTACATACACAGCTACAGTAGCACTTGAAGACATTTGTTACATACTTTGCATTGTCTTTACACCCTGCGTCATTTATCTCTTATTGGTTGTGCTCCCCTGTATATATTGGACATACAGCATATGCCAACAATAGGTAAAAACTTCAGCAACTTTGTGTACATCATTTAGTCTTCCTTACAGGCGTGTAGGACCAAAAAACTCAATTTAGAATGAACCAGAAGTCCTGCACACTGTCGCACCCTACCCATATGTTATTTAGTTACAATATTTCAGTCTGTTACCCAAGTTTTCCTTAACTTCTTCCTCCCTGTGTCTCTTCACATCTATTCTTCTCTCTTAATCTTGTCCTTTTAGTTTTTCCCCTTACTTTCACCCCATCCCTGCCTACTTCTTCCCCTTCATCTTCCCAGTCCCTCCTTATATTCTTGTGCTGGCAGTACCTTGCTGTGGGGTCTGGCACAGTTGCCCAGTCCAGTGGGCAGTGCATGTACACATGAATCCATTAATGCCATAGGTGCAGGTTCCTCCATTCTGACAGGGGTTGCTCAAGCAAACATTGATATTCTGGTCACAGTTTATTCCTTGCCAGCCAGAGTTGCAATTGCAGATGTAACCAGGAGTCAAGGTGGTGGCCTGTGATAGCAATAGTATACAGGTGCTGGTCATATAATTAGAATATCATCAAAAAGTTGATTTATTTCAGTAATTCCATTCAAAGTGAAACTTGGATATTATATTCATTCATTACACACAGACTGATATATTTTAAATGTTTATTTCATTTAATTGTGATGATTACAACTGACAACTAATGAAAATCTCAAGTTGAGTATCTCCGAAAATTAGAATATTACTTAAGACCAATATAAAAAAAGGATTTTTTGAAATGTTGGCCAACTGAAAAGTATAAACATGAAAAGTATGAGCATGTACAGCACTCAATACTTAGTTGGGGCTCCTTTTGCCTGAATTACTGCAGCAATGCGGCGTGGCATGGAGTCGATCAGTCTGTGGCACTGCTCAGGTGTTATGAGAGCCCAGGTTGCTCTGATCGTGGCCTTCAGCTCTTCTGCATTGTTGGGTCTGGCGTATCGCATCTTCCTCTTCACAATACCCCATAGATTTTCTATAGGGTTAAGGTCAGGCGAGTTTGCTGCCCAATTAAGAACTGGGATACCATGGTCCTTTAACCAGGTACTGGTAGCTTTGGCACTGTGTGCAGGTGCCAAGTCCTGTTGGAAAATGAAATCTGCATCTCCATAAAGTTGGTCAGCAGCAGGAAGCATGAAGTGCTCTAAAACTTCCTGGTAGACGGCTGCATTGACCTTGGACCTCAGAAAACACAGTGGACCAACACCAGCAGATGACATGGCACCCCAAACCATCACTGACTGTGGAAACTTTACACTGGACTTCAAGCAACGTGAATTCTGTGCCTCTCCTCTCTTCCTCCAGACTCTGGGACCATGATTTCCAAAGGAAATGCAAATTTTACTTTCATCAGAGAACATAACTTTAGACCACTCAGCAGCAGTCCAGTCCTTTTTGTCTTCTGCCCAGGCGAGACGCTTCTGACGCTGTGTCTTGTTCAAGAGTGGCTTGACACAAGGAATGCCACAGCTGAAACCCATGTCTTACATACGTCTGTGCGTGGTGGTTCATGAAGCACTGACTACAGCTGCAGTCCACTCTTTGTGAATCTCCCCCACATTTTTGAATGGCTTTTGTTTCACAATCCTCTCCAGGGTGCGGTTATCCCTATTGCTTGTACACTTTTTTCTACCACATCTTTTCCTTCCCTTCGCCTCTCTATTAATGTGCTTGGACACAGAGCTCTGTGAACAGCCAGCCTCTTTAGCAATGACCTTTTGTGTCTTGCCCTCCTTGTGCAAGGTGTCAATGGTCGTCTTTTGGACAGCTGTCAAGTCAGCAGTCTTCCCCATGATTGTGTAGCCTACAGAACTAGACTGAGAGACCATTTAAAGGCCTTTGCAGGTGTTTTGAGTTAATTAGCTGATTAGAGTGTACAATATTCTAATTTTCTGAGATACTGATTTGGGGTTTTCATTAGTTGTCAGTTATAATCATCAAAATTAAAAGGAATGAACACTTGAAATATATCAGTCTGTGTGGAATGAATGTATACATTATACAAGTTTCACTTTTTGAATGGAATTACTGAATAAATCAACTTTTTGATGATATTCTAATTATATGACCAGCACCTGTAGTAGTCAGACATTCTTAAATGTGCCGTTACAAAGGGGTTTGATTCTTGATTTTCTATTTGTGAGAATATCATAACACAAAAGCAAGGTCAGATTTATCAAGCATTCAAAAACTGATTCAGACATTGGCCACACTAACACAAATACATCTGAAAATGCTACTTGTGTCAACATTTTATATTTTTACCAGTCTTATCCTTTAAAATGAGTAATTGCAGATGAAGTTAGATACAAAATATTTGTCATAATGGTCACACAGCATCCCACCATGCCTGAATAGTCACACACACTCACCACACACTGTCCATTGACACAGGGATTGTTAGTCTGACAGATGTTGCCGATCTGGCTGCAACCAGTTGGTCCATAACCATTGCCTATAAAGCCTGAAGGGCAGGTACATATAGGAAGGTTTGCCCCTTGTGGATGTGGGTTGGGTGAGGAGAAGAAGAATACAAGGTTAAGTCCGGCATTTCACATCTCAATCTTAAATTGCACTTTTTGTAGAAATAAATAATTGTGTCTGACCTCTGCAATATCTGGACACAGGTGGCACAACATAGACACCTTCAATAATTATTCAAACTTCCTACACATGTTGACTCATTCCCTAATCCTTATATCAGGTATCAAGGTAGGTTATTTATCATATTATCATTTATACAACAAAATAAAAGTTTGACGTCCCTTCATGTTACACATACAGAACGTAACAGGTAGGCCTAATTACATTCAGATTAGACAGGGGTTCTTAACCTATCTGGCAGTCGGAGTTTTTAGCAATAAAAGACACAGACCTGTGAGTTGTGATCAAGTTTCTGCTAATATGACCTTATTACTTAGCGGCAAACCAAAGATTACAGATTGCTGGCGCTATAATCTTTGATAAGACTGACAGCACAGCTGATTCGGTGGTTGCCTAGCAACATTAAAAACCCACAGCGTTTTGCTCTTTTCTAAATTCAACCACCTACAAAGCGCTTTCCCTCTGATCGGGGCCTGATTCTTCTTTGTCATTTTATAGCGGTTGGCATTACCACCACCTACTGGATTATGGAACAGTGCAAAATATTTACAGTGTCCACCCACACTGATTCCATTCACAACTATAGTCCGTCTAGTTTTGTTCTATTTTTGTGTCTATAGCAGCATTCCCCAGGTTAAGAACCACTGGAACAGGATAACACAGGGACGATTTTGCACCATTTTTAGGGGTGCTGAAGTACTCCTGAATTTCATCTTAGCACCCCTAACAAATAATACAATAATTTATGTTTCTAATGTTTTCCCTAATGATCCACCTCTGCGCAGGCTGACTGTCAGCTGCAGCAGAATGCTGTTTGGGTGTCTGTCAGTCTGGGCCAAACTAATACTTTCAATATTGAGGGGGGATACAACCAAGTTGGACTGATTCTCATTTTTCAATCCAAAACCTTTTGCACCAGTTTGCTACGTTTTGTCGGGGCTGAACTCAGCCAGGTTTGTGTGATAAGTGCAACAGAGAAGGTAACTATGGTGAAAAGAAAGAAAGAGGAAAAGAAACGTGTGTTGCAGAAAAAATAAGAATTAAGAAGAAAAAGATGTCAGCACAAAAGGCAGCTAAACCCATCAAATTAAACGACCTCTTTCTTGGTGGAAAAGTTGCTGTGGCAGGCGCAGATGAGGCAGGACCAAGCCGCAGAAGGAAATTAGTAATGCATTTATTATTTACTGAAATTATTTTTATATATACACACAGTATGTATATATATAAATGTACACACACACATATGTACACACACAGTTCCACAGTAGCAAAAGAAGAAATACTAAAAACCTGCTCCAAAGAGTGAATTTGTGTGCGCGAGAGAGAGCTAAATCAGGCAGAGAAACTCTCCTACTTACTGCCATATCAATGCAGCAAAATGTATTTCCTCATGCAACAAACTGAGAACCATTGTTGTTTGTATAAAGTAAAATGATCACATTATTAACATTATTGTTTGTTATTTTATTGTTGTTTGTTATTGTTCCTTTGAAAAATTCTACTGCTTGTCAAAATCCAAGTCTTATTTTCAATGTAACATATGTATATTGTGTTTTGAGTTTGTCTTTGTGTTTGTTTTGTTTTTTTACTCTTTCTTTAGTTTTTATAATGTCATTTTATTGTTTATTAATTATATAATTTTTTATTGTTTAAACATGAATTTGTGCTCTGGCAACAGTGTTTACCTAAACATTTATGGCAAAAAGCCTAAAGCAGAGAGAGAGAGAGAGAGAGTGTGTGTGTGTGTTTTTACACATAGGCTACATAGGCCAATCAAAGTTTTCTCCTCACTATAAAGAGTTGGCCAGGCTGGACCCTGATCCTTCTCATAAGAGGTGTTACAATAAATATCACAATGGAAAGTAAACTCAATCACAAGTGCCTTTATTCACCTGCAGCAAAGTCGCAGACATCAGCCCAAGCATAGGTACGTGATTTCACCGTCATCCTAAATGAAGCGTGTCTAGATGTTACTGCACTACTTGATCAATAAACGAGCTTTGCTACTGAAAAGCTGTTTGATTCAGAAAACAGCGACACTACCACCAAGCTACCGAGAAATGTAGTTAAACTAGTTATGGCGTTACTTGTAACCACACTACTGCTCAACACTGTATACTCTCCACCAACTTTTGCAAGGCATTCTATGTATGCTACATTCTCATTAGGGGCGGAGCACCCCTAAAGCCCTTGCTTTTTAACAATGCATAGGCGTAGAAAGGCGTCAATGCAACGCAAACAGCATTGTTCACATGCCTACATACTTTGCGTATACCTGGAGGATTAAACCTCAATCCACATTTGCACATTGTAAACAAACATAGCAACACAGCAGGTTGTGATTTTAGAGACATCATAACGATCTTGGTAATTGCAGACTAGCTCCAGGAGTTTTATTGTAAACATCCCGCCATAAATCTCCTTTTTTAAGTCTGCTGCTGACCTTCTTCTTCTTTTGCATTTAATAATGGTTGGCAAACTAACTGCATACCGCCCCCACATGAGCTGGTGCGTGGAACAGTAGATTGCTGCTGACGTGCCTGTCAGATCGACATTCTGCCCCCATGTTCATGTGCGGAATTGCATCTCGCGGATGTGTAGCATTAATTTCTGGAGACGTGCACAACCTATGATCCAAAGGAACGCAGGATACATGCGGCAGCCAACTTCCGTACGTGAACACGTAGTTAAAAGCAAGTATATCCAGGGCTTAAAGGTCTGATCCTAGAATCGCCCCTGCTGTAAACCTGCTTTCAGTTACAATGCAAAATAAAGTGATGGTGGGAGCACCTATAGGTTAACAAAAAATGGTTCTGTTGAAACACAAAGTTCAACAATTAGTAAATATGAAGATTCATGGCTGACTTCTGTTGCTCAAAAGTGACATATTGTTTCTACAACTTGATTTCAATAAAAAAAACATAGAGCCCCGATGTAGACAGGATTGTTGTCCTCTACATGACCAAAGCTCACCTTGATTACCTATAGCACACATAAAAGTCATCTTTTTAACATAACTATTTAACTAGTTTTTACAATGTACAAGGGAAGAATGAAATAACCAAAATTAACCACAAAGTTCCACTACCCGCCCTTCAGCAAATTATCCTTTCCTGATTCCCCGACTTCCCTAGCCATTTTCATACAATCTTTCACTTAGTTTTACTAGTTTAACCACACATAATACTCCCTATGGAATACATAGTAATAAAATCATGTTTGTTTTTACCTGGACTGGAGGAGCATGTAGCTAATGGGTAGCAGCCTCCATTGTTGGTAGCACAGATATTGGTCTGAGTGCATGTTCTCCCATTCCCCTCATAACCTGCACAAATACAAGAGTTGTCTTTAGAATCATGCAGATGACAGCAGTTTATTTTCATTCCTGGTTAAACTGGTCAGATGGGGGCTAGCTGTTTGTTGCTTTCACTGCGCCGGACTCGGCCTCAGGATTCAGTCACGGCTCAGGGGAGGCTTCCTACAATCATTATCAGCAAGAGGAGGTTCTCCTTTAAGAATGATGTCTACAACACACAAAGTTGTAAATTAGAATTAAGTAGTTTAAGAGCTGCAGTCTCTATTTATTAGTCACTGTTAGTAACACTGTACATTTCCAGGTAAACTGATGCTTATTGTTGACCCTTTTCTCTCTGCTCGCCTGCCATTTACCGGTCTTGTGCCGAGCTTTGCATGCGCGCGTGCCTGACATGAACGTCACTGTACTAGTGTGTAGTGGCAGGTGTTCCTCTGCCACTACACACATACACACACATACACATTACACCCACACTGTATGGAGGGATTATTGGGTCAGTACTAAAACTAAAAGTCTAAAACTAAACGCTGAGGCGCAGAGGCACTTTATGGACTGCAGGGGGAGCTCTGACTGCCAGCACACTGCCATGAAAGCAAGCAGAGGGAGTGAGCAGGGCTGGAGGAAGGACTATCATTTATAAGACCATAACTAAAAGTGTACAGCATTTCTGTCGATGTGGCCTCACACACAAAGTCAGCAGTGAAAGGAATGCTATCCATCTGACGAGAAAGCAGCAGACAGTACAGCAGGTAAGATATGATAACATTAGCAAGTTAGCTATATTAGGCTAACTGTTGCTGACATGCATGAGTTACGTTACTGTCGGTACATGCAGGTTTTAAATGCAGCTATTAACCCCACTGTGGGCTGTGTGTATAAAATTGTAAAGATAAGGTGTAGAAGCTGTGTTTCTGGGTAATAGCACCATGCTGGGCAGGTGACAGGTGTGTGTTTACAGTGTTTATGTGCTCTGAAAAACAGTGCAGCTATAAAGTCTCAGCCGGCAGACCTAGTATGGTAGTATTACTACACACATATGGATGTAACGTTGAGGCCTGATAGACATCCGCTAATCAGAAACAGAGGACACTACCTGCATCACTGCCGATGTCATTTGACCAGGGAGTGAATGTTGATTAATGCGACTGTCATCAGTGTTTTCCTAGTGTTTGTTTTTGCCCCATGCTCAGCTACACACCTGCACTGGGTTGCACTAGCTCTGTATTATGTGAGGTTAATGGGTTCTTAGGTTCATAACATAGGCACCCCCTTACATATTGTTTACAGTGTAGCAGTGGTGTTTGTTTTTTTGTTTCTTCATGTATTGTTTTGTGATACTTTTGCTTTTTGGTATTGTTTAATTATGTATTGTGCTCCAGTGTCTTGTACACAAGCAGGGCATTGTTAAAAAGTAAGTGTTAGATCCCACTTTTACCACAAGAGGGAGTATACTGTTAGTGAGTTATGTTGGGAGCAGCCTCAACAAGACAGTGCAGATGATGCTCTTAACAATGTACCGATCTATTTGTGTATGTTGCAGGTATGTTGCAAGCAGACATAATATATGAACCGAACACAGACAAGTAAGTAGATGTAAATAGTCCATGTATCATCCGCCTAAGACCTTGTGGTGGTACATATAAGAAATTGTGTCTGTAAAGCCTGTAACATGACTGTACATGCAGCTGTCATAAACAGGAGCTACAATACTAATCAGTATAATGTAGGAGTTGTGCCAAATGTTTTCCTTTATTGGTATACTGTTAATGAGTTATATGAGAAGCCTCAACATGGCAGTGCATTTCTGTAACTTAACGTGAGTCTGAACTGACCATGCTGATAACAATGTTTCGATCTGTTTATGTATGTTGCAGATTTTAATAAAGATATTCAAAGCCACACTGAGTTTTTATTCAGATGTGCAACAATTACTTCTCTCCTAAGTTAGGGCATAAACTCGACACTAGAGGCTTAGTAACAGCTAGTTATATTTTAACAAAAACAGTAACCAAATTGGATTGGATGCAACATGATTAACATTGGGTATGGACTAAATGGAGTTTCAAAGTCTTTGAACATCTACAGATAGTCTTTAAAATGCATGTAAAATAGAATCAATTTGAATTTGAACTAATTTTCAACTGCAAATCACCACAATCTTTATTAATGTGTTGGACTGTGACTTTACATTCACAGGTATTTGAGTAAACTGTCTTATCTGTTTGATTCATAATTTCATCTTCAGTTATTGCCACCTGTATTTTGTCCCCATCAGCTAAATAAATGCAATGCAACATACAGAAGGATATCAGCACTTTATTATTTGTAGTCCTTCTGTATCTGTTATTTAGTCTGTGTTTTGGTTCCATGTCTTAGTTCCCAGTCCGGTGTTCATGTCTTAGTGTTTACTTTTGGTCTGTGTACTTCTGTGTTATTTTGCCCTTGTCTGCTCGGTGTTCTCCTTAATCCCTTCTTCAGTCTGTTTTCATTGTTGGTTGTAGTGCTTGGTGATCTTTCTGCTTGTGTCTTTATTAGTTTATTTTTATTCCTCTGATCTGTTATGTGTTCAGTAACCTGTGTCATGTCTGTTCCCTCCAGTATCCCTCTGCCTGGCTGTCTCTCTGTTCTCCCCTGCTCTCTCCCGGCCTGCCTGTGTCTTGTTAGTCATTAGGATATTATGGGAAGGGGGGTATGATTATGACGATTATGATGATAAGAGGGAAAGCAAAGAAAACTGGAAACAACACTGGAAATTTGGAAGGCGTCGAAAATCAGTCAGGACTAGTAACGAAGATGAAGTTAGCCGCAGACGAAGCTAGCAAAGCAGACGAGCTAATGCAGCAGAATTCATGTAAAAAAATGGCAACCTTGGACACTGTGCTGCAAGAGCTAAGAGATTTTTGCAGTGAGAACGGGGAAAGCCTCAAAGTAATTCGGGAGGACATTCAAAAAATAGATAGCAGGATGGATGAGGCTGAGCGGCGCATAATGGGGTCAGAAGACCGGATTCAAAATATTGAGGACACCACTTTGGAGTTTTTGGAGTTACAAAATCAAGTTGCAGCTAAATTGACGGATCAAGAAGGGACAACATCAGGATTCACGGTTTAAAAGAAGGAGCAGAAGATGGGGCCCAGTCGATGGTCGCATTCATCGAGTCCCTCCTGAGACAGAAGCTGGAATTACCGCCGTCCCTTAAACTCAGCATTGAACGAGCTCACCGGTTGGTGGCTACACCACCCCCAAAAGACGCTCCACCGAGATCAGTAGTGGTGAAGTTTCTCAGCTACAGATGCAAAGAAGAAATCATAAAGATTTTGAAACAGCGGAAAAAATACGCAAAGGCAAAGAAAGTGCTCAGGCATAAGAAGATACGTTTCCAAACGCCATTTCCAGCACGTCTACGGGTATTTTACGATGGTGGGACATGCACGTATGATTCAGCGGAGGAAGCGACGAAAGATATGGCTGAGGGGGGCTACCAAGTGAAGGTCGTGGAGCCCACGGAGGACGTGATGGAGAAGATAAAGCACCTGACGTGGCGCCCGAGACCGAGCCGCGAACGAAGGACGACAGGCAGATGCTGGACCCGGGTATAAGCAGAGACTGCAGGCTTTTAGGAGGACGCCGGAGGCAAATGAGTGATCCAGACGTTTCAGGAGAGAAAGATCTCAATATTGGAAGTCCTTTTGTTTTTGTTTAGTGATTTGGGAAAAAATTGTTCTAGAGCTTGTTCTGTTAGGCTCATGGTTATGTGTTTTTATGGTGGCATAGGGGGTGTACTGGGGATAGTAATGAGAACAATTAGACCTAAACTATGGCTATACAAAAAAACTTAATTAAGGTAGTTTCCTATAACATGAATGGTGTTCTGAACCCAATTAAAAGTAGTAAAATTCTAAGTAAAATGAAGAAAGATAGAGCGGGGATAGTTTTCCTGCAGGAAACCCATCTGACAGAAAAACAACATGAAAAACTAAAGAGAACCATTCATTCAATATAATATAACCAGGTATATGCTGCTTCATATAAATCAGGTCACAGGAGAGGGGTAGCGGCTTTAATATCGAATCAAATCCCATTTCAGAAACAGTCAGTGATAAGCGATAAAGATGGAAGATATGTCTAGGTTAAAGGACGATTAGAGGGAGTATTAATTAGCCTTCTGAATATATATGCACCACCTGGCTCAGATTGGACTTTTTATAGACAATTGTTTTATTTGATGGCATCGGATGGGGGAAGGGGTGTCAGGAGGGGATCTGAACCAAAGGCTGGACCCCCTATTAGACACCTCAGGCAGGGGAGTAAAAAAGAATGCGATTCCAAATAAAATTAGAGATATGATGGGGGAATTAGGTATCATGGATGTATGGAGAGAATTTAATCCTACAACTAAGGACTACACTTTTTACTCTTCACCGCACAAAATATACTCAAGAATAGATTACATCCTAATGTACAATAAAGATAGACATATGGTGGGGAATTGTGAGATTGGGGTGGCTGACTTATCTGATCATAGTCCAGTTTATGCAACCTTGGCTTTGACACCTGAAAAAAGAACAACATTCTGGAGACTTAATGCTAGTATATTAAAAGGAAGCATTAAGGAAGAATTAGAATCGGAAATTAAATGACATTTGGAGGAGAACGATAATGGGGAAGTGTCCCCACCAGTACTATGGGACACGTGTAAGGCGGTGTTAAGAGGGAAAATCCATAATTTCTGTAATTCCTAAAGAAGGCAAGGACGAATTGGACTGTTCCAGCTATACACTTATTAGTGTCCTGAATCAGGACTATAGACTTTTCACTGCAATATTGGCTAGACGTATTGAAAAAATTTTACCGGTTATTATTCAGTTGGACCAGACAGGATTTATTAAAGAAAGACAAACGCAAGATAACATAAGAAGGGCTTTACATGTGATGCAGCATATTACAGAAAACCAAACTGAAGCAGTTGGACGCGGAGAAAGCATTTGACTCTGTCAGGTGGGATTTCCTTTATAGTGTTAAAAAAATTCAACTTCCATGATATAATAATAATTAGGACAATACAAGCCTTGTACACTGACCCAACGGCCAGGATTAAGATTAATGGGAGTTTATCCAATTCTATTTCATTAAGGCGCGGGTGTAGGCAGGGTTGTTCGGCTAGCCCCCTTCTCTTCGCAATCTATTTGGAACCACTTAGCCAATCCATAAAACAAAATGCACAAATACAAAGCATAGAGATAAAGGGGACATTTCAGAAGCTTGCACTATTCGCAGATGATGTTCTAATATTTTTGTCTAGTCCCAATACATCCTTGCCAGTACTCATGTCAGAATTTGCAAAGTTTGGACAAATGTCCGGCTACAAAACAAATGTACAGAAAACACAAGTCCTCACTTTCAATTATAGCCCCTCTGAAGCTGTTAAAGAAAATTATGAAGTTAAGTGGAATTTAAAATCAATGAAATATCTTGGAGTTAATTTAACAAAAGATAATATCCAATTGAAATCAGCAAACTATGACCCATTAATATCCAAAATAAAAGAAGGTGGAATTTAATCCCCTTTATGACTCTTACATCTAGAGTTGAGGTGGTCAAAATCAATGTTCTCCCCAGGGTGTTATACCTATTTCAGAATCTTCCTGTGGAGATTCTGGACAAGGAATTTACAGAATGGGACAAAATTGTTGTGGTGGCAGCCTGGCTGACGGTGAGTGTCCTGGTTATTTCTCCTTTTTTTTGTCTGTGATTCTGTTTTTCCCCTGTTTTTTTTCTCTGTACTCTGCCTGCCTCCCTGTGTCTCCTCCCCCCGTGTGTGCTCTCTCTCTCTCTCTCCCTCCGCTATGTGAGCCCAGCCAACGACCCGCACCTGCACCTCGTCAGCCACCTCCTCTGCCTGCCACACCTGCCAGCAATCAGCCTCATTTGACCTACATGTATGAACTTTCTGTGGCACATGTATCATGTCCAGACGTACCAAAAAGCCTCTTGGAGCGATGCCCTAAACCCAACAGGAAGTCAGCTATTTTGAATTTTACGGCAATTTTTGGATGATTTACACCCTCCGTACTTTAACGAACTCCTCCTAGGGATTAAGTTGGATCGGTTTCAAATTTCTGCTGTGCCTTCATAAGGCATTGACGATGAAAAGTTGTGTTATCTGTGAGTTTTCGTCAATGGGCGTGTCCGTGGCGTGGCGTCAAAGATCAACTCTTCGTCATGACACAGGAAGTTGTAACTTCAGTGTACATGCTACATGCTTGCAGCTTTAATTTCCAACTTGTAGTGTGACCCAGTGGACTGGGACTCTACTGCAGATGGCTGATCCAAAGCTGTGACACCAAGTGGTCCTTCATGTCCAGGTGAAACATCTTTGTCTGCAGGGGGGAGGACAAGTCAGTGGGGAAAAACAGTGGAGCTTGCGTTAACCTCAAACACCTCTAGTGTAGACTTTAGGCCCTAATAGGCAGCTGAGCGGGAGCCAGGAGACTGAGCATGGGGCAATAACAAACACAGGGACAGACGGGAACACTCGAAACACAGTGTAGTGAATGGAGACACTACAGGAAAACAATGATGACAATCACATTAATCACCATTCACTCCCTGGTCAAATGACATCGGCAGTGATGCTGTTTCTGATTAGCGGATGTCTATCAGGCCTCAACGTTACATGCATATGTGTGTAGTAATAATACCATACTGGTCTGCCGGCTGAGACTTTATAGCTGTGCTGTTATGTTTTTCAGAGCACACAAACACTGTAAACACACACCTGTCACCTGCCCAGCATGGTGCATTACCCAGAAAACACAGCTTCTACACCTTATCTTTACAGTTTATACGCACAGTCCACAGCGGGGTTAATAGCCGCATTTAAAACCTGCATGTACCGACAGTAATGTAACTCATGCATGTCAGCAACAGTTAGCCTAATATAGCTAACTTGCTAATGTTATCATATCTTACCTGCTGTACTGTCTGCTGCTTTCTCGTCAGATGGATAGCATTCCTTTCACTGTTGACTTTGTGTGTGAGGCCACATCGACAGAAATGCTGTCCACTTTTAGTTATGGTATTATAAATGATAGTCCTTCCTCCAGCCCTGCTCACTCCCTCTGCTTGCTTTCATGGCAGTGTGTTGGCAGTCAGAGCTCCCCCTGCAGTCCATAAAGTGCCTCTGCGCCTCAGCCGTTCCAAACCCTCCCTGCAGCCTAGGATTGGGATTGGTCATTTAGCCTATTGGGCTAAATGCCCTATCCTAAATACCAAATCCCCAATCCTAAATGGCTAAATGACTAAATGCCCAATCCTAAATACCAAAATCATTTTCGACTTCGACTTTTAGTTTTTGATTTCGACTTTTAGTTTCCGATTTCAACTTTTAGTTTTAGACTTTTAGTTTTAGTTCGGACCTTATAATCCCTCCATACACTGCACTGCGCACTGACGCCCCCTTCCTTAAGGGTTAGGGTTACAATTTTCATGCACTTTAAAAACATTTATTAAAAGCTGCTTTCTTTTCACATGGTTACAGCATTATATGTTGAAGTGTATATTGTACTAGGCAGCATATTATGTTGAGAATTATTTTAGAACATTACAGCCTAAATTGTTATCATTAATTGCTAGAGCGAAGGTGGTCTGCATGGCATCATTTTAAAGTATTATTTTAGAGTGTAAAGTTAAGATCACAACGCTGAAACTCTATAGCTCTGAGAGTGTGTGGTCCTCTCTGTGTCTAGCTGCCCGGAGGCAGTAACAGTAGCACATGTGTGTGTAAGCAGGCATGTGTGTAAGGAGCAGGATGAGCACAGCAAGGCATCATCAAAAACCCCAGCAAAGGAAAATGTAGAAGCAGAATTAGTGAAAATTGTGTTACAAAACATACATCAATACAATAAGAATGTCCTGTCTATAGCACACAGCACAAGAGACACCAGCTTATTCCACAAAGTCAGGTTTTTGGTTAAAATAGCATGATTAGCAGAGTGCATGCCTAGGACACAGAGAGGGGGAGCATTGCAGACAAAAGGTTAGACATCAGTCAAGAAACAGTCATCAGCGATTATCCTTAATAATTATTGTTAATCATTTTAATCAGTTTTATTATCTTTAATCAGTATCATAATCAGGGTTTGATTGTCAACTTCCAACCTCTGGTTATTATAGCCAGTGTGAACTTTGAGTGAACTTGCTGAAGGAATTTTTGCTTTGCAAAAACACGACAGAGGATGACCAAAAAACCGTCAGATGCTTTGCAAAAACACAACAGACAGATGATAAGCAGAAAGCAGAAAGCAGTCAGCATAACATCAAGAATGCTGTAAGAAACCAAGCATTAATGAAAAATGCAACTTTACTGATGTTATTCTTATATTAATTGTTTAAAAAATACAATTGTGTGTCAAATTAAGCATGCGTAACCTTTAAAAAACACGGTGAGACTGAAGTTGAAATGTAAATGATGAACTGAAAGATCTAGAAAGTCAACAGTACAGTAATAAATGACAGCTGGGGAACAGTGTTAATTGGTAAAAACAACACAATAACAGAGGAAAAGAAGATCATCATGAGGAAAGGGGGGGGCAAACCAGCCCAGAAGAGATATATATATAAGACTGTCTGCAGACCATAGGATTGACTTCATCTTCCGACCTGCTGGGATGTTGTACGGGTTTATGTGTCCTGTTTTGGAATTAACTCTTTTGCACCAACTCTTGACCGTCTCCAGAGAAGTTTTTGTCTGCAGAGTTATTGACTACCGTAGAAAGCTAATGGAGTATTTTTTGACAAAGTTTATTAAGTTGGTGAAGGTGAGGACCTTAACTGGCCCAGCCTGGTCGTACATCTGACCCAACAATTAACTTACTGGGAGAAAACTGGTAGTTCTATTTAAAATCAGACATTGAGCTCCCCATTTAGCCAAAATGGCATGATCCTTGTTTCATAACACTGTTGCGAAGCTTCGACTGTGAGACTGACAGTCGAATCAGGCTCCGTCCATTGAAGCATCGAATCTTCAACTATTCGGGGTCAGCCCTAATGATATGCTTGAAATTAATATCACAATATTAAGAGAATACATTTTAACATCTATATTTACTGGGAATTCTTAAATAAAAGGCAGTATTCAAATAGTGTTGGAGTCTGAAATCATAATCGTGTGATCAGCACAAACAAATAATCCCTAGTCCTTAATAAAGGGTAGTTACAAAATAATAATATTGCTTTTTATTTATTTAGAATGGCCAAAAAGAAGGAGATGAAAACTTTGGGGAATGTAGCTTAATGAAGGGACGTCTTTTTTAGAGAGGTCATCACATAACATACAAAAAACATTGGGAGGCTGGGTAACACAGATCCTGCTGGTAAGTAGTCATCACAGATGTCCTCCTCTCAGGGTGCGCCCTGCTATTAGAGAATTACCCTGTCAGAACCAGCCAGTCCGTTGGGTCAGGACATGCTGACATTCCTGGCCCATGACTCATGCTAACATTTGATAGACAGATGCAAGCACACAGTGTTGTTGGTGTGTCCGAAGTGGCCAGAGAGGATATGGCGTTACACAGTGCTTATGAGTAGGAATACGGAAGTTCTACGTCAGAGAAAATTTAATTTGAAAAGGAAATGGTTGTCTGGCAGTAAGGTCAAGTGCTGAAAATAATCTAAATACAGCAAACACTGATATCCATAATTTTTTCTGTGGGTCTTCTTTTAGGCTGCTAAAATCCATTTTGCTGCTAACCCTTAGTGAGCCTCATGCACTGACTGTTGCCATGGAGTTTTTGAGATTGTCACTAAGGTCACATGTGTGACTTTGTTGGTTTAAGGTTTCAACCTCCTGTGCATGCACATGATGGATAGTGCTACATACTGTGTGGTGGTTATCCCAAATTCATGGAACTACAGTTACATTTGTGACTCGTTATTTCCTCTCATACCTGGAGGGCAGGGACCACAGTGGAAAGAGCCCATGGTGTTCAGGCATTGCACCATGGGAGCAGTGGAGCAGCCTCCATTATTGGTCAAACATTCGTCCACATCCTGACAACTGTAGCCATTGCCTTGCCAACCTGAGACATATTTGAAATAGTTAGTACAAATGTTATTCAGGCTATACATTATATACAAGTTACATTCACATGCATGGATATACACACGCAGTGGCAAGTTCAAAAGCTACAGCATGACTGAAATTTTCTTTTTGTTGTGTGCTTGAACAAACACAGTACAAGTACAAACATAAAGTGGCTAACTCATTTTAGCATTTTTTTTCTTTGCAATTTGTTGTCCTGTGGTAGAAAAGCAACCAGTGATGCCATCAGGAAAAGGGCTGGAGCACGGTACAATTTAATAGGAACAATAAATTTGCAACTGGAACTGGAGCGGGCAATCAAAAGAGGTCCTATGATCTCCTTTAAAATTGAGAGGGCAGTTGACTTATGGTTCAGTAGGAGAATCTATGAATGTATGTTGGAAACAATTTTATTAAGATTTAAAAGACCACAAAACAAATTCAGCCGTGACTCAGGGCCCTATTCTAACAACCTGAATGCACGGTGTGAAGTTGCATTTGGGCCATATGTCCAACTTCAATTTTGTTTGACGTCAAGTTTGACGACAGAAAGAACTATCAGTGTGCCCGGCGCATGGTTCAAAAAGGTTGTACTTAGTCTGTGAGTTAGTCATGGTTGCATTTTGGTTCTAGCATGCAACACACCGGAGTGTCATCTACCATTCCCTTTAAAATCCAGGTGCGCTTGTTCCTTGGTTGCTATTATAATGGCGGATGAATGACGCATTTTAAAAACCATCTATTTATTGACTGAATTGCAGACTTGCAGCAGAGCAGGGTGTATAGACAGAAGTGTGGACGTGATCTAAAAACTCTCTGATCATGAAGCTTAATGTTACTCTGCAGTTCTGTGGTTTATCAGTGAAGCAGACTGGAGTCTGTTAATAGACAGACACTGTCTCCTGCAAGAAACGTGTGGATCCTCACTGTGCTGCATTATTAGAAACTATGATGAAGCGGTCATGGGTCACATCGCTCTCTCTTCCAGTGATTTCTTTATTTCGTGTTTTCTTGATGTATGAGTGTTTTCTTCAACAATTTACTTGCTGTCAGTCATTTTAAAGATTTCCATGTATGCTATAAAGTTGCAACAAACATTGTGAGACAGCAGCAGAACAAAAAACGGTAGTTATAAACATGACATGACATGACAGGACAGAGGAAACTCTCCAGAGGAAACAGAATTCAACTTTTAGCTTCTGAAATAATTTAAACGCTTTGATTGGAGCTCAGGAATGATCAGGAGGACAGCTGCTTTACTCCAAACAGGTTCACTCTATGAACTTGGACTGTCTGAGACCTTTGGAGGTTAACAAGGAAGATAATCCGGTGTCGGCAAGGGATGATCTGGCCCTGATCTGCCCCCTAGTGGATTCACATTTAATCCTCCAGGTACATGCAAAGTATGCAGGCAAGTATGTGAACAATGGCGTTTGCATCGCCGACGCCTGTCCACGCCTACGCACTGTTAAAAAACAAGTTTATCGGGGGCTTAATGTGCCCGTTAAATAACAGCAAACACTGAAATACTGCACCGTTGACTTTGGACCTGCTGCCTCAAGATAGCAATGCATCAACAATATGCCTGACCATACCTAATTTTAGGACCAACACTTCCATTGGCACACAGATGGGTGAAAGTGCGTTTGACATTTAAACAACGTAGGTGCTGGGCGTCAGTGGAAACTAGCAATGACACTTGTGCTGCGCTCTGCGCCGCTTTGTGCCGGATGCAAGATAGCACGATAGGACCCTCAGTCTGCAATTCAACATAGATACATATGGCACTAATTGTTTCTGCTCTAGCTCTATTTTTTGTCTGTGTAAAGACTCCACACGTGCTTCTGGTCCCACAGTTAGCCAACTCCAGCACATGCTAGGGGTGGGAGAAATAATCGATTCTTAGATGCATCGCGATGCAGACATGGAAGATTATGAATCGATTAACAAATGTCTAAAAATCGATTATTTAAATGTTAATTGATAACGGAATGTTGACGGAATGCAAAAGGCGGAACTCGCAGAAATGCAGCGCCCTGACCGTCTGCAGAGCACGCATAACAGAGAGACCAGTGTTCCCCTGTATTCACCACCGCTGCAGAATGAATAACCACCACACTAAAATGTCACACAATCATTAATATCAGTCCACAAGTTAAGATTTTAACTCGCACACTGTGAGCATGGTGACGCTCGACAGCTCCCTGCGTACTATGTGTGTGAGGATGAGCAAGTGAGAGAGAGCGAGCGGCAGAATGTGACGGTGAAAGTTAGCAGAGGAAAAATATTAGCAGTAAGTTTCAGTCTGGCAGTAAACGTGCAGTGTAGGTGGCTGTGTGTCTGTTAATAAAAGTCTGTAGTTTCCCCAACGGCTGGAAAAGTGAAGGCTGTTAGCGCTAGCTAACATCTCCCCTGCTCTCTGTCCCCCACACCAGACTCTGGACTTTTGGGGATAGAGCCTTCAGCGTCACAGCCCCCACCCTCTGGAGCTCATCCCCACAGAGATCTGAAATGCTCCCTGTCTGGACACTTTCACAAATCTACAAAAAACCCAGCTCTTTACCCAGGCATTCAATCCTGAATGAGTTTGTTGTTCTGTAACTATGTGTAAAGCGTCCTTGGGTCCTGTGAAAGGCGCTAAAATATTTATTTATTTATGTAACGTTCCCTAAATTAGGAACAAAGTAATAATAATTATCAGCTGTATGTCATTCCTAACTAAGCTACTAGTCAAGGGCCGAACACATCAGGCACAAGCTTAGACTAAACTGGTGTACAGCTCTGTCCTGTATACATACTGTACATCCTGATAATTATTTGTCAGTTTTCAGGAGTCTGACAACTGGTTGTTAATGAAATGAGGGACCATAGACCTGAGGTTAAAGTAAATTAGGGATGCAAACTAGTGCTTTTAAGCTAATTAGGAGATGTTTCTTTTGGATTTTAATGTGCAAATTAAATGCTTAGTAATTATCCAGGGATCCTGTAAAGAAAAAATGATGCATCAAGATGCATCGATAATCGTTTTATAATCAAATCGCAGCCCTCTGAATCGTAATCAAATAGAATCGTGAGGCGCCCAGAGATTCCCACCTCTAGCACATGCATTCAAAATAAGAGCCCAGCATGAGGTGTGTCATTGAGCTTTACCAGCAGGACAGGCTCCACAGTAGAAGGAACCCTGAGTGTTGTAGCAGGAAACAGCAGGGTTGGTTGAACAAGGTTTGTTAGGTAGGTTGCACTCATTAACATCAGCCACACAGGCCGAGTTCCCAGCTGGAGCCTCCCAGCCATGCTCACAAATGCACTGGAATTTTGGCTGTTTTTAGGAAACAAATTTCACAGTGTGAAACTTTTATTTAAATTTTAATTATATCTACAATAAAATGAAGTCTGGACATCAACAAACAAACTGAAATAATACTAAATTGTGATATGAGAAGAGTTGTTTGCAGATACAGTTCACTGAAGACATTTGGGTTTAAGATCAAAAGATGAGTATGAGACAAGAGTTCAGAATTTCAGCTCTCATTTCGTGGTATTCACACATAGATGTGTTAAACAACTCAGGACATACCACCCTTTGTTTGAACCCACCCATTTTTCAAGTGAGCAAAACTATTGGAACATGTGACTGACAGATGTTTGTTGTTGCCCAGGTGTTGCCTTTTAGTTTGATTGTCCAAACATTAAACAGCTCTGCATGACTAATCTAAGTTTTCATCCTTGGTTCTAACCTATAAAGACTGCATTTCCTGTTAAAGAGGATAAACCAACATGAGAGCTGTCTGTGGGAGAAAAGCCAGCCATTGTCAGGCTAAGAAAAGAAGGAAAATCGACCAGAGCCATTGGACAAACATTGGGCATAGTAAGCACAACAATTTGGAATGTCCGGAAAAAGAAAGAAACTACTGGTGTACTGAGCAACAGACGTCAAACAGGTCGGCCAAGGAAAACAACAGTAGTTGATGATAGAAATATGGTGAGAGCTGTGGAAAAAAAACAAAACATCAGTAAGTGACATCACCAACGACCTCCACAGTGCAGGGGTGAAGGTATCACAATCCACTGTTCGAAGAAGACTCAGAGAGCAGAAATACAGAAGCGACACCACAAGACTCAAATTACTCATCAGCAGTAAGAATCAGAAGGCCAGATTGAAATTTATTAAGGCCCGAGCACGAATCGTGCGAGGTCCATATTGAATTTGTAAAGATTTTTATTAGGGCCCGAGCACGACCGTGTGAGGTCCCTATTGAATTTGCTAAGATTATATATATATATATATTTTTTAGGGCCCGAGCACGACCGTGTGAGGTCCCTATTGAATTTGCTAAGATTATTAGGGCCCGAGCATGACCATGTGAGGTCCCTATTGAATTTGCTGAGATTATATATATATATATTTTTTTTAGGGCCCGAGCACGACCGTGCGAGGTCCCTATTGAATTTGCTAAGATTATTAGGGCCCGAGCACGACCATGTGAGGTCCCTATTGAATTTGCTAAGATTATATATATATATATATATATATATATATATATATTATTTTTTTTTCTGCAAAGTAGGCTCAATTGACATGGCCTAAACATACTCGAAAACTCACCAAAATTTGCAAACATGTCAGAACTGTAATCCATAGAATGTAATTTCGTATTCTATGGGTTTCGCACATGGGCGTGGCAAAATGACTCGCTAGCGCCACCTAGAAAATTGGAAAAGATTATCCCCTCGTTCACGTTCAACCTACATGTACGAAATTTTCTGGGGACATGTATCATATCAAGACGCACAAAAAAGCCTCAAGAACCCATAGCCTAAAGTCAACAGGAAGTCGGCCATTTTGAATTTTACGGCCATTTTTGGATGATTTACACACTCCGTACTTTAACGAACTCCTCCTAGGGATTTAGTCGGATCGACGTCAAATTTCTGCTGTGCCTTCTAAAGGCATTGACGATGAAAAGTTGTGCTATTTGCGAGTTTTCGTCAATGGGCGTGTCTGTGGCGTCGATGATTCGCCATGAAACAGGAAGTTGTTGTAACTTCAGTGTACATGCTCACATCTGGACCAAAGTGTACATGTAGGATGAGAGTCCCGCCTTGAACACATGTACATGCCGACATTCACCCACAGTCATAGCGCTATCTGCTGGCAACAGGAAGTGACCTTTAACGAAGCAGCCCCCGCCGCACGTTTCACCTACGTGCACGAATTTTCTGTGGTACGTGTATCTTGTCCAGACACACAAAAAAGTCTCTTGGAGCCATAGCCTAAACCCAACAGGAAGTCGGCCATTTTGAATTTTACGTCAAATTTTGGATGATTTACACACTTCGTACTTTAACAAACTCCTCCTAGGGATTTAGTCCGACCGACCTCAAATTTCTGCTGTGCCTTCTAAAGGCATTGAAGATGAAAAGTTGTGCTATCTGCGAGTTTTCGTCAATGGGCGTGTCCGTGGCGTGGCGTCAAAGATCAACTCTTCGCCATGACACAGGAAGTTGTTGTAACTTCAGTGTACATGCTCACATCTGAACCAAACTTTACGTGCTTGATAACTGTCCCACCCCAAAGACATCTACACGCCAATACCGATTTATATTCATAGCGGCAAGTGCTATGTAGCTCCACATAGGGGACACAGGAAGTGACATATAGCACCGTCATGCGGCGTCGGAACCGCGTAGCAAATTCACAGCCCCACCGGCAGAGCTCCAGAATGTGCAACTCGGCCGGCTCACACCCGGACGCGCTACAAGTGCGAGGGCCCGCCCAACGCTGCTTGCAGCTTTAATTTACTTTAAGATTAGTTGTTCCATTACTTTTGCTCACCTAAGAATGCTGTGGTCTAATACATGATGATATGTCCTGAGTTGTTTAACACATCACCTGGTATTCACATCTACATTTCCTTGCATTCACATCTAGATGTGAATACCAGGAAATAAAAGCTCAAATTCTGAACTCTTGTCTCATACTCATCTTTTGATCTTAAACCCAAATGTCTTCAATGAACAACAAAAAAAGAAATTTACCTTACCGTTCCAATACTTTTGGAGGGGACTGTATATGCCATGGAGGCACAATGACATACCCACATGTCTTTTACTGGTACTTTCAGTTTATATACTGTATCTATTTCTGTATATATTTACCTTCACAGTCTGGCATTCGTTTGTCTTTGTAAAAGCTTCCTTTGTACTGTGCTATAGAGCTATACCAAAAACACAATCACCATATTGTTCCACAAACTGTAGATTTGGCTATGTATTTTTTGAATGCGAGACTAGATAAGTGACTTGTTACCTGTCCAGGTATAACCCGGTCAGCATCAATACATGTGCCATGTACACACAGGTCCTGTCCTACATTCCTGCAGTCATCATAACGCAGAGTACAGAGACTCCCGGACCATTCTGGAGAACAGGTGCAGCTGCACAGAAACAGAAATATCTTTTAAATACACTAACGGAAACTGTAGCAAGCAGTAAGTTATTATACATAGACTAAGAGAGTATGACTCATAAGCACATATTTTCTCACTTACATTTATTGGTATGTAGCCATACAGGCTTTTGTTTTCTATCTGCCTAGGTTTTATTGAAATCTTTCCCCAACATTTCTGCACCTCCTGAATACAATGCAGGTAAATGGAATTGCATCAACACAGTAGCTTATCTTTCCAAAAATATTCATGTCCCCATTATTCATAACAACCCATAGACTCACTGGCATCAGCTCATTGGCTATTTCTTCTTGTTTAAAAGTAGTTCCACTAACTTCAGAGCGAATGTAGCTGCATGCAGCTGGGCATACAGACTGCATGGTGTTCAGTGTGTCCAAGGTGTGTTTTACATTTAAAAACATTTAAACACCATAAAGCACCTCTGTAATAAAAAGGGAAATCTCAGTTTGTGTCTGTCTGTCTGTCTATCTGTTTGTATTTCGATTATGTCAGTAACCATTTATCCAATCAACTTTAAATGTGAATGTGCCGGGTGAGTTGCTGTGGACCAAAGGGAGTGTAGTGTCGCGTTTGGTGCAATTTGAACACGCCACACATTTAGAGTTAATAAATACAGTTCAGTCAGAACAAATTCCATCAAAGAAACTAATACTTGCGCCATTTTAGTTATGTTTGGCTATATGGCTCTGTTTTGGGGCCTCCCTGGCTTCTACACGCCAACATGGAAAGCCATGAGGCATGGAGAGCACCTCTCTGCCCTTCCAAATGCCTAGGTGGAAAAGCCTAGGCATACCATCCATGTGCATACATTGAAATCCCAAGCAGCAGTAAAGACCTTCCGTACAGAACAGAGCAGGCATATTCCAAATAACATGATTAGTAACCAGATACTAGATGGGCACGGAAACGCTGTTAAATGGGCCATGGTCTAAAGACCATGGTGTTTATTATCAGCCTCTGCTGTTCTGTGTCACCTCTTGCACATGAATACACACATGCGGGCGCACACCCATACACACAGCGGCCAGCACAGAGATAGGCCACGGTGGAGATGGTCAAGTGAAGGTAACCCCAAAATGCTCAAGTTGACGACAGCTACCCTCGTTACTGTTAATACGTGCAATAAGACCTGGCGAGTGAAAAGACAATAATTTATCAATACATCTGTTTTTTATCTTATAGAAAGTAGTGCTGGGCAACGATTAAAATTTTGAATCGCTATTAATCGCATGATTTTCTTGCATTGTTATGCGCAAAATTGAATAATGAATTCTGAAGTAGTGTATTGCACACTTTTAATTTAAATGAACTGCTATATAGCCTATATGTGTCCGAGTACTCGGCAGTAAGATGGACTCTTTCCAGGTGAGGGTTGGCCTTCGCCAGGGCTGCACTTTGTCACCTATCCTGTTTGTGATATTCATGGACAGGATATCGAGGCGTAGTCGTGGCGAGGAGGGGCTGCGGTTCGGGGGGCTTGGGATCTTGTCACTGCTTTTTGCGGATGATGTGGTCCTGATGGCATCATCGGTCCGTGACCTTCAGCTCTCACTGGATCGGTTCGCAGCCGAGTGCGAAGCTGTTGAGATGAGGATTAGCACCTCAAAATCTGTGGCCATGGTTCTCAGCAGGAAACCGGTGGAGTGCCAACTCCAGGTAGGGAATGAGTCCTTACCCCAAGTGAAGGAGTTCAAGTACTGTTCACGAGTGAGGGGAGACTGGAGCAGGAGATTGGCCGGAGAATCGGAGCAGCGGTGGCGGTAATGCACTCGCTTTACCGCACCGTTGTGGTGAAAAGACAGCTGAGCCGTAAGGCAAAGCTCTCAATCTACCGGTCTATTTTCGCTCCTACCCTCACCTATGGTCATGAAGGCTGGGTCATGACCGAAAGAACGAAAGGAGCCAGTTGAGGTGGTTTGGGCATCTGGTAAGGATGCCTCCTGGACGCCTCCCTAGGGAGGTGTTCCAGGCACGTCCAGCTGGGAGGAGGCCTCGGGGAAGACCCAGGACTAGGTGGAGAGATTATTTCTCCACACTGGCCTGGGTATGCCTCGGGTTCCCAGGCCAGGCCATCCCCCAGTCAGAGCTGGTTAATGTGGCTCGGGAAAGAGAAGTTTGGGGTTCCCTGATGGAGCTGCTCCCCCCGCGACCCGATCCCGGATAAGTGGTTTGCAAACACTTTAAACAAATAAGGTGCTTTTTACCAGCAGTATTCCCTTTACACAGTAGCAATAAAATATTTCTTGTAAATCTCAACTTAAACATTAATGTAATCAAATCAAATATTAAACCAAAGTTATTTGCCACTGCCAGGACATTACCTTTTACCTTGTTAAAACAAATTACCATCAGAGTGCAGTTTTCTTGAGGTTTTTCTGAACAGGTATCAGCAGAAACATTTTTCTTTTATCAGGGAGTAGCAGAAACAGTCTGTGTTCAGTAGCAGGTTTCCCTGTAGGTGACGTGGTCGAGCACAAGGTGACAAGCGGGTGCGTTCCCGTGAAACTGTTGCGGTTGTGCTTGCCTCATGGACACACCCGCCCTCTGCCTAAGTTGAATTGCCTTGAACTATTTATACGATTTATAGCTCAAATCATTGGAAGAGAGACTGATCCTTGCTGTTTGTGAGTTTCCAGAATCTATTACTGTTTACTAAATAGTTATCAGGCAGAGCATCCTCGCAAAACTAGATGAAGACCTATCAGGTAAAGTTATGTAGCCTATAATTTTAATTTAAGTTAAATAGGCTACAGCAGAAGCTGTTGCCATGGTTACTATCCATAGAGCGCCTGCCGTTTGCTTGCGGAGCGCTGTCTTGTTTCTCTCACTCACTGCATCCTGCCGAAGCCTCCCTCCGCTGCTTGTTTTGGTAGGTGATTTGCAGGCTGATCAACATCCAACCCCTCCTGTGACCCATGGATTGACTGTATGTGTATTCAGAGCCAGTGAGCAAGGGACTTTCAAAATAATAATTATTTTAAAAAACTGCGTTAACGTGCGATAAAATAATTGTCGGTGTTAATTAATTAATGCATTAACGCGATAATAACGCGTTAACGCACCCAGCCCTAGTAGAAAGTGTTATTTAATCTGCACTGTCCACAGTCTCTATACTCTATGTTATAAAAGCACACAGCGGTAACGTTAGCTTGCCAATTAGCTAAATGTAAAAATGAGTTCAACTGAAAGCTGTCTCTACAGTTAGACAATTGTTCAGCTTAGTTTGCCATGTAGCTTCAAATTTGGCACACTGTTACCTGCAGTGAATCACAGCAGAGAGAGAGGGAAAGAGGACAGAAGGAAGAACTGATGTCATACACAGTCTTCCTCTGAAACAGTGAAAAGCATCCAAACCTTGACGACACATTTGTTTGGCTCTAGCTGCATGCACTGCGTCTGAGTGGCTCTATCCTTGCGCAGCAACATACAACAGCAGCATGTTAGCATTGTTTGATTGTTATCAGCTTAATTCTCTGCCAAAATTAATTTCCCAATGTGATCCCGATAATGAAAATATGCCCAATATCTGCCAATACTTCATCGGATCGATAATTACCGTGCATCCCTATCAGATACGGCTTGAAAGGCAGAGCACGCTCACAGGGACGGTGCTTATAGACTCAGATGTGGTAGTCAGTTGTTGCATGTTCAGTCCGCCTTGAGCGAATACATTTTTTTCCCTCTTCAACAAATGAACTATGAAGAGACTCTTTCACATGCTCACAATAAAGCATGTGCTGGAGTGCGTGCATCCCGGCGACTGATCCACATCGATCAACCTATGGACGCTTATGTTCATTTCCCCAGCATCTCCAGGCAGAGGAAATTCCTGTGCTTCTCGTTCATTTTTTTAAAATGTGTGTCAAGCACACCACAGACTACTGAATGTCTTTCAGAACATTTCACAGTAAAAGCTCTTAATTCAACACGAAATAAAGCATTGCTGCAAAAAACTTTCTCTCTTTCTCTCCGATATAAAGGGTATGTGAAATCCAAACTTGACCGTATCACCCCAAATCCAAACAAGCAAACAATAACGTTATAACAGGAGAATATTATGGGAAAACATACGTGAATGATCCAAGGGTGTTGACACAGGTCCCTCCATTCTGACAAGCCTGAAATGTTCCCGAGTACACCTGACATTCATTCACATCTGCTGCACAGTTAGGACCCTGCCAAGCACACAGACAAGGAGGATATTCACTACAGACGAGACTTTAATTATCCTACACTGGGTCATCACTGAGCAGGAACAGAACACAGCAACGCATTTTAGTATTTTAGTGACAACAGAGCAACACAGGAGGAGAACAGGAATAAGCACTCTGTAATGTAAAACATTATAGAACTCACAGCCCAGCTGTTGGGACACACACAGTGATATGAGTTGAGCAAGTTCAGACATGTTCCTCCATTCTGACAGGGATTATTCCTGCAGGACACCTGCTGGACCGTCTGTAGTATGAAAGAGGAGAGGGAAGGATGGGAGAGAAAGATGACTCTGATGCAGTCAAGTTTGAGCCACTACAACAAACGTTCTTAAATGTCTCACCGATTCAAGTGCAGTCACTTTATTCTCAAGTGTTAACACCTGGAAAGCATAGAAAGAAAATTTGATCAAAAACACATCAAAGTAACTGACACACACACATACACAGTGAAAATGCAAAGGAGCTATGTGTGTACAGGAGAATGAGGAAAAATACATAAGCAAAGGAAATAATAAGGCTTGATTAAGCAACATGTATGTGCTATTGTGTATTGTTATTTTTTTTAATTAAAATCATTATATATAAGATTTTCATCCAACAGGAAGTAGCTTTAATAGCCTACCCTGGTGTCCAGCTGGTTTAGTTTGTTGGCTATATCAGGGGGGACTCCACCTCCATGAGACTTAATGTCATCAATGTCTTCTTTGTTGATTTTGATCTGAAATCAGAAAGTCCAGACACCTCAGTATTCAAATGCTGAAGACAAAATAGTTCCTGCAGTGCATTACAGAAATGAGAACAGTCAGTGTTGTCTGATTTAGAGCATCATCAGTGTAAGATTTCTCTCAGGTTTCAATATTTTGTATTTTTCATGTTGAATCTGGACACAAAGCTTTATTATTAAAGAATATGTGACAGTGCTAAATCAAGGGCAGCTGGACTCGCTGTAGTCTCTTGAAGGCTCCCCACTAGATTTCAGACAAAGGTATGAAATGTTAATGTGAAAGGTAAATGCTGCTCTGTCATGGTTATTAGGGGCCAACAGAATGAACACACACACACACACATCATTTTAGATTTATGATTAGACATATAGTCAATCAAAATCCAAATATATCTCAGATTCACAATGCAATATATAAAATCATTATCACAATATTGCCTATACACACACACACACACACACCTGTCTATAGATTTGTCTCACTCTTACCCCTGCCTTGGCTAACCTAGTCCTTTCTCACGGTACTGTTTCCTTCCCAGATTATTTCCCACACTTTTTTGAACCTGGTATCTTATTTCCTCTACCTGCAGCTCTTGGTGTGCTGCAGTCTCTGTTTGCATCTCCCACTTATTTTCTCATAACAGCCAGCCTTGGCTGCACTACAGCAGGTCAGTCATAGTGAGCCAGTCCCAAATACTGTCAGCAATCTTTACATCTTGTCATGGTCACATATTTGTTTCATCAGCTAATATATCTCCTATGTTTGTTATAATATCTCTAGTCACAGATCACCTCCAGTAGTATCAGCGGCAGCAGCAGCAGCAGCAGCAGCAGCAACAGCAACTGTTCCCTGTAAGTTATGTCAGCCCACCATGTTTTAAAGCTAGATCTGGGTATTCCCTGTGTTTCTTTTTCAAAACTGTCAGATGGATATTAAAGAGGTGGTATTATGCTCATTTTCAGTTTCAAAATCTTAATTAGGGGTTGTACCAGAACAGGTTTACATGGTTTAATTTTCAAAAAACACCATATTTTTCTCATACTGCACATTGCTGCAGCTCCTCTTTCCACCCTATGTGTTGTACGCTCTGCTCTTGAGCTACAGAGTGATGCATCTTACTTGTACAAAATCTTTGTTGCACATGCGCAGTTCCCAGGTAAGGACTACTAGCCAATCAGAAGCAGAGAAGGGCGGGTCGTAAGAAATAAGGTAGTGTGATCCATATCAAAGCCGCTTGCGACCGTAACCTAGCAGATGGTATAAGTTACTCTCAAGACCACAACCACACAACATCATTGTTCCACATCTTACGATCAGGACTAAACTATTGCTGGTGTTCTGACGATCTATGCTGCCTTGCCGACAAATGCTACCATAGATAGACTCTACTCGACCCTGCTCCATTTTCCATTGCAGATAGTACCCACAGATAGTACGTAGCTTGTTGTCACAGTGACGCCACACACAACTGCTACGACGTAATGTTCAATGCAACACACACACCAGCGATCCACACAGCTTTCTCTTTTTTAAGTTAAAACGTTTGAACATTCCTCAGAATGTAAAGACAGATAAGCAGTATGAAAACCTTCCAGCTGTGTTTTCCTCTGCCGTTGCTGCAGCGGTCTGTGTGACGGCGGGAGCAGAGGGCTCTGTGAGCGGGCGGCTGGCCTCCCGCGGGTTGGCACAGGCATCCCCCGCAACCACTTGTGGACTGTAAAATATAAAACTTTCTGTTGCTGGCCTCTGTCTGGTGCACGCAATCATGATGCAGTGAATAGTGACGATTCTCTCTGACCAATCAGCAGTCTGTCATGTTACATTTTAGTATCCCTCAGCTCGCTTGGAACCTCCACGGAGGTGAGGTGATACAAAAACAAGTACCTGGAAGCAGGTACAGGTGCAACATTTCTACAATGGAAAACCAAACAAAGGCGAGTTGAGCCAAAGGGCCTCGCTCAGACTAGCTTGGTTTGAGGGCGTGCCTGACCCCCGCTAGCCGCTTGGCAAGCTTTATGACGCGTTTTCATTGTGACGTCACAAGTAAAGGAAGTGAAGGGCTGGACTACAAACGAGCTGTTTTCAAGCAGTTCAGAGCGGTGCTTTCTGTGGGAGATGGGAACTACCTTTGGGATGGACTTTGGGCTTTTTCACTTTGCAAACCTGTTACATGCACAAAAAAGATATATAACTCAATAAAGGAGAGGGGAAAAGCCAAAAAGCATAATACCACCTCCTTAATATCAGTGTTTCCCACACATCAGCTTTACTTGGGTTGAGGTACATTAAGGGCCGCCCAAAATATTTGCTGACCCATTTAAGCATTTTGCAGAGAAACACAGAGAAATAATCATCCATTACGTTATAAGACTCAGACGTGAATATTTCACAAGCACAGACCAGGTTGCCTAACTTAACAGTGAACACTTTGGTGCAGGTGCAACTGAGCATAGACATATATAGAGGTAGACACCCTATTGGCTGCTGGGCGCAAGAAATGCGGCCGCCATCTTGAACTGGTCGTACTCCCAGTTGTGCAGCTGAAGAAAGCAAGATGCGAGAGCACTGTGCAGCATGTTCATGCTTAAATCGGCGGACCATTGCAAACAGGGCTCAGGGGATTACTTTTCACAAGTAAGATTTAACATTACCGTACTATTGGTTGTATTTTCTGAATAGAATATTACAAGAGAGTTGAGAAGGAGCAAGGATCTTTGATATTACTGTAGTGAAATCGTAGCCAGCTAGCTAGGCTATGTTTACTGCACCGGTCGGTGTTCACCCGGCTATGAACTGAGACTTGATAAATCATATTCCATATTTAGGGCCCGAGCACGAACCGTGCAAAGTCCCTATTGAAACTGTAAAGAATTTTATTTTTTTTTTTGCAAAGTAAGCTCCATTTTGGGGGCCTAAACATACCCGAAAACTCACCAAACTTTGAACACATGTCAGAAGTGGTAGCATGGGCGTTGCAAAATGACTCCCTAGCGCCACCTAGAAAATTGGAAAAAATTATCCCCTCGACCACGTTCAACCTACATGCACGAAATTTTCTGTATGTATCATATCAAGACGCACAAAAAAGCCTCAAGAACCCATACCCTAAACTCAACAGGAAGTCGGCCATTTTGAATTTTAAGGTCATTTTTGGATGATTTACACACTTCGTACTTTAACGAACTCCTCCTAGGGATTTAGTCGGATCGACGTCAAATTTATGCTGTGCCTTCTAAAGGCATTGACGATGGAAAGTTGTGCTATCTGTGAGTTTTCGTCAATGGCCGTATCCGTGGCGTGGCATCAAAGATCAAGTCTTCGCCATGACACGGAAGTTGTCGTATCTTCAGTGTACATGCTCACATCTGGACCAAACTGTACATGTAGGATGAGAGTCCCGCCCTGAACACATGTACATGCTGATATTCACCCACAGTCATAGCGCCACCTGCTGGCAACAGGAAGTGACTTTTAACGAAGCAGCCCCCGCCGCACGTTTCACCTACGTGCACGAATTTTCTGTGGTATGTGTATCTTGTCCAGACGCACAAAAAAGCCTCTTGGAGCCATAGCCTAAACCCAACAGGAAGTCGGCCATTTTGAATTTTATGTCAAATTTTGGATGATTTACACACTTCGTACTTTAACGAATTCCTCCTAGGGATTTAGTCCGACCGACCTCAAATTTGTGCTGTCCTTCTAAAGGCATTGAAGATGAAAAGTTGTGCTATTTGCAAGTTTTCGTCAATGGGCGTGTCCGTGGCGTGGCGTCAAAGATCAACTCTTCGCCATGACACGGAAGTTGTCGTAACTTCAGTGTACATGCTCACATCTGCACCAAACTGTACATGTAGGATGAGAGTCCCGCCCTGAACACATGTACCTGCTGACATTCACCCACAGTCATAGCGCCACCTGCTGGCAACAGGAAGTGACTTTTAACGAAGCAGCCCCCGGCGCACGTTTCACCTACGTGCACGAATTTTCTGTGGTACGTGTATCTTGTCCAGACGCACAAAAAAGCCTCTTGGAGCGATGCCCTAAAATCAACAGGAAGTCGGCCATTTTGAATTTTACGTCAAATTTTGGATGATTTACACACTTCGTACTTTAACGAACTCCTCCTAGGGATTTAGTCCGACCGACCTCAAATTTCTGCTGTGCCTTCTAAAGGCATTGAAGATGAAAAGTTGTGCTATTTGCGAGTTTTCGTCAATGGGTGTGTCCGTGGCGTGGCGTCAGAGATCAAGTCTTCGCCATGACACAGGAAGTTGTTGTAACTTCAGTGTACATGCTCACATCTTAACCAAACTTTACGTGCTTGATAACTCTCCCACCCTGTTATGGAGGACCGATCCTGACACAGCCAGAAATAAATACAGAAATAAATAAATGCTCAATAAATAAATAAGCATCCAATTAAATACACACAAAAATAAAGTAAATAAATAAATGTAGGTAGTAATTAAATTATACAAGGAGACATAAATGTTTATATTTTAATTAGTGCCTTTACTTATTCACCTTTGTTATAATTACCTTATTTGTTTATTCAACTTTATTTATTACTAATTTTTTAATGTATTTATTTATGTGTGTTTTAATATTTTTGTCTGTTTTATTCTTCCTTTGTATTTTTCTACCTTATTTATTTTCACCCATGGTATTTATTTCTGCCTGTCTTTTTTAAATTTCTGTATGCATTTCTGCCTCATTATGCAAATGAGGAGGGGCTGTGTCTCAAGGGGTCATCTTCTCTGCTATTGGTGGACCAGTCAGACAGGAGAGCTCCTACTCTGCCTGCAGACATCAACGATCTTGCCCCTCACACAGTCAGATGGCTTCCTTCAGTGCACTGAGGTGTTTAACAACTCTGAAGACAATACTACCAGCCATGTCTTCCTTCTCTTTTCACGTAGACGCTCCGACAGACAGTGCTTTCAGTTTGCTGCATGCATGGACACAGAACTGCAGTATAGGGAGAAGCACACGGTCAGCTGGCTGCAGCTAAATCTGGAGTGCACTCGTATTCAATTCTGTATGGTAAATTCAGTTTTAACGGAGCAGAGTGAGCTGACAGGCAGAGTTAGAGACTTTTTCTGTCCGTTTCTCTCTTTACAAAGACGCATGTTGCAGTCAGAGTCTTCTCTGAGATGCGAGCACGACATACAACACAATTTATCAAATTACACAACGGATATACTGTATGAAAATAAGATTGATTGGATTATACTCACAGGAAGTAAAAAACCTCTTACATAGGTCTATTAAAAGTAAAGTAACACAAAAATGTCAGGGAAATTACTTTACTTAGATTTAAGTACTGCAGTTGTACATTTGAAATACCTTCCTACCTTTCTGATAGGAAGCCTTCTTGAGGTGGTATAAAACATTTCTTCTTATATTCTGATTTGAGTTGTGGACAACTATGACCACATGAATTAAAAAAATTAAACATTTCACTGCCCAAGTCAGCTATAACACAAGTCTTGTTCATCAGACTACATGCTGTACAGTATTTGTGGACAGATTTTGTCCCAGGATTTCTTATGCATTTCTTCTTCTTCGTTGCATGATTTAGAATAATAAGGTGAGAAACGGGTCTATTCTGAGTTCATCCTGCACTGCAGCAGCTAATAAAGTCCATTTAATCCCAAAAACGCTTTTCTTTTAGGCAGGCTGGAGCAGAAAACAACTCACCTTTCTCAAGTTGTACAGTAATGTCACATGTGTATGAAGGTGGATCAAACAAGCTAATCTTAAATGTCAAAGTAGAGAGGAGCCTAGTAGGCCTATTTATTTTCATTCATTACACAATATGAATAAGCTATGCAGACAGTTGTAAAGAAAGAACATCTTTTTCTTCTGTTCTCTACTTGTTATAGTTACACAGTATTAGGGGTGTGGGCTGTATTAAAAGTATCCTCTGCTCTCCCATGCTCTAACACACAGTAACGATGAAATATGTGCTGTTCTCACATTCTTCCTCTGTATGTACACATAAACAACAAGGCAGGGAAATATAAAAGGAATTTATTTTATTGTTTGGGTACATTATTGTTCAGTGTACATGCTCACATCTGAAACAAACTTTACGTGCTTGATAACTCTCCCACCCCGCAGACATCTATACACCAATACCGATTTATATTCATAGCGGCAAGTGCTATGTAGCTCCACATAGGGGACACAGGAAGTGACATATAACACCTTCATGCGGTGAAATTCACAGCAAATTCACAGCAGCACCGGCAGAGCTCCAGAATGTGCAACTCGGCCAGCTCACACCCGAACGCGCTACAAGTGCGAGGGCCCGCCCAACGCTGCTTGCAGCTTTAATTTATGTTTAAAATGTTTAAACAGTAACTAACCACTTCAAAGGTGCCACAGTTCATTCGTCTCCTGTTCATTTTAGGCTTGAGCACAGAGTCAGCGTTCATTTTGCAATTATTCAGATAAAAAACATGTATACACAGGGTTGACAAATGTGATTGAAGTCATATGTGTGAGACTGTCTGCTTAAATGCTGTACTGTTTTAACCATTGGTCCACTGACTATGGTGCACCTGGCCACTGATCTTTGGTCCTCTTCAAACTGCTGCGTCTGCTTCCTAACTTGTTAATGATTCATAGTCTCATGTGAGGAGCAGGAGGCTTTCCGTTTATGTAAAAGCTAAGAAGCTCTAATGACACAGTTCCATGTACAGTAGTGAATATGTTCTGACTTGTTTGGGTAAGCTTGCTGTTGTGATGGTGCTGGGAGTACAACCAGACCCCTTGTTTCAACAAATCTAGCCAAAACTCATAGATTAGAAAAGCAGTGCCAAAATAAGTAAACAAGCCAAGATGACGAGCCAGAGCATTTTAGAACTCGAGTTAGCAGCTATAACGGTGGGACAACAAACTGATGTGAAAGTGGGATGATGGGAGAATGTTTGGAAATACCAGACTCCTACAGTATATCCTGGATGCTGAAGTGAGCCATGTAATAAAAAGATTGTATCTGCAGTGGATTTCTGCTCCTCATACACTGCTTTACTTAAACTTGAATGTATGAAGATCTGAACTGTGTTTAATCAAACACTTACCTGACTCAAAAGTTGGGTGAGGTCTTCATTGTCCACTTTAATCCGGCCTGATGCTGACGTCTGGAAGCGGATCTCTTTATTGTCACCAGTTGTGAAGACAAGGTGACCATTATCTGACAGCATACGAGGCCTACAGGGTCCAACACCAAAATTCCATCAACAGACTTTGGGCTGATATAGTCAGAGAAATTATTAAGGTTTATAATCAGTGGTAGTCCTGAAATAAGGCCAGTTCCAATTCCAACAATCCAATAACATGTCTTTTTATAATATATTCAAAGGCAGAGTTCCAACATATTAATACTATGTATAAAGAGAAAAATAAACCAAAGCTTACATTACACAGTTTAAAATGTAGTCAAATTTTAAACTGTAATAATAAAAATGATGGATATTAATAAAGAATTAACTGTGGCTTTTGACAGACCTCTACTCTGCATAATTTGAGAACCATATGTTGGAAAAAACATGGCAAATCTAGTGAGGGACCTGGCTCAAATATCAGTATTACTCATTTATTAGCAGCTTTTATAAGCTTATATATAACAAAGCAATGGGTAACATGAGTAATACTGGTGTCATGATGTAAGATGTTCCTGTGCGCTACAAACCCCTACTCACTGGTCACTGCTGACATTCCTCTTGTTTCGTCTTGGTGCCGTGTCCCTCAGCTCTCCATGTAGTCTCACCAGAAGGAAAAATAGTATGATGAACAGCCATGGGAGTCGCAGTGTCCCAGCCATAGAAAAGAGATGTGTTGCCTGGATGCTCCAAAATATTTTACTGAGGTTTGACATGCAGCCACACTCTGATGCTCACTGGCAAGACTTTGACCCGACAGTACAACCATAAAACAGATCGCATTTTACCAAAGCTGGTTAACTTTATTATTGAGTGAGAATGTCCCTTACATTACTGCAATAGATAAGTCACCTTCTTCCTGAAGTTGGTTCCCTCTGTGCAAATAAATAGAAGCTCCAATTGTCATCATGAGAGATCTAAATAAAATGTTGCCTATAGTGTCATCATATTATAAATAATATGTATTGTAGTCACATCAGGAACCTTTTCAATACTACCTATAGGTGTAACTTTCTGAAACAGTTCCTTTGAATGAATCATCAAAGTTTTTTGTTTGTTTTTCCTTTTACGTCTCCGATTAAAAAAGTCCCTCACCAAGAACAAAAATAATATTGTCGAGATGATTCAGACTAAACTGAGGGAACGGTTTTACTGGTGGAGGTACTGTGGCAACCATCTGAATTGTAATCCAATTACATCTAATAGTCAAATATATTAAAACCCAGTTAATTGAACAGAATAGTCCAAAATGATAGAGCAGGAACAATATCTGTGAGGGTGGCCCTACAGAAACATAGGAATTTAAACCTTTAGAAACCCTCACTATCCTCGAAACCTCGAGCAGGGTGGGCGGCCATCTGCCTCGACCGGTTGGGGTGAAGGAGAGAGAGGGCAGGAGAGGAACAGAGAGAAAAAGAGAGGGATGGAAGGAGAGAGAGGGGAGGGAGGCAGCCTAAACAATATACACACACAGAGGTCACAGAGGTACAGACAGTAAAGGTGATGTTGCTATAGACTAAATGAAAAATGGTACAGATATTTATATTAGTGTTAATGATAACAATCGTAATGTTAATTAAAGCTGCAAGCAGCGTTGGGCGGGCCCTCGCACTTGTAGCGCGTCCGCGTGTGAGCCGGCCGAGTTGCATATTCTGGAGCTCTGCCGGTGCGGCTGTGAATTTCCTACGCGGTTCGGATGCCACATGAAGGTGTTATATGTCACTTCCTGTGTCCCCTATGTGGAGCTACATAGCACTTGCCGCTATGAATATAAATCGGTATTGGTGTGTAGATGTCTGCGGGGTGGGAGAGTTATCAAGCACGTAAAGTTTGTTTCAGATGTGAGCATGTACACTGAACAATAAAATAAATTCCTTTTATATTTCCCTGCCTTGTTGTTTATGTGTACATACAGAGGAAGAATGTGAGAACAGCACACATTTCATCGTTACTGTGTGTTAGAGCATGGGAGAACAGTGGATACTTTTAATACAGCCCACACCCCTAATACTGTGTAACTATAACAAGTAGAGAACAGAAGAAAAAGATGTTCTTTCTTTACAACTGTCTGCATAGCTCATTCATATTGTGTAATGAATGAAAATAAATAGGCCTACTAGGCTCCTCTCTACTTTGACATTTAAGATTAGCTTGTTTGATCCACCTTCATACACATGTGACATTACTGTACAACTTGAGAAAGGTGAGTTGTTTTCTGCTCCAGCCTGCCTAAAAGAAAAGCGTTTTTGGGATTAAATGGACTTTATTAGCTGCTGCAGTGCAGGATGAACTCAGAATAGACCCATTTCTCACCTTATTATTCTAAATCATGCAACGAAGAAGAAGAAATGCATAATAAATCCTGGGACAAAATCTGTCCACAAATACTGTACAGCATGTAGTCTGATGAACAAGACTTGTGTTATAGCTGACTTGGGCAGTGAAATGTTTTTTTAATTCATGTGGTCATAGTTGTCCACAACTCAAATCAGAATATAAGAAGAAATGTTTTATACCACCTCAAGAAGGCTTCCTATCAGAAAGGTAGGAAGGTATTTCAAATGTACAACTGCAGTCCTGAAATCTAAGTAAAGTAATTCCCTGACATTTTTGTGTTACTTTACTTTTAATAGACGCATGTAACAGGTTTTATACTTCCTGTGAGTATAATCCAATCAATCTTATTTTCATACTGTATATCCGTTGTGTAATTTGATAAATTGTGTTGTATGTCGTGCTCGCATCTCAGAGAAGACTCTGACTGCAACATGCGTCTTTGTAAAGAGAGAAACGGACAGAAAAAGTCTCTAACTCTGCCTGTCAGCTCGCTCTGCTCCGTTAAAACTGAATTTACCATACAGAATTGAATACGAGTGCACTCCAGATTTAGCTGCTGCTAGCTGACCGTGTGCTTCTCCCTATACCGCAGTTCTGTGTCCATGCATGCAGCAAACTGAAAGCACTGTCTGTTGGAGCGTCTACGTGAAAAGAGAAGGAAGACATTGCTGGTAGTATTGTCTTCAGAGTTGTTAAACACCTCAGTGCACTGAAGGAAGCCATCTGACTGTGTGAGGGGCAAGATCGTTGATGTCTGCAGGCAGAGTAGGAGCTCTCCTGTCTGACTGGTCCACCAATAGCAGAGAAGATGACCCCTTGTCAAGCACGTAAAGTTTGGTTCAGATGTGAGCATGTACACGTAAGTTACAACAACTTCCTGTGTCATGGCGAAGACTTGATCTCTGACGCCACGCCACGGACACACCCATTGACGAAAACTCGCAAATAGCACAACTTTTCATCTTCAATGCCTTTAGAAGGCACAGCACAAATTTGAAGTCGGTCGGACTAAATCCCTAGGAGGAGTTCGTTAAAGTACGAAGTGTGTAAATCATCCAAAATTTGACGTAAAATTCAAAATGGCCGACTTCCTGTTGGTTTTAGGGCATCGCTCCGAGAGACTTTTTTGTGCGTCTGGACAAGATACACGTACCACAGAAAATTCGTGCACGTAGGTGAAACGTGCGGCGGGGGCTGCTTCGTTAAAAGTTACTTCCTGTTGCCAGCAGGTGGCGCTATGACTGTGGGTGAATGTCGGCATGTACATGTGTTCAGGGTGGGACTCTCATCCTACATGTACAGTTTGGTCCAGATGTGAGCATGTACACTGAAGTTACAACAACTTCCTGTGTCATGGCGAAGACTTGATCTTTGACGCCACGCCACGGACACGCCCATTGACGAAAACTCGCAAATAGCACAACTTTTCATCTTCAATGCCTTTAGAAGGCACAGCAGAAATTTGAGGTCGGTCGGACTAAATCCCTAGGAGGAGTTCGTTAAAGTACGAAGTGTGTAAATCATCCAAAATTTGACGTAAAATTCAAAATGGCCGACTTCCTGTTGGTTTAGGGCATCGCTCCAAGAGGCTTTTTTGTGCGTCTGGACAAGATACACGTACCACAGAAAATTCGTGCACGTAGGTGAAACGTGCGGCGGGGGCTGCTTCGTTAAAGGTCACTTTCTGTTGCCAGCAGGTGGCGCTATGACTGTGGGTGAATGTCGGCATGTACATGTGTTCAGGGCGGGACTCTCATCCTACATGTACAGTTTGGTCCAGATGTGAGCATGTACACTGAAGTTACAACAACTTCCTGTTTCATGGCGAATCATCGACGCCACGGACACGCCCATTGACGAAAACTCGCAAATAGCACAACTTTTCATCGTCAATGCCTTTAGAAGGCACAGCAAATTTGACGTCGATCCGACTAAATCCCTAGGAGGAGTTCGTTAAAGTACGAAGTGTGTAAATCATCCAAAAATGGCCATAAAATTCAAAATGGCCGACTTCCTGTTTACTTTAGGCTATGGGTTCTTGAGGCTTTTTTGTGCGTCTTGATACGATACATGTCCCCAGAAAATTTCGTACATGTAGGTTGAACGTGAACGAGGGGCTAATCTTTTCCAATTTTCTAGGTGGCGCTAGCGAGTCATTTTGCCACGCCCATGTGCGAAACTTGTAGAATACGAAATTTTTCACCGGTTCTGACATGTTTGCAAATTTTGGTGAGTTTTCGAGTATGTTTAGGCCATGTCATTTGGGCCTACTTTGCAGAAAAAAAAATAATATATATTAAAGCTGCAAGCAGCGTTGGGCGGGCCCTCGCACTTATAAGCGCGTCCGCGTGTGAGCCGGCCGAGTTGCATATTCTGGAGCTCTGCCGGTGCGGCTGTGAATTTGCTACGCGGTTATGACGCCGCATGAAGGTGTTATATGTCACTTCCTGTGTCCCCTATGTGGAGCTACATAGCACTTGCCGCTATGAATATAAATCGGTGTTGGCGTGTAGATGTCTGGGGGTGGGAGAGTTATCAAGCACGTAAAGTTTGTTTCAGATGTGAGCATGTACACTGAACAATAATGTACCCAAACAATAAAATAAATTCCTTTTATATTTCCCTGCCTTGTTGTTTATGTGTACATACAGAGGAAGAATGTGAGAACAGCACACATTTCATCGTTACTGTGTGCTGTACCGCAGTTCTGTGTCCATGCATGCAGCAAACTGAAAGCACCGTCTGTCGGAGCGTCTACGTGAAAGAGAAGGAAGACATTGCTGGTAGTATTGTCTTCAGAGTTGTTAAACACCTCAGCGCACTGAAGGAAGCCATCTGACTGTGTGAGGGGCAAGATCGTTGATGTCTGCAGGCAGAGTAGGAGCTCTCCTGTCTGACTGGTCCACCAATAGCAGAGAAGATGACCCCTTGAGACACAGCCCCTCCTCATTTGCATAATGAGGCAGAAATGCATACAAAAATTTAAAAAAGACAGGCAGAAATAAATACCATGGGTGAAAATAAATAAGGTAAATAAATACAAAGGAAGAATAAAACAGACAAAAATATTAAAACACACACATAAATAAATACATTAAAAAAATTGTAATAAATAAAGTTGAATAAACAAATAAGGTAATTATAACAAAGGTGAATAAGTAAAGGCACTAATTAAAATATATACATTTATGTCTCCTTGTATAATTTAATTACTACCTACATTTATTTATTTACTTTATTTTTTTGTGTATTTAATTGGATGCTTATTTATTTATTGAGCATTTATTTATTTCTGTATTTATTTCTGACTGTGTCAGGATCGGTCCTCCATAGCGGGGTGGGAGAGTTATCAAGCACGTAAAGT